TTTCTGTAAGTCACTCGGTTTGTGTGCTGCCTCGGCTTCCCGAATGTCAACCGCATACACGTCAGCTCCTGCCGCTACGGCTCGTTTCATCGTGATCGCGTTGACACGCACCAACGAAGACTCAGGCGAGATCCAGCGAGGTAGGGCGATGTTGTTACCGTTCACTCGCACAGTGCAGTCACCAATCGTCCAGTCGATTCGCGGGTTGTGTTGTCGCAACCAGTCACGGCCGAGTAAAATATCGGTCCCGTCGAGGGTCGTCGCCAGTATTTCCTACGTAAAAGTGAAGCTACCCCCGCAACGGATCCGAACTCGGTCCACACGTTCCCGTATCGCCAGTGGCGTGCCGTCGACCAGTCTTGCGTCAATCTCAGGTAAGAATCAGTTCCAGTGTCAGTTTCAGTCTCCGTGCAGTTGTGGTGTTGATCAGGCTGTGGCTAGCCCCTCCCTCTACGAAGATTTTAGCTAAGTCCGTCTGTATTTTCCCGCTAAGCAGTATGGGACTGTCTACCGTTGTACCCTCCTTATTCGGTGGGTGTGGTCGATTGCGTGAACCGGCACAATCACTTGGTGAGGGTCGGTTGGGTCGGGCGAGCGGCATGACCTGTCAATAGAGGGCCCGTTTGCTACTGACTCGCAGCGTTTCCTTGCTGCTTGGTCTGTTTCTGCTGCTTGGTCTGTTTCTGCTACTCGGCTTCCCCCTTTCCCTTAGCGTTTTCCGGGCATTTGCTCTTACGGTGCCCCGGCCTGTTGCACGCGAAGCAGCGCCCTTTGAACTGTGCGGCAGCGGCATTCGCGGCGACGCCGCGTATCGTGGCATGCTCGCTCATCCCACGAGTCTGATGTCCCCAGTTGTTGTTGTTGCCGTTGGACCGCGGTCTCGGTCGGCGTAAAAAAACGAGTTTCTCCGTCATGGCGAGAATGTCATTGAACTCCGTGACGTTGCGAAGCAGGATTTCCTGGGCGATTTTGTGCTTCAGGCCGCCGACATAGCGGTCGATGCGCTCAGCCTCATGCATATATCCCACCTGCTCGCACAGCGCCAGAAACCCGATGGCGCTCTGCCTCCTGCATCGCCTCGTCCTGTAGGATGTACGATGTCAAGTTGTCCTCGTTGAGCGTCGTCCTCGTGCTTGGCGCCATCGACAGCCGCTTCAAGAGATTGTAGCTGCTCGAAAGTCCCTGCATGACGTGGGTGACGTACGACGCCGTCGAGTACTGCGCGCCAGCCATCCTGATGGTGGCAAGAATTCGCCGGGCTCGGTTGCAGTAGTCGGTCGCCGTTTCCTCGTCGCCCATACGCAGGTGCGTCAGCTGCCCCTCCAGCTGGGCGATGAACAAGTCGTCGGTGACTTGGTAGGTCGACTCGATGAAGTGCCAGGCCCGGTGGCCGGCGTCGAGGTACTCTCGGCACCACTTCAGGGCGATCTGCACGCCTGGCGAGCAGCACCGCGAGATGACCGTGAAGGTCAACAGCTGCACGGCGCGGAACTCCGTACGCAAGTCGGCGTGGTGCTCCTCCAGCGTCGCCACGATCCCTCGGGCGAAGCCGATCAGCCCGGCCATCTCCAGCTGGGGCTCGATGGCTTCCTTCCAGGTGAGAATGTCTGGTCGACCAACGAGCGGCGGGGTGACCAAGATCCTGTCCGGCGTAAACTTGAAGTAGCCGTAGCTCGGTGCAATCCCGCCCGCCGTCACCTGGGTCGCCGACATCGGCGACAATCCGCTTCGTCGACCTCCGACGTCACCCTGCAAGGAGCCTGCAGCCGCCGACGACTGCACCCCTTGCGCCTGAACGCCGCCGGCTTCACCGGCGTGTATCACACCTCGCTGCCTCGACGTGCCTCCCGCACTGCTGCCGACTTGACCACCACCAGCGTTGACGCCCATGTCGACGCCGACTTCGTCGTGTACCGGTCGAGGAGAGGCAGGTCGAGAAGGGTGCTCCGTCGCCCACATGGAGCGGAGTCCAGCCTCGACGACCGCCCAAGGCAGGTCGCCATACTCGTTGGCCTCGTGCCTTCTCCTCGCGTTCTCCAGCCATGCCTCCAGGGTGTCCACCACCCCTGCGTCACCTACGGCTCCTACCATAGTGACTACCGCACAGCTGCCGGCCTGCAACTACGAATTAGGTAAGTGGTGTCTACGTCGACCTGACTGAAAGGTAAGTCGTGTGCTGTCCACGCTCACCGCACCATGCGGAGATAACTACTACAACGGGAGCTAGACTACGGGCTAGGCACGGGTGCTCGTGTGATCTCTGCGTTCTTTGGTCCTTAGTCGTTTTCCTAGTGCACACACTACTTGCTAGTTCACGGGGCAAGTTGGCAAGAGTTTCACTAGAGAAAGTTGACAACAATGGTTCAATCAGGTTGGCAAGACAAGACTACATCAGAGCTAGCATTCAGGTCGGTCGACTGCCAGCGCTGCATGGTCGACCGCGTTCCAGCACGACTTGGTCGGCCGCGTTCCAGCAGTGCAAAGTCAACGGCGTGCCAACGCTGCAGGTCGACGGCGTGCCAGCGTTGCTCCCGCAGAACAGCAGCGCGCCAGCTTCGCAGGTGCTCGCAGATGATTGGCGTGCTGAGCCTCGTCACCTGCACAACGCACACACCAAGTCATCCTCGTGCTGACAACTCCACCTGATCCGCCACGTCGACCTCGGGATACCACCACCGAGGTCAGTCTCGCCAACATCGCCTGGGCGACCGTCGCACTCTTCCGCAGAACCTCGTCACCCAGGTAACCTGGTCGACCGGGCAACCACGTCGACCAGGTGCTCCTGTATGTGCCCGTCGACCTCCCAAGTCGACGGCCACCTCCGGTCGACCTCACCAGGTCGACCACACCCCTGGTCGACCAGCTCCAGGTTGACCAGCACAGTCGTCAGCCGACCACCCAAGTCGGCTACCCAAAGTCGGTGTCACCAAGTCGACGCCCTCCGCAGGTCGACTTCCCATGTCGACCTCCCTGAAGTCGGCGCCAACTTCCGGGCCGACCTCTTGAAGTCGGCGACCTCCCAAGTCGGCGACCTTGCAAGTCGGTGACCTGGCAAGTCGGTGGTCTTGCAAGTCGGCGACCTTGCAAGTCGGCGACCTTGCAAGTCGGCGACCTTGCAAGTCGGCGACCTTGCAAGTCGGTGACCTGGCAAGTCGGTGACCTTGCAAGTCGGTGACCTTGCAAGTCGGCGACCTTGCAAGTCGGTGACCTTGCAAGTCGGTGACCTTGCAAGTCGGCGCCGACTTCCAGGTCGACGTGCCACATCGCCGACCACCAGTTGAAGTCGGCCGCCGGCTTCCCAAGTCGGCGGCATTGCAGTGGCCCCGTGCAAGTCGACCAACCCCGTCGACCACTGCTGCAAGTCGGCGGTACCTCCCGTACACCCAACCACGAAGTCGGCTCCGCCCAAGCGAGGACGGGGCCAACAACAACTCCCGTTGACACGCACCACGCGTCCCACGTGCGATACTGGGCTACCTCCACGAAATACGACGGCGCCCAGGGTCCGGTTTGTCCTTCCCGTGACGGCAAAGTCTCGTAGTCTGTCGGCTTCGTGACGATGACGCGCCACCAATCCATGGCGGATCCTCGCAGCAGCGACATGGCATATCGAATCTTGGCCGCGTCCGCCGCGACGTAGTTGGCGTAAAAAAAACGTTCATCGTGAACAACCACACCCGAACGGTCGGACCACCCTGTTGGCTCGGATCGAAGCAAGGCGGGCACTGCGGCTTGAGCGGCATCGGTGATGGCAGCGCCGACTCGTCGTTCGGCACCGAAATCGTGACGCGTGGCTGGCTCCTGGCCGCGTTTGTCGCTCCGAAGTGTGACGCGCTGTGGTCGTCGTCTCCGTTGTTGCGGGCGACGCCATCACTAGCCGTGCTCGAAGGTTGTCCCACACTTCCGTGTTGCGATGCTTGACGTGCTGCTTGTCCTTGTGTGCCTTGTGTTTGTGACTGGGCTTGTTGCGCCCGTGAGACATCGTTGTGCAGCAACGTACGCTCTACTGTCAGCACCGCAATTTTTTCGGAATTTTCGTGTAGCTGCTGCAGCAGTTGGTTCAGGCGCTCCTGCGTGAGGCCCGTGGCGTCAATATGCTCAGCCATGTCGAAGGGCGGCGGCTCGGCTTAGCTCTAGGCGCAGTCGTGGCTGCACGCGTTTACGAGAAAACGCGAGGACAGTGGCTCCTAGGTGCTAAGGGGCGTGAGTCCCTTCGAGTGCAAAAATCAAAAGTTGATTTCTCTGGGTGCGGAGATGCGCGGTCCGAAAAGAAAGTGGCTATGAATACCAAGTGTTACGGGTGCAATGGAACGAGATGAGCGAAGGCATGAGCGAATACTTATGTGCAAAAATGCAAATGGTAACGCGGTGCGTGCGAGCTAGCTAGTGCTAGGCTGGCATTGAGGTTCGGGCTAGCCCCGAAGCGTAGGCCGACACGGCCGGGGCCAGCGGTGCATGGTTTGGTGAAACACTGCGCGCGAATGTTGGCGAAGCCCCGTTAGCAGTAACGGGTGAACACCGGCTGTTGCTGTACGCGATGTTGAAGCACGCGGTAACGAATGTCGAAAATTTCCTTACACTGATACATTACCAACGGGTCATTAAAAAAACAATCATGGCAAGGACCTGTTGAGTTGCTTCATATGACAATTTCTTTTTCGAAGTTATATTGAATGAGGATATGCCTACCTAGTGTTTTTCACAACCTCATTTAGCGACAAACCTTTCGCGTGAATCTGGGTGTTGACAAAATGGTTTCCAAACACTTGCATTTGGCCATGTCAAGCTTCCAAATTTCATTGCAAGTAGCCAAATTTATATTTATGCAGGGGGCTGTTTTATTGCTTTAGTCTCTAGGGGGAGGGGGGGAGGTATAATAAAAACGAGGTTCCATGTAGGAAAAGGACATAGGCGAGCAGATACTGATGCCACACAGCATCACTACTGTAGGAAAAAAAAAGGAAGCGAAGATCAGCCACAATTGCTGGTGTGCTCCTATGCTAAATCTCCTCCGCAGCACCTGCTGCTGTCACACCCTCTACAGTGACACCTTTTGATGCCGTACCCTCCACAGTCACACCATTTGGAGCCACACCCTCTATAGTCACACCCTCTATAATCAACCCATCAAGGGCGACTATGTCCTCAAGCATCCAAGTGTCCAGCCCAACATTATCCGACTCAACAGATGCAGCAGCAGCAACCTCCTGCATGTGGCTCAGCACCGTATCCCACTCCTTTGCATCCCCTTGCACCCCTTCCCCTCCTCCCTGCCTCGCCTTCCCCCCGTCCTCCCTGTTCTCTCTAGTCGGCCCTGCCAGCTTGTTCTCACCTGCACACCCATAGTCTTCCGAGCGTAGCAGCATCACTCTCTCGGGGTAACCATTCGAAAAGCCATTCAAGAAGCCATTCGAAAAGCCATTCAGGAAGCCATTCGAAAAGCCATTTGGGAAGCCATTCGAAAAGCCATTGGGAAACTCGAAGACATCTGCGATAAGCTCGGCCAGATTACCTGCTCCTCCAGTATTTGGTCCCACTTCCAGCCCATCCCCAGGCAGCAAACTCTTGGTATCTGTAAACATTGGCGCATCAGGGGCATACCCGATAAGCTCTGCAAGGTTATCTGATCCTCCCGCGACCGGTGCCACTTCCAGAGCATCTGTCGCTTCCGGAGAATCCCCGAGCAGCAGACACTCTCCATCTGCCATTTTGGGAGCATCAGGAACAGCCCCGGTCAACGCTGCCAGGTCTCCTGCTCCTCCCATCACCGATACCTCCTCTTGCAGCAAACGCTTTCCATATGCAATTACCGGAACTTCAGGGGGGGGAATATTGGAGCCAGGAAGAACTGTGCTTTCACAGCTAGCGGAATGATAAGATGGTTGGGCGGCAAATGCACCTGCCCATGCCGCTCCATTGAGGCCCCTAGCTGTGGATACACTTTGGCTTGAGTCCAGAGCCATCAAGCATGTGTTCCCTGCGTTTGCGCTTGCGCTTGCACATTCACTTGAATCCAAATCCATGAAGCCTCCACGTGCATACTGATCCTCATCCTCCCTTCCATCCTCCCTTCCATCCTCCCTTTCATCCACCCCTTCATGATCCTCCTCCCCACTCCCCTCTGCACTCCCCTCCCCACTCTCCTCCCCAGCCTCCTCTCTATCCTCCTCCCCATCCCGCTTCTCCTGTTCCTTCCCATTAGTAACACTCCCTCTGAGGCCTGACACCCCATTCGATACTGCTCCACTCATGCCGACGTTGCTGGTCCCTTCCCATACGGGTGCATACTTTCTAGGGGATGACGACTCTTCCCCACCCTCACCACCATCACATATCCCACCCACATTTCCAGGGTAAACCCCATCCCCATCACCGCCAGCAGAATCGAAACCCCCACGTAAACCCACACTTCGTTTTTGGGACCTTCTTCTCACAACCCTCTCCCTGTCGTAATCCCTCTCCCCACCGCTGCCCGCTGGCTCCTCGGGCAGCGGGAAATTTGTCTTTGCTCGGGGCCCGCGGAGCTCCCGGGCAGCTTGGTCGAATGCACGGGCAGCAGCTTCGGCAGAGGAAAACGTTCCGAGCCACTTGCGTGTGTTGTTAGCTGTGTCCTCTATTTCTGCCACCCAATGGCCTGACTGTCTCTTCCTCACTCCCCGGTACTTGGGAGAAGGGGTACTAGAGGGAGGTGGGGACCTGCTTTTCTGCTGCTTCCGCTGCTGCTGTGGCCACTGCTGCTGCTGCTGTTGGTGCTGCTGCTGCTCTATTTGCTGGTCTTGGGGATGCAATGCAGTCTGTTGCACCTCCACTGCATCTGCTGCTGCTGCTGCCGCTGCTGCTGCTGCTCCCGCTGATGCATGTGCTTTCTTTTCAGCTCCAGGAGACTGCATAGTAGGAGACCTCCGTCTAGGAGTGTTAGCAGGTGTCTTTGCACCGCTTCCAAACGACCGCCGGCGAGAACGCCTGCATTTCTCCTGCGGCCAATCCACTGCGAAATGGATCTGATCTTGAGCTGCAACGGCGACAGGTGGCAGCGGTGGTGTCAGCGTTCTTGCCACGTTGGCAGGATGTTGTAATGGTACCTCCGTCGGTTGCCCGTGACTCTGAGCGCGGTCAGAAATCTGCCCTGAAACTTGCCAGCCGCTGCCAAAAGTTGTGACTGAGTCGGGCCCTAGAATGACGGGGCAGGAGAGTGACCGGACCTGCTTGTTGAAAGCTCCGTTATCAGGCTGACGGCAGGAATCGAACCCGAGACCTCCAAGAGCTGGAGCAGACATGAAGCTGGGATTTGGGCTGCTGGTGCCACTTGAAGCCCCAACAGGCATACTGTAAGCAGCTTGAGGTGGAGCGGCAGACGGCTGTCCGTCAGGTTGACGGTTTCCGTCAGCTTCCTGCAGTCTACTTGCCAGAAGCGTGAGAAGATTCGCGAACGCGAGGAACGCGGCTTGCTGGGCCGCATTTCCGCATGATTCAGCATCTAATCCGTTCAGCACGCCCGGATTATCACTAGTAACCCCGATTTCTGGCAGTCTCGTACCATTGAAGTTCGGCTGGGAGGAGGAGGACTCTTGGAATGATTCTTCGCCGCCCGGCGAAGAATGTTCGCCGCTCGCTGGATGATGAATTCGAGAAAAGGAGTCCATTGGTGAAAGGTATGAGATTCGCCGTTCGCGCAATGGCACTGGTTCTTCGAAGCTTTGAAATTTGAAGAGAGGGGGCATGAGCTGCGAGATCATTGGTGCTGCCTGACTCATGGCGTGACGCACAAACTGCGGTACCGCGAATAATTGAAACGGAGGACCATGGGGTTTGCGATTGCTACCCTGCCGTTTTGGATTCCGCCAGCGCGCTAGAGAACAAACACGGTATCATACAAATGGAAAAAAAAAAAAAAAAAATCGATTTGGACGGTCTGGTGTGCTTAGATGATTACATGCATGGGCTTCGATTCACGCCACCTAACCGCCGATGGCTGGCGGCGGTCAGAAAGCAAGTCCAACGATCGAAGTTCAAGTGGGGATAGAAATCTGCAGGCAGGAATGCTGGACAAATGTGTGGCTGTTGCTGTGTCAGACTTAGATTGCGCCTTGACGATCTAAAACGAGGCATTTTTCTAAGATAGGAAGCAACATAAAATGCCTCGTCCTTTTATTATAAATTGCCTGATTGTTGCGAGTCGCTCGTGCAATGCTCGCGTTCCAGTTCCCGCGCGCTGATTTGTTGATTCGTACATGTATGCGTTTCATCTGTCAACCGAGTGAAGAAAAAACGCGGGGAGCGGAGTACGAGTCATCCGTTTTTGACAAGAATCAGCGATTCCCCTCTCCCATTGGAAAAGGAGGTCCTACGTGTCATGAAGACAATATGCAGGAAGCTTCGTCCAATTTTTGATTGGCTGGAGAGTGACGTAATGCTTGCATCACAGAAATGACGGCGTATGAGAGAAGACCCTCTCTGTCTGGAGTTTCTTCTCGGTTCAAGCTGTACTCACGAGCGGGTCAACTTACGGTTTTCTTCCCTGAAGCGAAACCGAACGAGCAGGGTGGTACGACTCGCTTCAGCGTCGACACGCCACGGGTACAGTAGTGCGCAAGTGTATACACGGACGTCAACAAACGACGTTTATATTTAAAGGACGTTTGTGATGAGTATTGAGGGTACTTCCCTTCGCTCGCCTTTCAGTTTCCTTGCATACTAAGAGTCGTCATACCACGCAGTACTCAGCTGTACCTCTTAGACTAGGGTGCGCGATGCAATTGTGAAATCAGTACATTCAGTAACGGTTTCATTACAATGATGGTGGAACGTACAACAGGTACTCGCATTACCGCGCCAGAAACAGCTCCAATCCAGAGTACCCACGGTAACACTCTCTTCCCATTTTCCAGTTACCAGTTATCCGAACAAATCACACTCACAAACTGCTGTAGCCAGGACTCATTTCCGTCACACCCAAAATAAGCTACCCCCTATTGCGTCTCATCACACCCACCACTAGATTCCCATCCTAAAGGTAGAGCTGTCCAATCCCAAGCATCCCCCCCCTCCTTCAGCATTACACTCTCATCGGTCACCCACAAGGGGGAACTACCCTCGCTTTTCTCCTCCGCAGCAGCATCACCACCCTTTTCGCCTATCTCGTCCTTCACAACCCTATCATGAACCATTGTTGCCAGGAGATTTGCAATGGTGGAGCGCGGCTGAGGGGTGTGAACGGCCGCAGCAGGAGAAATCGCCTGAGGATTGCAATGCGGGGTTTCACTCATAGCACTCCGAGCCTTTCCCAACACTCCCTGGGCTTGAAGTGGATTGAACGCCGCATGAGCTGCAACCCTCTCAGCCACCCGAGGCCTGGAACCACCAGCAGAGTTACGCCGATGCGAGACGATATCCACAGGGCTGTATGAAGGGAGAGGAACCTCCACAGTCTTCAGCTGTATTTGCTTTGCTTGAGGTGCCTCGAAAACTGCTGCTGAGACTCCAGGAAGGGGAATCTGCAGCGTCTCTAGTGGCGTTTCCGGTCTGCAGTGCAACCACCCCCCCATACCTGACTCAACACCTGAGTATTCAATCACTCTTTCTTGATTTGGACCGGCTGCACAATCTGGCTGGCCGGGCAGCGGAAAATTCGTCTTTGCATTGGCCCCCCGCAGCTCCCGGGCAGCTTTGTCAAAAGCTCGGGCAGCAGCTTCGGGCGAGGAGAACGTTCCGAGCCACCTGCGTATGTTCCGGGCGGCATCTTCAATCTCCGCCACCCATTTTCCAGGACCCCTCTGCCTCACTCCCCTGTATTTCCGCATAGGTGTTCGTGGCGAGTCCTGTTCCCTTGGCGTTGTCCCTCCCTCATGAGCACTCTGTATCATCCCCTCCTCTGTGCTGAAGAGACGAGGAGAATGGGTACCACTGACCCTAAAGATACACGCGCTAGAAGCACTCTCCTCAGGAGCAGAATGGGCAGTGTCAGCAACAGCAGCAACAGCAGCAGTGGCAGCAGCGTCGGCAACAGCAGCGGCAGCAGCAGCAGCAGTGCCAGAACCATTTGCAGCAGCAGTAGTAGCAGCAGCCAAGGGCATGAATGACCTGAGAATCCGCTGCAGGAATTCTGCATCTGGTCCCACTGAGCTACCAGACGCCCTTGCAGCTGTCAGATACTGCTTCAACACCTTCTGGACGGCAGATACTGTATGCTCCAAAGCATTACTCCTGTCACAGGCATCAGCAGGGGCAGAAGCAGCAGAAACAGCAGCAGGGACACCGGGAGAAGCAGCGGCGGCTTCATTACATGCGCGTTGAAGCAATTCCTGCAGGGCTGCGCACAGCAACGCCAATAGCGCCACCTGTGTGTGCTCCAGCTGTGTGCTGTGATCGGCAAAGGCACCAGCGGTTTCCCCCAGCAGAGCATGGCATGCTGTCACAGCATGGGGAGACAGCGCCAGGCCCCCAAACACATTGAGCTGCTGCTGCTGCTGCTGCTGCTGCTGCTGCTGCTGCTGCTGCTGCTGCTGCTGCTGCTGCTGCTGCTGCTGCTGCTGCTGCTGGTACTGCTGCTCCTGGTACCGCTGCTGCAGAAATTGAACATCGTCACGACTCCACACAGCTGCCTCGGGAGGCAACCAATCATCGTCCAGGCTCTTGCACTCGCCTTTGCGCTGTAACGTATCACTCGTCGACTCGAAATTCCAGAATTCCTCTCCATGATGCCCCCAAGATTCCAGGCTCCTGCACTCGCCTTCGCCTCGAACGCGCTTCTTGCCACGATGCTGCGGCTGCGGCGTTGCTGCTGCTACGTTCTGCCGCCCTTCACGACAGCCTTCACAAAGAGATGGAGCAGCAGCAGCAGTAGAGGCGTGTTGCTGACTCATCCAGCTCACGCATTCGCAGATCGTGTTCCATGGCCGTTTCCCCCCAACGACCCCCTCCGCGTGCTCAGTACCTGCTGGTCCCATACGCTCTAGAATGCCCCCCGCGCTGCGTCTCCTCTTTCCTTCAGCCGTGGTCATGCCGTCTGCCAGACGAATGGTTGCGAGCGTGGCAATGGTTGAGTTAAGGCCGGCACTCGTCTTAGAACTACGGAATTCCTCGATACGAGGCTCACTCATCACCATGCAAGCCCTAGATCGGAAAGTGAAGAGGATTTTGAGCTCTAAGGAACTGGCGCTACCAAATGCACGTGCGGAAACGGACGAGGCGATTGCGATTGAAATTGGGGGTTTCGCTACCAAATACACGTGCGGAATTTGACGAAGTGTTTGGGAAGTACGCGTGCAGACTACTGCCAGTTTTTGCTGTTTGGACTCAGATTTCTAGCTGTCGGAGCTTCCTAAAGGAATCCCCTGCGTTACAGTCGGCCTGTCTCGATCACGCAAATGTGAGAGTACTAAACGCGCTTGATTTTACGTTCACGTTTTATCTTGCGTTGCATGAAAAAGGGCGCTTCGAACTTGCTTTCTGTTCTGTGTGAACTTCTAATCTTGTTTCAGAACCTAGGAAGGAATGGAATTGGGGATGGAATGGTGGGTTGGAAATGGAATGGAATTGGCCTGGCTTCTGAGATTTATTCCGAAGTGCGGTGAGGGAGGTGGAGAGAGGAAAATTTGCGCGCGTCTCGGCGAAAGCGATGATTTGCTTGGCGAATATGTTTCACGCGTTAGCGAAGCTCCCAGCTGGTGTCTGGTCGTTGACTGCCAGCTACCAGCACATTTAGGGGGCAGACCCTCAGTGTGCCCCAGCTGCAATCAGTCGCTTCGAGTTGACGAAGGGTTTACGAAGTCAGCGTGCGGTCCACGAGATCGCGAGCGAACAGCGATGGCACTGTAGAGGGCACATCGCGTTATCGCACCTGCTGCGAAGGTCTCATTGAGCGGCAATACTGACGGCTTGATGCTATTACCTGTTACTGAAAGCTGGATTGACCGATTGTTGAGCATCCACGTGTCCACCACTCCAAACTACCTGGTCAGCGAAAGTCGAAGCAGGTATAATGCATCTGCGAACAACAGGGGAGGAAATGTACAGTAAGTTGATCGAGAATTACAGTAAAAGTTATAACAGTAAAGAAACCGGCACTTACAAGGCTTCTACAATCTTCAAATATGAAAAATATAATTACTACATGATGTCGTCCAGGTCGTCCGCCAACATAGGATTAACTGTCAAGCAGTCCATCTTCATCACACATTCCGTCTTCACATCGGCCACCGGCGAACGAATCAAATCCATGCGGCATCCAATATCCCTCGCCTTCCCCGCAGAGCACAGTGTCTCGTACCGCGACCTCAGCCGCTTTCCCGCCCAATTCAAATTCCACCGAGCCTGACGCACAAACGTCCGGGCCTCCCCCAAAAGCACCTTCAAATCCTCCAAATCCTCTTTAGTCACATTCACCAGCCGGTCCTCGTAAAAATACTTGCGACAATCCGGCACACTGGAGCACTTCCGCACCGTCAGCGTCTCAAACTCCTCGTCCAATGGCTGCTTGGCACCTGGCCGCAGCTGATGCAGAAAATAACTCACACCAGCCTGGACCGCCATGAAATAATACCGCGGGTTGAACGTGTTGTGCGGCATTATCTCCAAAACGACGGAGCGGTTTCGGGCGAAAGCGGCGGCGCTTGTGAGACCGGCTCCATGCACCCCCACAATGACCTCTGCGTTGAGAACTGCTTCATACTGCTGGCGGAAGGACAGGCGCGTGAAATCCGCCCTGCGGATCTGAGGGATGAAAGCCGGGTGGGGGCGAAGGTAGAGGGAAGGAAGGTAGTGCGTGTTGAGGGAAAATAGAAGGGAGGGGGAGCGTGTTGAGGGAGGAGAGAAGGGAGGAGGGAAGGAAAGGGATACCTGTGAGGCCAGCTCCAAGTCAACGTAAGGGCTTTTTATCCTAAGGTTTGTCCGGACTGGATTTGCTCACCTTAAAGCCCATGTCATAAAAGAGATCGTACAGCGCTCCATCACTACCATCGTCCAAAATTCGCCGCCCGCCCACGTTCGTCCTGTTCCTCCGAATGAACAGCAGCTGCACACTCGGCTTGGCACGGGCGCTGGGGCTGTCGCCAAGTGGCAGCGGCGGATTGGGCAGCCCGAGGGACGACCCGAGGTGGGCTTTAAACATCTCGGCTTCTGAAGGGCCGCCTGGGTAGGTTATGGCTTTAAGTTTCCCCGGGATGACCACCTTTCCGAAGCACAGAGGCCGGGTTTCCGAGGCTGCTTCAAATGCTGGCTCAAACTCAACAAGGCCTCCGGCTAGAGGCTCTGTGCCAATAAACCTGTTCAGACCCATCCAAAGTCATCCAAACGCACCCAAACCCATCCAGATCATCCAAACCCATCAATATGGGATTGGGGAAGGGGGAAAAAGGCGACAAAATTAACTTAACAAGTCCTCCTTCCACTGCCTCTGTGCCAAGAAAACATGTCCAAGCCTGTCCAAGTGTAAGCAAAGGCCTGTCTAAACCTGTCCAAACCAGACTCAACCCTTTCGACATCACTTTCTCTCCCAGCATCGGTGCCACTGCGAGCCCCAGCAGCTGCCTCGACAATGGTGGTAGAGCCAGAACCGCTGCTCAGCCCATGCGACACACACACACACACACACACCTGCATTCCTCACCTCCTGGCGGCCATGCTGGCCTTCTTGAGCGCCGTCTCTCCTAGCATCGGCGCCACTGCCAGCCCCAGCAGCTGCCTCATTGCTTACCCCGTGTCACAGCAAGATCCCTTGCAGCACACCTCACCTCCTAGCGGCCATGCTGGCCTTCTTGAGAGCCGTCTCCCCCAGCATCGGCGCCACTGCCAGCCCCAGCAGCTGCCTCATTGCTTACCCCGTGTCACAGCAAGATCCCTTGCAGCACACCTCACCTCCTAGCGGCCATGCTGGCCTTCTTGAGAGCCGTCTCCCCCAGCATCGGCGCCACTGCCAGCCCCAGCAGCTGCCTCATTGCTTACCCCGTGTCACAGCAAGATCCCTTGCAGCACACCTCACCTCCTGGCGGCCATGCTGGCCTTCTTGAGAGCCGTCTCCCCCAGCATCGGCGCCACTGCCAGCCCCAGCAGCTGCCTCATTGCTTACCCCGTGTCACAGCAAGATCCCTTGCAGCACACCTCACCTCCTAGCGGCCATGCTGGCCTTCTTGAGAGCCGTCTCCCCCAGCATCGGCGCCACTGCCAGCCCCAGCAGCTGCCTCATTGCTTACCCCGTGTCACAGCAAGATCCCTTGCAGCACACCTCACCTCCTAGCGGCCATGCTGGCCTTCTTGAGAGCCGTCTCCCCCAGCATCGGCGCCACTGCCAGCCCCAGCAGCTGCTTCAGCACTGCTGGTGTTAGTGCAACAACCAGCCCATGCCCCTCGCATTTCTGCATGCGCCACACACACCTGCATTCCTCACCTCCTAGGGGCCATGCTTGCCTTCTTGAGAGCCGTCTCTCCTAGCATCGGCGCCACTGCCAGCCCCAGCAGCTGCCTCACGATCAGTGATACGGCTAGGCTAGGAGCCTAAGAGCCTCACGCCACCTGGGTTAGAGCTAGCAGAAATACCTTCTTGCGGCCATGCTGGCCTTCTTCAGAGCCGTTTCTCCCAGCATCGGCGCCACTGCCAGCCCCAGCAGCTGCCTCAGCACTACCACGTGCCAGCTATCCTTGCCCGCTGCTTGCACGCTGTTGAGCGGATTGAAGGGGAAATGGAAAGCAAGGATACATAAGAAGAGGCGGGTAATGTATATGCTTCAGTTCAGAACCCCAGCAACACTACTACCATCCCCCCAATCTGCTGCTGCTTCAAAGCCAGGCATTCTCAACCCTAAAGCAGGGATGATTACAGAAAACAAATGCAAAATTTCCTCCTTACTATTGACTATAAGGACCACCTGAAAACGCTCCATGTCGGCAATTAGGCTGTGCAGTATTGGTGCGTATTGGTGCTTATTAGCTGAAACAAAATGCTTGCCTAAAAGAAACACTTACGCTTGCAGCAGCTGGGGGGCGCGTGGGAACATGAAGCGATCCACTGGGTGGGGTAGGGCGGGCTTGGAAGCGTTGTTGATTAGAAGAAGCTGACCCACTTTGCCTGGCGGAAGGAGGAAAGGGAAAGAACGGGTGAGGATGGTAGAAACAAGGGCAGCGAGCGGAAGCTTAGAAAAGCAAGACGGTCTAGACCCACCATTCGCGGAAAGAAAAGAGCATGAAACCTGCTGAAAATGCAGCGGTAATAACAGTTAGAACTGTCGCATAACCTGTTCTGCAACTAGGGGTTTCAAATAGGAAGCGGTAAGAAGAGACAACTGCTTGGGAACTTGAAGTAAAGAAAAGATGAAAGATGGAGGAGGGAGAGGAGAGGGAGGGGTGAGGAAAGGGGGGAGGAAAGGGGGGAGGGTCGAGAAGAGGGGAGGGATGGGGGATGGATGGGATGGGAAGGATGGACATAGGGTTGACTGATTACAGTGATGATCACTGCAGACAGCAAATCTGTACAGAACCTGTGCAAGAAAATTAGATCCGTACCGAAGAATGAAGCAATGTTGAGGCAATCCGCGTCAAGAGGCTGCAGGTACGTCGTGCCTTTCCGCCACTCTATGCTGTCTCGGCCCTTGCGCCACCTGCCAGAGAGGGGAGGAAAGGGAGGAGGTAGAGGCACGGAGGAGTGGGGTAGGGGGAGGAAGAGAGGCTGCAGGTACCTCGTGCCTGCTCGCCACTCGAAGCGCTCTCTCTCCTTGCGCCACCTGCAAGGGGGGTGAGGAAGGGAAACGAGGGAGGGTGGAAGGAGGGAAGGAGGTAAGGAGGGAAAGAATGAGGCCATGTTAGAGGCAATCCGCGTCCAGAGGCTGCAGGTACGTCGTGCCTGCTCGAATGGGGTTGCTTGCGCCACCTGGCAGGGAGGAGCCATCCTTATCGCACGCGCCATTCTTTCCAACGGCTTACCCCTTGTCGCGCTGTCCAATCCCGTCTATAGGCGCCTCCTTTAAAGTGATCCGTAAAATCCGGCGGAATTTATCCAATCGGCGACACGTCACCGGCACGAGAGGATTTTCCTCCAGCAGCAGCCGCTGCCGCCGCCGCTTTTCGCGGAGAGTCTCGTTTTGCGCGCCTTCTCCGCCGCCTCCGGAAGCGGCGCGCGGATGCAGGGCTGCGACCCGAAATCCCCGACAAGAGCGGATCCGTTATAGCACACGTTGTGGCAGACGCAGAGCGACTGCCAGCAGCAGAAGGAGTTGCGGACAGTGTAGCAGCTGCAGCCCGCGGGTTTCTCCGCGGACGCTGCGGCGGAGGCGGAAGAGGAAGAGGCGGAGGCGGAGATCGTGGCGGAAGAGGCGGAGGCGGAGCGGCGAGACGCGGCGGGGGAGATGGATCGTGATGCGGAAACTCGCGGGTTCCCCCTCCGCGACCGCGGATCCGGACGCGAAGCGGTTCTCCCCGCGCCCCTCCCTCCGCCTCTTCCGCCTCCCCTTTCCCGGGCAGGCTCGGCGGAAGGAAGTGAGGAGAGGAGGAGGAGGAACGGAAGAATAACGGCGACCAGGAAGACAATGCGAGGTGTATTAGCCATGGCTTGCGGGAAGAGAAGATTCTAGCACCAGAATGAAAATATACAGCAGCGCAGAAGCTGTTTCTGATGCGTAAACGCCCAGCTGCCGCTTGAAATGTGGGCTTGGTGAAAGGAAATCCGCATGCGCCCTGGCCAAGTTGAGGCTTAAAAATCGATTTCGTAACGGCTGGCGAAAATTCGGAGGCAGGATAAAGCGGAGAGCGAAAAAGCAGGCACTACGACACGGATGCGGAGAAATCTGGCGCTCAGCCTATCAATGGCTGGCAATCAATCTCCAAGAACGTCCATGGATTGAAGACCGCCATTGTTCATTCCTCCTAATCTGGTATTCCCTATCATTCAGTCTGAACTGGTCTGCCTGCTCCGACTGGAAACATTGGCGCGCAAATCCCGAGGGAAGATGGTGATGGGGCTTGGCGCGGGGAGGTTTGGGAGGGGCGGGTATGGGGGATTTGATGATGATGTGCGATGAACTCAGTACGGTTTAGTCAGATCGTTTTGCTATTTTGAGCGGTCGGATTATAATATCCAACGGTTGAGTAGGTTTTGAGCGAGCCGTATCGAATGGTTGCGATAGGATTTTTGGCATTTTCAGCACTGTCGGTGGTGTGGCGAATAAAAATCGCAATTCGCAGGGACGGCATAAAATGAGACCAATCGCAAAAAACCTGTTCATTGTCGGTAGTTCCACCTGCTCGCTACCGAGCACAAAAACTACACTGTTGATTCCGATATATTCATTGGTGGTATGTGTAAAGTTGTAAAATCAACTCTAAGGGTTTAGCTAGTCACCCAGCCTGCACCACTCAACAATAAAAATGTCAACATATTTCTAAGCTATCACGTCGCAGTTGTATTCATTGCGTTTCCTTGCGTGGTGCTGCTTGTCGCTCCACCAGCTTTAAGGTCTTCATTTGAACCAGCTTTGGCAACACCACTAGTAGCACCACCAGCAACATTGGCAATCAAGCCTGCAGCAGCAGCAGCACCTGGTGAGGTGGTAACAGGTGCAGAGGTTACTGGTGCAGATGTAACATTGGCAGATGTAACTGGTGCAGAGGTAACCTGCGTAGGGCTGACAGGCTTGGCACCTGAAGCAGCTGATGGTGCAGGTTTGACAGATGCAACACCACCAGCAGCACCAGTAGCACCAGCCGCACCAGCGCTAGCTGCACCAGCAGCAGCACCAGCAGCACCACCAGCAGTAGCACCAGCACTAGTCGCACCAGCAGCAGCACGGGCAGGAACAGCATTGGCAGATCCAGCAGTAGAAGCAGAAGCAGCAGCAGCTCCGCCAGTACTCCCAGCAACAGCACCACCAGCTGCACCAGATGCTGGTTTGGCTGGGCTTGCAACAGCAGCAGCAGCATCACCAGCAGCAGCAGCAGCAGCCGCAACAGTAGCTGGAGGAGTCTTTGGCTTAGCTGTCGGTTGAGTGCCTGACACTGGCTTGACTTGACTTGTGCCCGCTGCTCCTGCTGTTGCTACTGCTCCTGCTGCTCCTGCTGCTCCTGCTGCTCCCGTTGCTGCTCCACCTGCTCCTGCTCCTGTTGCTGGTGATGGAAGAACAGACGTCGCAGGCTTGGGGACTGTTGGCGCAGGTTTGGCAGCTGCATTGGCTGAGGCTGCTGGACTGGGTGACACCGAGCCTGCGACTGCACCCGAGCCTGCAGCAGCCAAGCCTCCAGCTGCCGAGCCTGGCTTTCCTTGCATGAGCTTAGCCAAAGCCTGGCTGTCAGCTTCGGAGATAGTTGAAGTGGTGGGGTTAGACGTGCGGATGGGAGTAGATGTAATGATTGGAGTAGTCTTGGCTGTGGGGGAAGATGTGCCGGTGTTGGGGATAGACGTGGCACCAACAGGGGTAGATTTGCTGATAGCAGCAGGCACGGCAACAGGTGTTGCTGGTGTGTCGGCAGCTGCTGTAGCTGTGCTTGGGGGGACTGTTGCTGCTACAGCCGCTGAGAGTGGAGTGAGGCGAGGAGTGAGGAGGGCCGGCTGTGCAACAGCTGCTGCAGGAGTGGTAGGCAATGGCTTTGCTACAGCTGCTGCGGGGGTGGCACGCAGTGGCTGTGCAACAGCTGCTGCTGCTGTAGGAGTGGCAGGTAATGGTTGTGCTACAGCTGCTGCTCCAGGAGTGACAGGCACCGGTTTCGCTACAGATGTTGCAGGAGTGACAGGTAACAGCTTTGCTACAGCTGCTCCTGCTGTTGAAGGGGTGGCAGGCAGTGACTGCGCAACAATTGCTCCTGCAGGAGTGGCAGGCACTGTCTTTGTTACAGCTGCTAATAGCGATGGGGATGGTGTTGCTGGGCGTGGTGTTGCTGATGGTGTTACTGTCGTTCCTGCTAAAGGCTTCAATGTTGCTGCTGACGTGGCAGATGTGGCACCCGTCCCACGAAGCATGGTGCCACCTGCACCTACTCCTGATGTACCTCCTGTGGTGGCCTTGGCTGCTGTTCCCGCTACACCTGCGCCTGCTGCTGTCCCTGCTAGAATTCCTGTTCTGCTACCTGCAGTGACCACAGGGCTAGGAGAGAGAATGCTTTTGCTGCTGGAAACCGGAGCAGAGGTAGCCGTAACAATGGCAGGAGTGACAATAACAGGAGTAGCAGAAAGGAGAGAGGAGGCTGGCTTGGTCAGCAGATTCTGTTGCTGCGATTGTGCTTGGAGTGAAGTGGATGCTGCTGATGTGGATGTGGGCAGACCTGAGGTGGATGTAGGCAGAGATGACGAGGATTTATCCACTGCCACGTCATCAGAGGAAGGCACATCCCTCAGCAGATTCTCAGCCTCGTCAAGCCCAAGAATAGGGTCTGAATTTAAACCTGAACCTGAACCTGAACCTGCACCTGAACCTGAACCTGCAGTTGAACCAGAAAATGACTTTGGCTCAAGGTGCTGCTGTTGCAGTGTTTGCTTCTGCTGCTGAAGTGCCTGCTGCTGCGGCATCTGCCCTTGCTGCATCTGCCCCTGCTGCATCTGCCCCTGCTGCATCTGCCCTTGCTGCATCTGCCCTTGCTGCATTTGCAAATTCGTCTGCTGCGGCAATCTAGTCCCTTCTGCTCGGCCCAGCACCTGAGACCCCACTGTCTCTCGTGCTTCCTGCACTCCTGGCAGCTGCATTGGCTGCTGATGCATTTGCTGTTGCTGCTGACCCGCCCCTTCCCGCCTGCCACCATCTGCCACAGCCGAGCCCCATTCTGATCCCTCTTTCCTGATTACTCCTCCCTCACTGCCACCCAGCTTTTGAGGCGCCTCAAAAGTCGTCTCCCCCCTGCCACCATCTGACACTGCCACAGCCGAGCCCCATTCTGATCCCTCCTTCCTTATCACACCTCCCTCACTGCCACCCAAACCGCTGCCACCGCTGCTGCTGCTCCGGCTGATGCTGCCACTGCTGATGCTGCTGCTGCCGCTGCTGATGCCATTGCCGCTGCTCCTGAGGCTGCCAGTGCTGCTGCTGCGGCTGCCGTCACTACCCTGGCCAGCAGCAGCCGTCCCTCTCCTCTTCTTCCTCCTACGCACTCTCTTAGCCGCCCTCATCTCACCCTCCATCCCCCCATCCAAATCACCCTCCCCTCCCATTCCCACACCTGCTTCTCCATCCCCGTCCCCTTCCCCATCTCCATCCCCCTCCCCCTCCCCATCCCCCTCCGTGCTTCCACCCTCCTCTCCCTCTCCCTCAGCTTCCCCTGCTCTCTCTCGCTCTCTCTCCCCATCCGCCTCCTTCTCCTCCTGCTCCTCCTTCTCCTCACCCTCCTCCTTCTCCCCCTCCTCGCCCTTCCCTTCTCCGCCTCTCTCTCTCCGCTCATCCTCCCCCTCTGCATCATCTTCCACAGCTTCAGGTCCCTGCACGTCCCCCCCTCCCACCTCACCACTAAATTCACCCCTAGCAGCAGCACCAGCACCAGCAGCACGAGCAACAGCACCACCACCACCGCCAACAGTTCCCGTACTAACACCAGCACCGGCACCAGAAACAGAACCATAACCAGAACCAGAAACCCTAGTATCAACGCTCCCGTCGGCAGCAGCAGCAATAGTGCCACTGCCACGTGCCCCAGCCTCTTCCTCCTCCCCCTCCACTCCTCCCAGCCCTCGCAGCACCTCATCATCCTCCAAATGACTCCTACCCTCTCCCTCTCTCGCCCCTGCGTTCCTCAGTCCCACGTCCCGTCTTACATCCCCTATGCCCGCATTCCTCTCGCCCTGTGCTTCCCCTGCTGCGCCCTGTGCTTCCCCTGCTGCGCCCTGTGCTTCCCCTGCTGCGCCCTGTGCTTCCCCTGCTGCGCCCTGTGCTTCCCCTGCTGCGCCCTGTGCTTCCCCTGCTGCGCCCTGTGCTTCCCCTGCTGCGCCCTGTGCTTCCCCTGCTGCGCCCTGTGCTTCCCCTGCTGCGCCCTGTGCTTCCCCTGCTGCGCCCTGTGCTTCCCCTGCTGCGCCCTGTGCTTCCCCTGCTGCGCCCTGTGCTTCCCCTGCTGCGCCCTGTGTTTCCCCTGCTGCACCCTGCGCCTGCCCCAGCACACCCTGTGTCTGCCCCGCCCCTCCCTGGCCTCCTCTGGAGTCAAAGTCCCCTGTAAGATCCGATGCTTGCTCTCTCCCCCCTCCACCTGAAACATCCATTGCTCTCCCTGCAATATCTAGTATCTGCCCCCTTTCCCCTCCCCCTTCCCCCTCCCTCTCCCCTCCCCCTATCCTTCCCCCTTCCCCTTCCCCCGCTTCCTCCTCCCCCTCTCCTCTCTCCCCCCCTTCCCTTTCCCCCTCCCCTTCCTTTTCATCCCTTAAAGCCCCAGTCCGAACATGGTGACTCTCTGTCTCATGATCCACCTCGACCCCATCCTCTGCTTCCCCTCCCCTCCCTCTCTCACCCCCCCTCCCTCTCTCACTCCCTCTCTCACCTTCCCAACCCCCCTCTCTCTCACTCTCACTTGACAATTCCCCGCCCATCCCACCCGCCCTGCCACCAGAATTACTGTATGGTAAACCCTGTGGGATTCTTTCAGGAACGACAACTCCTTGATTCACAATCTCCCGCTCTCTCAGCAACTGCTGCTGCTGAAGATCCTCCCCCTCAGCTCCTCCCCTCTCTCCCTCTCCCCTCTCTTCCCCCTCCCTCTCGCCTCCTCCCGTCTCTTCTGCTTCCCCCCTGTCGCCTCTCCCTTCTCTCTCCTCCCTTAGCTCGTCCCCCTCTCCCTCGGGTATCTCCCCCCCATCCTGTGCCGTTTCAATATCAGACTGCCCCAGCCTTCCCTCCTCCACCTTGCGTTCAACCTCGTCCCCCTCAGCATCCCTCCCCCTCCCTCTCCCCTCTCCTTGTCCCTGCCTTTCAAACTGCCCCCTTTCCACCCTCCCAGCTCTTTCCATCTGCCCCCCCATCTGCCCGCCCACCTGCCCTTCTCCCTCCACCTCCCCTTCCGCTGCCCCTTCTCCATCCAGCTCCTCGTCCTCTGCTGTGGACCGTTTCCCCACAAGCCTAGCTGCTGCTTCCAATACCGGATCACCTCTTAACGAATCCTGTGGCACGGTGTCATCAGGACCACCCACGTCCGTAGAAACACCAGTGCCTCTCATACCAACACCACCACCACCAGCACCAGCACCAGCACCAGCGCCAGAAGCATAAGCACCAGCAGCGCCAGCACCAGCAGCACCAACAGCATCGCTCCTAGCAACTCCAATCCCGCCCTCTCTCACACCCACCCCTCCTACGCCTCCTCCCCCCATCCCATCCTGCCCCATCCTGCCTGCAACCCTCCCCCTTCCACGAGGCCCCACCCGCCCACTAACCCTTATATCCCCGTCCTCAGTACCACCTTCCTCAGTCCCAGCCTCCCCAAATCCCGCCCTCTCCATCCCGCGTTCTCCTCTCCTCCCCACCTCCCTCTCCCTCATACCATCTCCCTGCGATTCCTGCTCTGTTCTCGGATCTAGCTGCTGCCCTGTTCCTCCTTCCCCTGCACTCAGCAGCCCAGGAGTCTTCTGTTGCACCACGCTTGCCCCAGCGCCAGCAGCATCTGCTCTCAGCACAGAAGCACCCTCCTCTTCCCTAGTTGCTAAGCCGTTGAGTAGGGATGTGTCTGGTGTGACTGGAGCGAAGGTTCCTATAGCAGAGGCAGAATCCCCACCACCACCATCAACAGCACCACCACCGCCACCACCACCAACCCCACTGCTACTGCCACCGCTGCTACTGCCACCGCTGCTACCGCTGCTGCTGCTGCTGCTGCTGCTGCTGCTGCTGCTGCTGCTGCTGCTGCTGCTGCTGGGATCGTTGATACTAACACCAAAATCGCTGCTGCTCTCACTGCTGTTTTCACTACCGCTCACACTGCCACCGTCCCTCCTCACTCTTGACTGAGCCGAAAAGCCACCTATAAACCCCACCAGGAGCAGCACCACCACCATCACTACAGAACTAACCAGGCAGCACAGAATCACACCTCGCCTTCTCCTTTTCCTAGATGACAATGGCACACCCGCCCCTACCTTCCCCCCGCTCCCCATTCCCCCTCCCCCCGTTCCCCCTCTCCCTGCGCCCCCCGCCCCAATACCACCCCCCCTGGGTGACCCTCCCCACCCCCAGTTGCCCCCTCCGCCCGCCCCTCCCCCCGATTTACTCTCCCAGGAGGGGGACCTTCCCCCTGCCTTTGTCTCCCCCCCATCCCACGAGCCCCAGTTCCCCCAATCCCCACTCCCCCCGCTTCCCCCCTTCACCCCAACTCCCCCTCTGTTGCCCCGCCACTCCCCATCCCCTCCCCCTCCTCCCCCTCCCCTTCCCCCGTCACTGGGTCTATTTAAGGAATCAACCCCCAATCCCCTGCCTCTCCTTCCCCTTACGTCTTCTGCCAGTCGCGCTCCAGAAGAAGACAAAGAAAGCCCACCAGCAGCAGAAGAAGACAATGCATGCCCACCGGCAGCAGTGGCAGCTACAGGGGATAAGGATTCCCAATCGGAATTATCCCAGCCTCCGCTGCTGCTACTATCGTCACTATCAACATCACCACCAGCATCAGCAGCAGAAGCAGCAGCAGCAACACCAGCAGCACCGCCAGCACCACCACTGGCAACAACACTGCTGCTGGAGACACCTATCTTACTGGTAACACCAGTGCTACTGCTGGTAACACCTTTTGGGGGCTTGACTGACACAGCAGGTTCTAGCCCTAGTCCCTCCCACCCACCCGTGCTGCCCTTATCCCACTCATCTGTCTCCACCTCTGCCCCCCACCCTTCGTCCTCCTCCCCTTTATCACTCTCCCCCCATCCACCGCCCCCTTTATAACCACTCCCCCTAGTAGCACCCAGACCTGCACCAGAGGTTCGGTCACCGGAGCTGGAGGGCCGCCCGGTGGAGCTGGAGGGGCGGTCAGGAGACACTCCCAAGCCTAGGATGGCTCGGCCAGTTCCCGAACCTGATCGCTTTGGAACACCGAATTCCGGACTGGCTCCTGTCCCTCCGAATCCATGTGCCTGTTGCTGATATTGCTGCTGCTGCTGCCGCCTGGGTGGGGTTTTGAACTTCCTCTCGATAAACCCAGACAGCACACCAGTAGGCTGAGTCAGATACTGCTTCTCAGGATCATATCTCTCCCTCTCCGGCCCACTTTCCCTCCCTCCTGGCGGCCGGCGCGGGGGGGACGCGGCTGTAGCAGCGCGGGCGAGTTGAGCCGCTACAGCCGCGATTCCAGCAATTCCCGAGGGAAGCTTCCCGCCTGACAGCCCCGCAGCACCAAGAATGTCATCAGCGTCTTCCTTAGTGAACCAAGCAGAGGAGGAGGACGCATCAGGCTTATGCTGCTGCTGCTGATAGCTATGGGAGCCAGAAGACGCGTAGGAGGATAGCTCGTCCGTGTCTTGTGGGAGCATGTGGGTGGGGACTGAGGGAGGTGCGGCTTTGCTGGAGGCGTGGAGGACGAGAGGCTTGGGTGAAGCGGGGCCATGCTTCGGAGAGGAGGCTCGGGGAGAGCCAGGTTGGGGGGATCTGTGAAGGGGACGGGTTGCCGAAGCAGGGAGGGTGGTTTGGTGGGTTCAGTTGAGGACAAGGGAATGCCCCGAAATTCGGAATTACTAACCGCGAAAGGTATCTTTGGGCCATCAGCACGGGTTCCTACGGAACGAGCACTGACAGCCAAGGGGAATGTTAAGAAATCAGGAGTTCCAATTCATAATCTGACCAGAAATGTTAGCGAAAATGACCAAAAGAGTTGAATCCTATTAGAAAACAATACATTATTTTAAATGGTCATGAAAATGACACATGCAAAGCGCAAATTACTCCAACGAATGATAGCATCCTTCACCTAACGGTTGGCAAGCTTTCTGCAATCTTGGTATCTTTTTCCGTACCTTGAGCCTGAAACGACTGGACGAGTCTGAACGAGCTTCTTCTTCTTAACGACAGCCGATCCCGTGCGATGAACCGGCGCGTCGGAGCTCGGTGCAGAGCGGTTCGCAGTGGTGTCGGATCCCGTGCGATGCACCGACCCTCCGAATTGTCGCCGATCCATGTCGTCGCGTAAGACGCACTTGATCCGGTTCTCCTGCTAATCTCGCATTTAATTAGTTTCAGCAATCTATCCTGAAGCTCTGGGAAACGATTCACCCGTAAAAGGTAGTTTTTTCAAGCCGTTCAACGCAGCACTCGCCTCGCATTCCCGACCGAACCATGCGTGCTCTAAGCTTCACGGGCGCATAAAAAACATTCCCAGCTGAAGGTTTCGGTCTCATAAGTCCCTACAGCCTGCCTGCAAAGGTGTTCAAAGTGCCTGTATTGCGCGACTGCATCAAAGAACAACAATGGACATGTCACATGTTGCATCACCTGAAAATGGTCAATGAAAATGGGACAGGATGTGGGACGCCAATGCCCAAATGAAATGGAGGAGGTTGGTGGTGGCGAGGCGATGTGAGCAGAATTGTGGGGCCAAGATCGAGGCAAGATCGAGGCAGGTGGAGGAGGTACGGCAATCCCAGGCATGCGACCAAAGCCAAGCCAAGAAATGGAGGAGAAACCGAGGCTGTGTCCGCGTCTTGGAGAAATCGCTGTTTTCATACACGCTATTTTAATAATCATATTTGCAACGCATGAATTCAGGTCTCAATGAAAAACAATGCAAGATCCAGTGAAAACAAAGCACAAGTGCTCGGCTAAACATCAAGATACATTGAACCGGGTTCTACCTTAAGGATTAAATACATTATTAATGCATACATTCAGTGCAAAAAGGCCAATAATTATAATTGCCACCAGAAGGTGGTAACAAGTTAATGGATGATCAATTCCCCACCTCACTGCATCGCACTCAAAAGCTATTGCATCCTTTGAAAAACGATCGGGGGCGGTTGATCCTGATGTTCTTCCTGCACCAGGCACCACCAACCAACCATCAACCACCTCCACCGATTTTACCGCTGCTGGATCTCGCCAATTCTCAAGATTATCCAAGCAACATTTTACCAGGCAGCAGGGATGCGTCATTGTGCAGTAGAGACATTTCTCAGGTGTCAGGGAGATTTTGGTTATCAGGGAGAGCCGGGAGCACAATGGTGACCAGAGAGTGGCGCATCCATGAAAACATTCGCGTAACTTAGCAGCATTTCTCTGGACATTTATTGTTTTAGCCACACTTTTGTAGAATCTCGCAACATTTTGACGTTGCAGAGGCACATTCTTGTCGACATTGATCAGAATTAGGTGATGACATTTTGATCATTCGGCAACTACGAAAGTCATGGCGGAATCGGCAGGCCGCAACAAGTGGGACGGAACTGGTCCCACTCGCTCTACCACCTCCGTCTCCGATTTAATGCTTGGCGAAGTCGACCTTTCTGGTAACTCCGCCCTCCAGCGTTTCGCGGCTCTCGCGGCGGAAGAAGCGGACAGAGCGCGAGGCACGCCGCATTCCTCCATCGCCGCTGCCGCCGCCGCCGCCGCCGCTGTCACGATCATTTCAGATGTGAGATCGTTCCCGGTAATCCCGGAAGATACGGCGACTTCAGAAACCCAGTCACAGCAGCACGAGGAGCACGGGTTAGGGAAATCGCAGAAGCGCAATGACGGAGCAGGAGCATCAGGAGGATCATACCAGGAGCAAAAAGCTTTAGGTTTTGGTCCGTCAGGTCCCGCTATTCCTCCTGCTGTTCCTCCTGTTCCTGGTTCTGCTGCTGCTTCTGCTGCTGCTGCGTCCTCTGCGTCAGTTCATCCGTTACACGGCGTCGTGACTGTTCCGGACATTCCGCTTCTTTTGCTGCGGCTGATCGATGCAGCGGCTCACGAGGGCCACCCGAAGGCGCTGACGAAACTTCGCCGAATTGCAGCTGGGTTGGATACTTTGGAGAGCTTTACAAAAGGTAGGCGCGGGGAGGGGAAGGCGGGGAACGCTGAAGAGAAGACAGAAGTGGAAGAGGCCAAAGGGGTTGATACCCAAGGGGATGAAACCAAAGGCGAAGGTGTCTCTGGGGAGAAGGAGGAAGATGCAGAAGAGAAGAATGATGCTCCAGGTCACGGTGACGAATCTGATAAGGGCGAGGGAGCGAAGGAAGGCGAGGGAGGGACGGGGAGCGAGGCTCGCGAAGCAGGAGGCGATGGGGAAGCCGCGGTGACACAGGCCGGGGAGGAGCTAGGAACGTTAGGGTCGTTAGGGAAGGAGGAAACGTCGAGGTTGATTGTGGAGACTCTGTTGGCGATCATGGGGGGTCGGCACGAGGAGGAGGAGATAGGCCAGGCTGGGTCAGGCAAAAGGGAGGGCGGAGAGGGATTGGGAAGCAGAAGCAGCGGCAAGAGTGGCAGCAGCACGGGTGGCAGTATGGGTAGCAGTGGTGGGCAGGGGTGGATGAAGGGAGGAGGGCCTGTGATCATGCTCACTCCCGAAGCTGCTAGGCTCGGCGCGTGGCTGCTGCCGTGGCTGCCGTGCCACGAGCCTGCTGCTCACACTCCAGACGCTGAAACCGAACCTGCAGCAGAGAAGGCTGAGAATGCAGAGACAGTTGATAACTCTGAGACTGCTGAGAATGCCGAAAACGCAGAGGCAGCAGATAAGCCTGAGACTGCGGAGAATGCGCAATCCCAGGCGATCCAGTCGTCTTCAGATGAAGGCCATCCTGCCATGTCAACTGCTGCTGAGTCATCACCCTCTGTCGATTCCTCCGCTGCCGACCCCCCATCGACCGATTCCCCAGATCCAGCTGCAGTCCCTTCCGTTATAATCACAAGCAGCACTGCCAAACCTGCCACTCAGCCCGCCCCAGAGCCACCAGCTAAACCCAAACCCGCTGCTCAGCCCCAGGTGTCCCCCAGGACGCGCATGGCGCGGGGCATAGCCCGCGTGCTGCTCTCCTGCACGCGCAACCGCGCCCTGTGCGCCTCAATGGGGCTTGTGAGGGCGCTGCTGGCCGCTCTGAGGGTGATTCTCCTGGGAGGGGTGGACGCGCAGGGGCTGCCGCCTGCTGCTGCTACTGCTGACGCTCTGCTGCTGCCAGGGAGGAGTGGCATCAGCTCGAAGAATAACGACCGTTCTAGCAGCACGAGCGCAGGTGCAGATGAGACAGGGTGTGAGGGTGAATCAACTCCAGTGACGCCATTGTTTGGAGTGGCAGATGAAGCAGCGTGGGACTGCTCCCCTCTGGTGACGGCTCTGGAGTGCCTAGCAGCGCACTCTCTCAACGTTGCTGAGCTCCAGGATTGGGTGCGATCAACCGAGGCCCTTATCCTCCCTGCTGCCCCACCTGCTGCCGCTGCCGCTGCTTCTGCTGCTGCTGACGCTCCAGATGGTCCCAGGAGCAGCCCTTGCAGCAGCAGCCTAGCTGGTAGTGGTCGTGCTGCCTTACTGCTGACAGCTTTGGAGCGTGCCATGGCTGGGGAGGAGGCTCGGGGGCCGTCCCATTCCTTCGAGCTGGACGGCCGAACCTCCGGGCTGCTAGGTCCGGGCGACAGCAAGTGGCCCTTCAGTAACGGTTACGCTGTCGCCACGTGGCTGTACGTCGAATCGTTTGTCGACACGTCAGCGTCGGCGATCACCGCAGCAGCCAAAGCAGCGGCCATTGCAGCAGCAATCACGGCAAAGGGAGGAGGGAAAGGGTCCGCTCAGGTGACTGCTGCTCAAATCGCTGCTGCTGTAGCAGCTGCTAACTCCAATATCCTCCACTTGCCACGCCTCTACAGCTTCTTAACCATCGAGAACCACGGAATAGAGGCCTATTTCCACAAAGACACCCTCGTTGTGGAGTCTAATTGCCCTTGGACCGGCATCCGAAACGCGGTTCGTTTCCGGCACACATTCCTCCCGCGCCGCTGGTATTTCCTAGCCCTGGAACACATCTTCAAACCGTCTCTCATGGGTAAAGCAGAAAGTGAAATCCGGCTGTATGTGAACGGACGGCTGATTGAGTCCTGCCCTCTTGATTTGCCCCGAATCTCCAACCCGTTAGGGTTTCTCTGCATAGGCACCAACCCCCCTTCCGGACTGCTCTTGAACTCCTCTCAGAAACAGACAGGACCCGCCGCCCATCATCACCAGCAGCAGCGGCAGCAGCGGCTACAGTGCCCCCTGTTCGCCGAGCTCGGCCCGGTCTACATCTTCAAGGAGCCAATCGGAAGTGAGAGAATCGCCAGGCTGGCGGTGCGTGGTGGGGACCACCTGCCTGTGTTTGGGGCGGGTGCGGGGGCGCCGGCTCACATGGGGAGTGAACTGATGATGAGGAAAGCTGAGGAGTCATGCAGTCTAGATGTGGACCTCGCACCCAGTATCCACCTCCTGTACCACCCCAAGATGCTTCTGGGAAGGTTCTGCCCGGACGCCTCTCCTGCCACTGCATCTGGTGTGTGTCCCAACCCTACATGCCCACATTTCAAGTTCCATGGTTCATCATATCCCAAACCCTGAACCTCTTCCCATCTCAGTCAGTCTCTCTCTGGTGCCTTTCAAACAGTTTTTTGAGTCGACTGAGGAAAAGAACCCGTTTCATGTCTTCGATGTTTGAGTTGCTCTGCTCCGCTCCTTTGCTGACTTTGAAGTGAAGCTGGATGGACCCATATATGCCCAATCTCAAGACTCAAACCGGGATCCCTTTCTCACGCTCTCCCAGGCGTGCAGAGGAGGCCAGCAGAGGTGGTGGGGCAGGTGCATGTGGCAGCGAGGCGGCGAGCTGCCGATGCTCTCTGGGCTGCAGCAGAGGGCGGGCCCCTGGCACTGCTGCCCCTCGCCATCGAAGCCATGGATGTGCACTCCATGGCACCGCAGGTGAGTGCTGGCTGCCTGCCTCGTTGCTTCAAGTTGCTTTGATTGAAGCAATGTGCTGGGCAGCAACAAAGGTACCCCCTTGCCGCTGCTGCTTCATCTCTGCACTGGAGGGAGCAATAGCCCTCCATCCACCAAACCATGGCACCTTTTTGAGTCGACTAAACGGTCGATCACACCATGGCACTGTGCATCAGTGCTAGCTGCTTCATTGTATATATCCTTCCAATTTCAATCGCCCACTCCCCTCATCCACTTTCTCCCGTTCCACCCTTGTCTTCCATCACGGGTTCTCTCCATCACCCTTGCCTCCTCTCTCCGTCTCCGCCTCCCAGCTTCTCCCCCACGCTCTTTGCATCATTGCTCGCTCCCTCTCTCCCTGTTCTCTCCCTCCCTCCCTCCCTCCCTCCCTCCCTCCCTCCCTCCCTCCCTCCCTCCCTCCCTCCCTCCCTCCCTCCCTCCCTCCCTCCCTCCCTCCCTCCCTCCCTGTTCCCCTGCCATCCCTTGCAGGTTCGCTCACCTCCTCTCTCCCTCTGCCGCCCGATGAACCGAAAACAGCTCAAAGGACCCGCGCCCGCGCTCCCATCATTGCGTACTCCCTCCCTCCCTGTTCCCCTCCCACCCCTCTCTGTGTTCCATCACAGGTTCGCTCGCCTCCTCTCTCCCTCTCCGCCTCTCAGCTCCTTCCCAACACCTTCCGCATCATCGCCCGCTCACTCCGCCGCCCAATGAACCGAGAAGAACTCAAGGGACCCGCCCCCGCGCTCCTCTCCCACCTCCTCCGCTTCGTCCTCTCCTCGCCACCCACTCTTAACGAATCAGCTTCTAACGAATCAGCGGCTGAAGATACTAGTGGATCTATTGACAGCTCCAAGGAACATTCAATGGAGAAGAGTCTAGAGCGAGAGCGAGAGCGAGATAGAGAGCGAGATAGGGACAAAGAGCTGGTCCACGCGTGCATGCTCCTGGCCCACATGCCCCGCCCTGGCGACCACCTGAAAAACCACCTGATGGAGCACCTGCTGCTGCACCTGCCTCTGTGGGCGCCCGCCCACCTGAGCACGCAGAGGGCCCTGCTTGCAGCCGTAGGGGACGCGGTCTCTCTGGAGCTGCAGGCTCTTCAATCAGTGGGGGCTGTCTCGGTACGTAAACGTAAATTATGGGGAGAAGAGTGTTGGCAGTAGCGGGTGGTGACAGGTGAGAGAGTGAGGTGGTATCTTGGAGGGCCCTGCTGGCAGCCGTAGGGGGCGCGGTCTCTTTGGAGCTGCAGGCGCTGCAATCAGTGGGAGCTGTGTCGGTACGTACTGTGTGAAGTATTGGGGGAAAGGGGTGTTAGCAGTACATGGGGGTGAGGGATGGTTGGGTGGGATGGTTTCACGCAGAGGGCCCTGCTTTCAGCCAAGGGGGATGCGGTCTTTCTGGAGCTGCAGGCACTGCAGTCAGTGGGAGCTGTGTCTGTAAGTAATGTTTGGGGATGGATAGGTGTGGCAATGGGTGACAGGGGGTTTGGTTCACGCAGAGGGCCCTGCTTGCAGCCGTAGGGGACGCGGTCAGAGAGCTACAAGCGCTGCAATCAGATAGGGCTGTCTCGGTAGATTCACATTGGGGAGGGTGAGAGGTATCGAGTGGTTTCACACAAAAGCCCTGCTTTCAGGTGTAGGGGACGCTGCCCCTGTGGAGCTGTTCTGTCCCACAAACTGCATCACCCCTGCTCTTCCGACTTTCTTCCCTGCGCTCTTTCCCATCCCTCAGCTCCTTTTGGATGGCTGCTACTGAGCTACTGGATGACGTGGGAACCCTCCTCTGCGCTTTCATGCTTCCCCCCTACCACTAATTTCACCCACCTCTCAGCTCCTCCTAGACGGCTGTCGCCGCTGCTACTGGATGACCTGGGAGCCCTCCGCTTGCATTTGCAGCTTCCACTCCCATCATTTCCCTTCTCCACCCCCACCTGCCCATCCGCCCTTTCACCCACCTCTCAGCTCCTTCTGGACGGCTGCCGCCGCTGCTACTGGATGACCTGGGAACCCTCCTCTAGCGCTTCCATGCTTGAAACTATTCCCCCATCCCCCCCACCCACCTCTCACTCACGCGCCCTCCTCCCAGCTTCTCCTGGACGGCTGTCGTCGTTGCTACTGGATGACCTGGGAGCCCTCCTCTGTGCGCCTCTGCACTGCCAGCTGGAACCCTAACCTCCCAGTGGCAATAGTGAAGGGAGAGGCAGCGGGAGGATTGGGAGCAATGGTGAAGGGAGGGGCAGGAGGGGCAGGAGAAGCGGGGGCGGGAGGGGGTGCGGAGTGGGGGAGGGAGGAGATGCAGGAGGAGCGGATGGGGCTGATGGGGGAGGTGAACGGCATGGTGAATGCGGTGATGGGGGCGCTGGAGAAGCTGGTGTGTGCTGGCGTGGGGCTCGATGTGATGGGCGCAGACATGCGCGCTCTTGTCTCCTTTGCTCTCCAGTGCCCTCAGGCCAACCAGGTGAGAGATCGAACTCACGACTCATGTACTCACATACTCACGACTCATGAGGGTAAATGGGTAGTGATCTGGTTGGCATGGTGAATGCGGTGATGGGGGCACTGGAGAAGCTGGTGTGTGCTGGCGTGGGGCTCGATGTGATGGGCGCAGACATGCGTGCACTTGTCTCCTTCGCCCTCGAGTGCCCTCAGGCCAACCAGGTAAGGAACTTAAACCCTAAAACCCTGACCCTAGACCCCGGCTCTGGAGAAGCTGGTGTGTGCTGGCGTGGGGCTCGATGTGATGGGGGCAGACATGCGCGCGCTTGTCTCCTTTGCTCTCCAGTGCCCTCAGCCCAACCAGGTGAGAGATCAAACTCACATACTTGAATGGGCATCGCATAGCAAATGCATAGTGAATGGGCCAATGCATGGCACAGTGACCGCTGAATCTCCGTGTCTCGCCTTTTCCTCATCTTCACACCCCAACAGCAGCAGCGCTACAGCCTTGTACTAATCTTTTCTCCTCCTTTCACTCTAAAGTGGCCTGAGTGCTGCTACTGCTCTACTGCCTCTTGTCCCAACCCAACAGCAGCAGCAACTTTTTAAACTTGCCCTCTTCTATTCTCCTCCCTTCCCTTTCATTCCAGGTGGCCCGAGTGCTGCTGCTGCTCTACCGCCTCATTTCTCAGCCCAACAGCAGCAGAGCATCAGCCTATGGTGCAATTCCTCGCATCAGCCTATGGTGCAATTCCTCGCATCAGGCGGGGCAGAGATTCTCCTGGCGCTGCTGCTGGACTGGAGCAGCAGGAACTCATCCTTATCCTCGTCTGCTCCCCGCCCTTCCCTTCCAGGTGGCTCGAGTGCTGCTGCTGCTCTACCGCCTCATGTCTCAGCCCAACAGCAGCAGAGCATCAGCCTTTATGGTGCAGTTCCTGGCATCAGGCGGAGCAGAGATGCTCCTGGCGCTGCTGCTGCGAGAAACCCAGTATGGGGAGACCTACCCGGTCAGTTTCCCGGCCAAATCCGGCAGTCGGCCAATCAGAAGGCGTCTGGTTCCGGTTTCGGGCGGCGAAGACCTTGGGATTGGAAATGGGGAGGGGAAATTGGAAGTGGAAGGGGGCAGGGAGGGGGGGTTGGGGGGGAAGGGTGAGGGTGAGGAGGAAGGTGCACAGAAGGTTCTGGTGTTTGGGGATGGGAAGGGAGGGGCGGGTGAGGGGCAAGCGGGGGAGAAGAGCATTGGAGAAGATTTGAAGGAGGAAGGGGAGGTGGCAGGCAGTGGGGGGAAGGAAGGTGATGGTAGGGGTGAAGGAGAGAGGGAAGGAGAGCAGGAGAAGGGGGAGGACAGTGAGAAAGATTCGACTAAGGAAGGTGAGTCCGGGGAAGGAATATCTGCGGAGGTTGAAAAGAAAGAGGCTGTTTCTGAGAAGGAGAGTGAGAGGAAGGATGAGGAGAAAACGGAGGAGGAGAAGAAGGAAGAGGAAGAGAGCAAGAGCAAGCCGAAGCAAGAGGCTGCAAAAGGGGGAGGCGTGTGGGACCTGAGCACTTGGAATGCATTCTTGGAGCCTCTTGGGTTAAAGGTTGGCTCGATTGACGATAAGAAACCCGACGCAGGGAAACCAGAATCAGCAGCAGCAGGCAAAGAGGGCGGGGAGAGAGGCTCAAAAGCAGCAGCAGGAGCAGCAGGAGGAGCAGGGGCAGCGGGAACAGGAAGCAGGAGAGGCTGCAGTGGGCTTTCACAGGATGCAGCAGGTGTGGAGCAGTCAGGAGGGAGCAAGGAGCAGCAGGAGAGAGAATCGGAGGAAGGCGAGGAGGAGGACGGGGAGGAGAACACGAGGAGGGGAGTAGTGGAGGTGGCAGCAGTGGTGCAGAGGCTAAGGGCGAAGCAGGTGTATGAAGATGACGCAGAGGAGAGTGCGGTGCAGGTGACAAAGGAAGGGGTGGCAGTGCTTGCTCCCTGGGTGTGTGTGTCTGTGCCCCGCCTGGCCCGCACTGGCACTGCCTCTCGTTCTTCCTCTCTGAAATCTGCTTCTAGTCATGTGGGCCCAGGGGGGGTAGGTGCTGCTGCTGCTGCGGCGGCAGCTGCCGCTTCTGCTGCTGTTGCGAACGTTACAAGTAGGGATGGGGGCGGCAGAAGGAGAGGTATTGGTGCCAGCAGCAGTGCGGGTAGCAGCGGTACAGTCGTTAGAAGTGGCAGCGGTCATGCCTCCGCTGCTGGGAGGGCTGCATACAGATCATCGTCTCATGGTGCTCCCACCACCACAGCAGGATCTGCCGCCGCCGCTGCGGCTGCTGCTGCTGCTGGGGTTACTGCTTCTGCTGCCACTGCTGCAGATGCTTTTTGGCTGTCTGGCTGGATCGTTGAGGGCACTGCCATCGCTGCTGCTGAAGGTAGTGCTGCAGCCGCTGCTGATGCTGCTACAGCCGCCGCTGCTGATGCTGCTACACCTACAGCTGCGGCTGCAGCTTCAGCTACAGCTGATGTTACAGCTGATGCTACAGCTGATGCTGCGGATTTCTACTTTGACAGCGATCAGGGCTTCCCGCTGACGGACGGTCCAGATGCGATCATGGTCGCAGTGATCTCGATCCTAGGGCTGCTAGCAGACTCTGGCTTCCTGCGTCTATCCGACCCGTCGGTTCTAGGAGTGGTGCCGACTACACAGGGGTTGGGAGCGGTGGTAACGGAGAGGGCAGGGAAGGATCGCAGCAACGTGGGTGCGTGGGCGGTGTATGGCGTGCAGAGGGTGCTGCAGGTGGCTCCTGGGAGGCTGTTCACGCCTGCTGTGTACCATGCCCTCATGACTGCTGTGCTCAGATGCAAGGTGAGATGCAAAAGGAGGGAGCGAGATTTGTTGTGTTGAGAGTTCCCTGGCAGCAGCACCTGCAGGTGGCTCCTAGGAGGAGGCTGTTCACGCCTGCTGTGTACCATGCTCTCATGACTGCTGTGCTGCGATGCAAGGTGAGATGCAGGGTGAAGGGATGGTTTCTGTGCTTGTAACTCCTGAGTGTTCTAGCTTCTGCTGGCCCCTCCTAACTCACTCGCTTTTTTATTCCTTTCCCTTGTACGATTCCCATGTGCAGGCCGTTGATTCTCCCTCCGCCCTCCTGCCCCCGTCCACCTTCATAGCGCCCTGGGAGCAGCTGCTGCTTCTGGCGCTCCTCTGCTCGTTACCCTACACTCACTTATTCTCTTCCCGTCCCATTTCCTCCCCACTCTCAACCCCTCTGCGAGCCGTTAATTCTCCCTCCGCCCTCCTCCCCCCGTCCACCTTCATAGCGCCCTGGGAGCAGCAGCTGCTGTTAGCTCTCCTCCGCGTGCTGCCCTCTGCTTACTCCTTCCCTTCCCTTCTGTGCCCCTCTCAACCCCTCTGCAGGCCGTCGATTCTCCCTCCGCCATCCTCCCCCCGTCTACTTTCATAGCGCCCTGGGAGCAGCAGCTGCTGCTAGCACTCCTCCGCGCGCTGCCCTCTGCCGCGCCGCACACTCAGCTCGCAGTGCTGCAAGACCTGCTGCTGCTCCTCTCTCTGAACCCTGTCAACACCCGTCTCCTCACCCGCTCCCCCGAATGGCCCGAGTGGCTGCTCGAGATCCTGCTCTCGAATCTCGAGGTAAGGGATAGGTAGGACCTCCTTCCTCCTCCGCGCGCTGCCCTCTGCCGCGCCTCACACTCAGCTCGCAGTGCTGCAGGACCTGCTGCTGCTGCTCTCCCTCCACCCCGCCTATCGTCAGATTCTCACACTCTCCCCCGAGTGGTTCGAGTGGCTGCTCAAAATTCTGCTGGCAAACCTTGAGGTATGAAGTAGGATAGGCATGCCCCGAGTGGCAGCAGGCCCAGGGGGGATTAGATGCACTCTACAGGACCTGCTGCTGCTGTTGCTGCTGCTGCTGCTGCTGCTGCTGTTGCTGCTGCTGCTGCTGCTGCTGCTGCTGCTGCTGCTGCTGCTGCTGCTGCTGCTGCTGCTGCTGCTGCTGCTGCTGCTGCTGCTGCTGCTGCTGCTGCTGCTGCTGCTGCTGCTGCTGCTGCTGCTGCTGCTGCTGCTGCTGCTGCTGCTGCTGCTGCTGCTGCTGCTGCTGCTGCTGCTGCTGCTGCTATCCCGTTAGCTGCGAATAATCCAAACTTAGCTGCTCTCCTTGATCCCTTGATGTTACCCCATCTTCACATAAATCTCGCAACATTTGAAGGGACATATGAAGTCTCTTAGAGCCTTTCCTGTAAGTGAGCAAATACGTTGATAACATGGGTGACGGGGCATCTCTACCTCTGCATCCTCGTGTGCCTCTCACATACATGCCCTTCTCTAATTTGTCCCACTTCTCCCCCCCTGCTCCGAATACCCCATCCTTCCAGGCCTTGCCTTCAGCAGGCACCAACCAATCAACAGCAACGCAGGGGCAGCTGGGAGGGCAGGACAAGGAGAAGGAGAGCAGTGACTTGGCCTCTACTGAAGGAGATGGTACTGGGGACTCGCGTGCAGTGCGCAGCAGCACGAGCGTGCAGGAGGATGTGAACGAGCTCATCTTCAGCTTCCTGGGGATAGTGTTTGAGCACTGCTTGACAATCAAACAGGGCTGGAAGGTAAGTGAGTGTGAGGGGGGGGGGGAGCAGACAGCATTGGGGGGGGATGGTAGGAGTCTTGACTTGTGTGCAGCATGCAGCAGCATGAGCGTGCAGGAGCATGTGAATGAGCTCATCTTCAGCTTCCTGGGGATAGTGTTCGAGCACTGCTTGACAGTCAAACAGGGATGGAAGGTGAGTGAGGGGAGGGGGGGGGGGTGGTGGGGGGAAGAGCAGACAGCACTGGGGATGATAGCAGTGGGAGTGACTTGCGTGCAGGAGGATGTGAATGAGCTCATCTTCAGCTTCCTGGGGATAGTGTTCGAGCACTGCTTGACAGTCAAACAGGGCTGGAAGGTGAGGGGTGTGAGAATGGGGGTCAACGAGGGTCTAGTGCCAGCTTCTTGGAGATTGCGTTTGATTTGAGCATTGCTTGACAGGGACGGGTGGAAGGTGAGGGCGAGGGTGAGACACAGGGCGAGGGTGAGACACAGGGCGAGGGTGAGACACACTGATTCCTTGCATGCAATTCTGCCCTCCTTCCACAACACAAGGTCATAATCTCATTCTGGTTCGTTGTGGAACTAACTTGTGTTGTTGCAAGTCTGCCCTCCTTTCTCTCCCCCAACCCTTGTGTGTGAGCTTGATTTCCTTCTTCCCCACCTCTCCCTCCCCCCCTCTCGCTCTGTGTCATCTCAGGTGCTCGAGGCCACCTTTCAGTGCTTGCAGTGGAAGGCACTCATTGGGGGAAGCAGCGTGGGAGAGCAGCTGAAGAGGTGTGTGGAGTGAGGTTTTGTGTGTGTGTGTGTGTGTGTGTGTGTGTGTGTGTGTGTGTAGTGTGTGTGTGTATGTGCGTGTGTGTGTTTGTTGTGCGTATGTGTGTGTTAGTGGATGAGTACGTGCTTGCGTGTGTGCATGCATGCATGCCTGTGTGCACATTCAGTTCCCTTACAAGCACGCATTTGTGTGCATGTTTGCCTGGTTGAGTCGCAATATCTTAAGAATAAAGACCTTCAACAAAGATATAAGCTCGTTGGTCTCTTTGTAACTCACAACACACACTCACTCCCACATACTTGCAGGAGGCAAGCAGGAATGGTAACAATCCATCGCAGGCTGTTACACGAAGCTCTGGACTTCACCGCTTCGCACCTCCCCGCAAACCCCCCTCCTCCTCCAAACCCCTCTCAACCCCACTCTCTCTCCTCCCCTCCGCCCTCCTCCTCTGCCCTAGACATGCTCTCTCCACGCCCTTCCACCACCCCTGCTACTGCCGCCTTGCCTACCACTGCCTCTCCTGCTGCTGCTGCTGCTGCTGCTGCTGCTACTGCTGCTGCTGCTGCTGCCCCAACTGCTGCTGTCCCTCCTGCTGCTGTCCCTCCTGCTGCCGCCACCTGCCTGCTAGAAAACGCAGTGGCACTGCTGATGCTGCTGGAGGAGTTTCTACGCATGCAGGCTGAGAAGAAGATTAGCGTGGGGGAGGGCGAGGAGGAAGAGGAAGGGGAGGAGGAGAGTGGGGATGGACTGGTGGAGGGTCAGAGGGTGGACAGGGATGGAGTGCGGTGGACAGTGGTGGCAGAGGAGGAGGAGGATGGGGAGGGGAGGCGCAAGCATAGGCCTGCTGCTTGGGCCGATCCGGCTGATGATGCTTTGACTGCTGCCGCTGCTGCTGCTGCTGGTGTTGGCGCCGCTGCAAGTGCTGCTGGAGCAACAACAGCAGGAACATCGGCAGAAGCAACAGCAGCAGCAGAAGGGGCAACTACAGAGGGCACAGGAGGCATTGAAGCAACTGCTGCTGCTACTCCTGCATGGACGGCTGAGTTTCCTTCCTTGGACCCTGAATCTACCAGCCAGACAGACCCTCCCACTGCAGATGCTACAGCTGCTACAGCCGATTCGCCTGCTACAGCTGCTGCAGATTCTGCCTCTAATGGTTTCGGGTGGGTGGCCGAGTTCCCTCTCATCGATCTCAGCGCAGAAACCCTCCCTTCCACTGCTGTCACTGTCACTGTCACCACCTCCGCAGCAGCACCCACTTCCAGCCCAGCGGCAGGAGCAGCCATGCACGAATCATTATCAGCACCCGCAGCAGTGCCGGCAGCAGCAGCAGCTGGGATGCATTTTGATCTGCTCACTGGCTCCTTCTCTCCCTCCAGTCTACCCCTGCAGCCCACCGTCTCCCCTCCTCTAGCCCCCCTGTCATCCCCTCCAGGATCAGCCTCCCTTATTTCCCTAGACAGCCCCCAACAAGAGCGGCAGGAGCGGCGGCTACAGACACATGCATCGCCATCAGGCCTCGGGTCAGCGATAGAGAGGAACCGCAAGAAGCACAGGCCAAGGCGGTTCAAAGCCGTCCAATCTGCCTTAGCTAGCTACGGATCTATTGTCCAATCGCTGCCCGACAGCTGGCGCCGCCGGTCCCGGCTGTGGTTTGGAGAGGGTGTGGGGGAGGAAGGGGAGGAGGGGGTGGGGTGGGGGGGTGAGGGAGGAGGGAAAGGGGGGAAAGGAGGGGAGGCGGGTGGGAGTGAGGAGGGGAGCAGAGCAGAGGTGTCTGCTTTAGAGCAAGTGTTATTAGAGCTTGCTGATCCTATAGAGGAGGATGAGGAGGAGGACGAGACAGGGGGATGGGTAGACCTACGCCTAGTGCTAAAGGGTGTGACTATACTGAAGGGTATGCTTCTAGAGAAGGAGGGGGTGGGAGCAGCGGAGTCAGGCGTTTTGGCTGTGCTGGGAGGGGTGGGGGCAGGAATGAGCGAGGCTCTTAAAGCGGTATTGGATGATGATCAATCGCTTGTGACTATATTGAGGGTGGTGCTGGTGGCTGCCAGGGAGACGGATGGGGGGGAGATGGGTGGAGAGCTGATCAGGAAAGGAGTGAGGGAGGGGGAGGAAGTTACGGAGAAGGTTCTGAGCTCTCTGCTATGGAGGTGAGTGTGCTTTGAATTAAAGGACCATGACTTCCATCCATCATCCATGCATCCATCCATGTTTGACTTGGAATCTGGTTCTGTCTGCTTTTCACTTCTGCCAAATTCAGTGCCCATCATCCATCCATCGACAGCTACCCACATAGCAGCATCCATCTGTCTCCGTCAACCCACCTGCTGTCAATCTCTGTGCTGGTTACCTCATCTCTCTCTGTCAATCTCTGTGCTGGTTACCTCATCTCTCTCTGTCAATCTCTGTGCTGGTTACCTCATCTCTCTCTGTCAATCTCTGTGCTGGTTACCTCATCTCTCTCTGTCAATCTCTGTGCTGGTTACCTCATCTCTCTCTGTCAATCTCTGTGCTGGTTACCTCATCTCTCTCTGTCAATCTCTGTGCTGGTTACCTCATCTCTCTCTGTCAATCTCTGTGCTGGTTACCTCATCTCTCTCTGTCAATCTCTGTGCTGGTTACCTCATCTCTCTCTGTCAATCTCTGTGCTGGTTACCTCATCTCTCTCTGTCAATCTCTGTGCTGGTTACCTCATCTCTCTCTGTCAATCTCTGTGCTGGTTACCTCATCTCTCTCTGTCAATCTCTGTGCTGGTTACCTCATCTCTCTCTGTCAATCTCTGTGCTGGTTACCTCATCTCTCTCTGTCAATCTCTGTGCTGGTTACCTCATCTCTCTCTGTCAATCTCTGTGCTGGTTACCTCATCTCTCTCTGTCAATCTCTGTGCTGGTTACCTCATCTCTCTCTGTCAATCTCTGTGCTGGTTACCTCATCTCTCTCTGTCAATCTCTGTGCTGGTTACCTCATCTCTCTCTGTCAATCTCTGTGCTGGTTACCTCATCTCTCTCTGTCAATCTCTGTGCTGGTTACCTCATCTCTCTCTGTCAATCTCTGTGCTGGTTACCTCATCTCTCTCTGTCAATCTCTGTGCTGGTTACCTCATCTCTCTCTAACTGCAATGCTATCCATCCTCATCTCTCTCTAACGATCCATTTTTGCATGGCAGAATCCTGGCGCCCCTCCTCACCAGCTCTCGCCTTGACCAGCGTCAGAACTGCGCTCTCTCCGTTGCCGCCATTCTGCACACAGAGGTATGCATACAGCACGCGTCGAGTTTTGAGTCGACTCAAAACTCGACATTTTGCACACAGAGGTATGCATACAGCACGCGTCGAGTTTTGAGTCGACTCAAAACTCGACATTTTGCACACAGAGGTATGCATACAGCACGCACGCACGCACGTGCAGTGAGCACACTGCTCCCCCCATCGCTCTGTAATCCCACAAGCCAGTGGTGCCTATATGATCTTCATGAGTGCTTTCTCTTTCACTCCTCCCCACCCCTAAGCATGATAACCAACTCGTTCCCCCCCCCCCCCCCCCACCTCACCCTCTGCCAGATCATCCACTCAATCGACAGCGATCGCACCATCCTGCGCCCCACCTGTCTCTCCCTCCTCCTCCCGCCCTTCACCGCCCTCCTCTGCAAGTGGCGCCCAGCCCTACGCCAGATCATCTCTGAATGTGTTATCCCTATCCCCTCTCCCCCTCCCCCCCCCCCCACACCTCGCCAGATCATCCATTCAATTGACAGCGATCGCACCATCCTGCGCCCCACCTTCCTCGCCCTCCTCCTTCCCCCCTTCACCGCCCTCCTCCGCAAGTGGCGCCCATCCCTCCGCTGCCTCCGCCTCCTCTCAGACCACACAGGCGCTTCCCCCTTCTCAGACCCCAACACCCCGGCTCTTGCCACCGACGCCAGCCCTACAGATGCTGCTCTTGCGTTTCTCTCTCCGGTGTGGGTCGCCGCGTTTGCCTCGCCGCCTGCTGCTGTCTGCCTGGCCGCCACTGCTGCTGCCACAGGCCCTGCTGCTGCTCATGGCTCTGGTAAGAGCTGGAACAGCAGCAGCAGGAGCAGCATCGGCGGTGGTGGCGGTGTGGGTGGTGCATTTTTCGGTGCTGGTGCTGCTGCTGGAAGGATGGGGCGAGAGAGGAAGCTGGGGCACATGGATAGGCTGTACGGGTTGACAGATGGCAGGCCGGGAGTGGACGGAGTTCCCGAGGCCGCCACGTCAGCGAAGCGGCGGGAGAAGGGGGACATTCTGAGGTCTGGGGGGTGGAGCCTGTGGGACTCTCTGGAAGGCGCGTGGGGAGATGTGACTGGTCTCAGGCACCCTGCTCTCAAGCTCTCTAGTCTCCTGCACTCCTCTCCTGTCAAGGGCAGCAGCAGCAGCAGCAGCGGTGTGAGCAGTATCAAGGAGTGGGATGAGGTGGAGATGCGGTATAGCATCTCTCTGGGACCCAGAGTGGGGGGGCTGCAGCTCTACCTCTCGTCTCTGCTCGACCTCCTCGACTCACAGGTCAGTCAGCCTCCCCCAGCAGAGAATGAGGTGTGAGCAACAACAGGGAGTGGGAGGGGATGAGGTGGAGATGCGGTATAGCATCTCTCTGGGACCCAGAGTAGGGGGACTGCAGCTCTACCTTTCCTCTCTGCACGAACTTCTCGACTCACAGGTCAGCCTCCCCCAGCGATCACCTCCCGTAGCTGCCACCTCTCCGGGTTACAGCCTCCCTGAGTTACAAGCTACAATCTCCCTGGAGCCTCCCGGGTGTTCCCGTGCTGACCTGTTTTTCCCGTAATCTGTATTATCAAACTTCTGGGACCTGGGCTAGAAACTCTCCATCCTCTCCATCCTCTCCATCCTTCCCCTTCCAATCTATCCCCTTTCCAAAGCCTGCGCGCAACAAATCTCCCCTCATCCTTTACACATCCCATAATCCCAGCTTCATCATTTCCCTATCCTCCGTTCTTCAACCCCACTTATCACTCCACCCCCCACCTCCTCTCTCCAGGCCCTGCAAGAAGCAAAGCTGCATTCACCCATTGTGAAGGCTCGGGCGGCAGGAGCGCGCATGTGGAGTTCTCTCATTCGCCAGCTGCTCAAGTCTGGGCGGCTGTGTGGCACTCGGGCAAGCCATGAGGAATTTATCCAATCACCAGTGAGTGTTTGGTTCGTAGCTTCTTAGGATTGCAGTGCTAGTGTGGGGCCGTAGCTTCTTAGGATTGCAGTGCTAGTGTGGGGCCGTAGCTTCTTAGGATTGCAGTGCTAGTGTGGGGCCGTAGCTTCGTAGCTTCTTAGGATTGCAGTGCTAGTGTGCTGCCCTTCTAACCTCCTCCCACACGCCACCCCCAACCCCAACATCCCAACCGCCCCCATACCATGCCATGCCATACCATGCCACCCACATCAACCCGTGTGGCAGCTGGACAGCATGGAGACATCCCTGCTCATTCATGCGCCTTGCATTCCAACATTCCCGCCCCTCTGCACCCTATCATACCGCACCATACCCATAACCCCCCGATATCCCCATCAGACCGTGTGGCAGCTGGATCGCATGGAGACATCGCTGCGCATGCACGTCCCTCACTGCCCTTCCACCCTCCCGTTACCCCCCAATTTGCCTACCCACCCACTCACCCACCCACCCACCCATCCCCACTCACCCCACCAGGTGGTGTGGCGGCTGGATCGTATGCGCCGGCGTGTGAAGCCATGCTTCTTGCTGCCCCTGTGACCTTCCAGCCCCCCCCCCTTTTCACATACCATTTCCAACCACACCATATCACCCTCAACAGGCTGTGTGGCAGCTGGCTGGACCGCATGGAGACCTCGCTGCGCATTCACCTTCCTTGCCTCCCAACATCCCCCCTGTACCCTACCATACCGCACCATACCCCTTAATATCCCCACCAGGCTGTGTGGCAGCTGGATCGCATGGAGACCTCGCTGCGCATGCGTCGGCGCGTGAAGCCATGCTTCCCACTGCCCCTGTATCCTCCCAGCAACCCCCTATTCCCATACCATTCCCTACCACACCATATCGCTTCCACCAGGCTGTGTGGAATCTGGACCGCATGGAGACCTCTCTGCGCATGCACGTTCCTCACCGCCCTTCCATGCTTCCTTATCCCAATACACCCACCCACCCGCCCATCCCCACCTGCATTGCCACCAGGCTGTGTGGCAGCTGGACCGCATGGAGACCTCTCTGCGCATGCATGCTACCCACCAACATCCCTTATAACCTCCCACCATCCCTCCCATACCATTCCATCCCATCCACCACCCATCAGACCGTGTGGCAGCTGGATCGCATGGAGACCTCTCTGCGCATGCGCCGGCGCGTGAAGCCATACTTCTCCTCCACAACTGCTACTGCCACGCTCCGTGCTTCCGGTCCCCATGGGGCCATAAAGGGTGCTGCTGTAGCTGCAGAAGATGCTGCTGCAGACGCCGGGTCCGATGCTGCTGCTGCTGGAGCAGCAGCAGCCACAGCTGAAGCCACAGAAACGAGTGCTGCAGCAGTGGAGGAGGCAGTGCAGCGGCTTGGGGGAGCCCTGCCTGCGCCTCTTGGGGGCTTCATGAGGGGCGGTGGTGGCAAGGGGGAGAAGGAGGGGGTAGCGGAGGGGGAAGAGGAGAAAGAGCTGACAAAGGGCGACGAGGGGGAAGGAGGGAAAGGAGCAGGGGAGGGAGAAGGAGAGGGAGAAGGAGAGGGAGCTGGGAAGGAGGAGGGAGGCGAGGAGGGAGGGGTAGGGAGAGGTGACGTGGGTGGGGGAGATGGAGGCACAGGGGGGGGTGTTGCACAGAGAGAAGGGCTAGGGAGTGTGGCGGGAGAGGAGGGTGCAAGGAGGAGTGAGGTGGGAGATGGTGCTGAGGGTGGTGTGGAACGGGGTGCAAGCGGAGGGAAGAAGCATAAAGAGATAAGTGAATCGTCCAAAGACGGGGAGAAGAAAGCGAAACCGGGCGGCGTGGAGTGGACGCTAGTGGCGGATGTGGACGGCGAGGAGGTGCTGGCTGACGTGGCAGCAATGATGGTGCAGCCGCTGCGAACAGTGAAGGGGCGGCTGGTGGTTACCACCACTCGCCTCTGGTTCCATGTGGACCCCTCTGTGCCCTTCCGAGAGAGAGGGTGCGGAGGACAGGGAGAGAAGGGAGAGAAGAGTGAGAAAGGAGAGAAGAGTGAGGTGGGCGGAGGAAAGGAGGACGGTGGACAGGATGAAGCAGAAAGCACTCGGAAGGTTTCGGTTTCGAGTAGCAGCAGTGGCAACGAGGGGAAGGTGGGCAGCAGCGAAGGAGCGGCAGGAGGAGACGGGACTGCACGTGGGAGCATGGGCGACCGCGTGTGGCGGCTGTCGTCTGTCCGCGAAGTGCTGACTCGACGGTGAGACACCCGGTCTGCGTGCCATAGACCTTGGTCGTGGGTGGGTGGGTGGGTGGGTGGGTGGGTGGGTGGGTGGGTGGGTGGGTGGGTGGGTGGGTGTGGTTGGGTGGGTGGGTGGGTGGGAGCATGGGCGACTGCATGTGGCGATCCGTACGAGAAGTGCTGACTCGACGGTGAGACTGAATGCCTGATACCTGCGAGGTGACTTTTGAGTCGACTCAAATGTCACCTCGTGAGACACCTGGACTGAATGCCATGGCAAATTTATGATACCTGCTGCGCCGCTCTGCTCTTGAAATGTTCATGATCGATCGCGCCAACTTCGTCTTTGCCTTTGATCTGCACTCACTCACTCACTCACATGGAATGCACTCCCTGCCTTATTCCCCTCCCATCCTGCCATTTTCCACCAGCTACCTGCTGCGCCGCTCTGCGCTGGAGATATTCATGATAGACCGCGCCAACTTCTTCTTTGCCTTTGAGGGGGCCGAGGAGCGCAAGCGAGTGCACCGCGCCATTGAGAGGGCCCACCCCCCGCACTTCCAGCACCTCTTTTCGGCATCGCAGGTGCCTATCGCGGTTCATTTTTTAGATTTCTCAAGAGCAACTCCAACATACGCCTATAGTGGTATACTAAGGATTTCTACCAGACTACCACTGCCATGGCTGCCTTGCCAGTCTCACAGTATCTTCTTTTGGGCCCTTCTTCGCATTTCGTAACCTTGTTTTGTTGTTTCTGGCACTCTGCCCCTGCATGTCCGGCTGATTTGTGTCTGTGTTGTACAACACAGCGACCAGAGACCATTCTGGAGAAGCTTCAGCTCACCAAGAAATGGGTCAACAGAGAGGTAAGGGACAGACACTCTCTGCGGCGCGCATATGTATGTGCGCCCCGTTTCCGCTTGCCTCTAACACTCTTGCTGGCCGATTTTCCATGATACCCAACCACTGCCCCTCTGCTCTACTGCTGCAAAACACTCCCCTGAAATCCTCTCCACTCCTCTTGGCTCCCCTCCACTCCTCTTCACCCCTCTCCACTCCACTCCCCGTCAGATCACCAACTTCGAGTACCTCATGCATCTCAACACTCTTGCAGGCCGATCCTTCAACGATGTCACTCAGGTGCGTGCTGTGCATCATGCTTGCATCATGCTTGCATCATGCAATTTCTCTTGATGCAAGGATACAGAATGATGCAGCTCAACATGCGCTCGGATTTCATAATGCTGGGAGCACTTTGAGAGTTTCCAAAACTCGCCTAAATAACACTGAGTCTCGAATTCTTCCTACTCCCACGTTCTTCTTTCTCCCACATAGCACTAAGTCGTTTGGTCCGTCTTATCCCCACCCCATCCCCGTTGCCCTGGCCTGCGTGCAGTACCCCGTCTTCCCCTGGGTAATTCAGGATTATACCTCCAAGGAGCTCGATCTCACCAAGACAGCCACATTCCGCGACCTCTCAAAGGTAACACTGCTGGCCTGCACCTGGACTGCGTGAAGTATTTTTTTGGGCTGAAATCTAGTTTGGGTTGGATTTAGTTTGGGCTTAAATTGCCTCGCATCCTCATGTGTTCCTGTTTTTTCTGCCTTCTCATTCGATTTTCTGTTTCCTCCAACTCGCCACCCTATTTTTTTGTCCCATGCTGCATCCGCTCGCAACTCCCCCCCTCTCCTCATTTCGCTTCCTACTCCTCTCTCCCCTGCCTCCAGCCCATGGGAGCACTGACTCAACCTCGCCTGGCAAAGATAACTGAGCGCTACGAGTCATTTGACGACCCGGTCATCCCCAAGTTCCATCACGGCTCGCACTACTCCAGTGCTGCTATCGTGAGTGATTATTGTAGCACTGTTCCCTCTCTTAGCAGTACTGTGACTCGGTTTCTTAGCACTCTGTCCCTTGCTCCTCTGGGGATCCGGTCATCCCCAAGTTCCACCCACCATGGCACGCACTACTCAAGCGCTGCTATCGTGAGTGATCACTTGAGCATTATAAGCACCTCTCTTAGCAATGTGACTTCCTTGAACACTGTGCTCCTTGCCTTGTTTCTTTGACGATCCGGTCATTCCCCAAGTTCCACCACGGCACACACTACTCCAGGGCTGCTATCGTGAGTTCCACCACAGTGCTGCCATTGTAAGTGATGATGGCTTCTTCAACTTCATAAGTAACTCTCTTAGCCCTGACCAACCAGTCAGAGTGCTCCAACTTGCCTGACTTACAATGGCTCTCTTAGCCCTGTCACTCATGCTGCATCGTTATTCAGGCAAGTTGTCCTAATCTCCTCTTTATCTACACGCCACACTCCCCATCGTTCCCTCGCCCTCCTCCCTCCCACCACCCCAGGCCTCCCACTATCTCGTGCGTTTAGAGCCTTTCACATCCCTCGCAGTCTCCCTGCAAGGCGGCAAACTAAACCATCCCGACCGGCTCTTTCGAGACGACTAAACTTAAAAGTCACCTCTGCTTTCTTGCATGTGCTCCCCTCCGTTTTGCTCCATGATCCTTTCCACGGCCAGGCCTCCCACTACCTCGTGCACTTGGAGCCCTTCACCTCCCTTGCAGTCTCTCTCCAAGGCGGCAAACTGGACCATCCCGACAGGCTCCCTCCCCAATCCCACCCACCCACCACGCCAGGCCTCCCACTATCCCGTGCGTCTAGAGCCTTTCACCTCCCTCGCGGTCTCTCTGCAGGGCGGCAAACTAAACCATCCCGACCGGCTCTTTCGAGACAAGTGGAGTGAGGAGTCACCTCTTTCTGATTACGCACTCTTTTATTCTTCCCTCTCCCTCCCTCTCTCTCTCGCCCCGATCCCACCCACCCACCCACCCACCACCACAGGCCTCCCACTATCTCGTGCGACTAGAGCCTTTCACCTCTCTCGCAGTCTCCCTGCAAGGAGGGAAACTTGACCATCCCGACCGGCTCTTTCGAGACGTGGCGAGCACATGGAGGGGGGTTACAACAGACATGGCTGATGTGAAGGAGCTGGTGAGAGGGGGGGAGTGGGTAATGAATGATTAAGAGGTGCCTGGGCTTTACCTGGCACAGGGTGCAAGGCACATGGAGGGGGGTTACAACAGACATGGCTGATGTGAAGGAGCTGGTGAGAGAGGTGGTAGAGAGAGAGAGAGGGGAGAGGGGTTGGTGAGAGGGGGAGAGGGTTTTGCTGAGAGGGGGTGAGTGAGAGACGTGTAGGCAGCGCGCAGGGAGAGAGCAGTGGGGCAGCGGGCAGCGGGCAGCGGGCGGCAGGCTGGACCATCCCGACTGGCTCTTCGGAGACGTGGCGAGCAGTGGAAGGGGGTGACCACCTACATGGCTGATGTGGCGCTAGGGTGTGAGGTAGTTGACCTGTGTGGGTGGGCAGTGGGCTAGCCCTGACAGGGGCTCACAGCATCCCGTAGCGAGCACGTGGAGGGGGGTTACCACCGACATGGCTGATGTGAAGGAGCTGGTGAGAGGGGGAGAGAGGGGACGTTGTGAGAACGAAACATGGGAGTGGGGGTAGTGGGGCTGTGTGAGTGGGAAGGGCAGTGGGCTAAGCTTGCACCAACAGGCTCTTTTGAGAAGGGCCTGGTACGTACGGCTAGGAGGTACAGGACACGTATGTTGGTGCCCACTGACAAGTCTGGCGTGGTTGCACTAGGCAGACGTGGTGCTGCCACCCTGGGCTGACACCGCTGTTGCCTTGCTCCTTCTCCACCCATTTCCCATCCTCTCTTCTCCCCCCTTTCGCCTATGGCAGATTCCCGAGTGGTTCTGTCTTCCTGAGATGTTTCAGAACGTCAACAGCCTTGCATTGGGATCCACACAGCAAGGGGAGGAGATCGCTGACGTGGTCTTGCCCCCTTGGGCGGACAGCGCTGTTGACATTGCTCCCTCTCCCTCCACCCATCCCCCATCCTCTCCTGCCCGTTCTCTCCCAGATCCCCGAGTGGTTCTGCCTCCCAGAAATGTTTCAGAACGTCAACGGGATTCCTTTAGGCTCAACACAGCAGGGGGAGGAGATCGGAGACGTGGTCTTGCCACCCTGGCGGACAGCGCAGTTGACTTTCTCCCTCCCCACCCATCCCTCTTCCTATCCCCCTTTGTTTGTGGCAGATTCCCGAGTGGTTCTGCCTTCCAGAGATGTTTCAGAACCTCAACAGCCTTTCTCTGGGAACCACACAGCGAGGGGAGGAGATTTTAGACGTGGTCTTGCCGCCCTGGGCGGACAGCGCGGTTGACTTTGTGCACAAGCAGCGGGCGGCACTGGAGAGCGAATACGTCAGCAGCAACCTGCACCATTGGATCGACCTCATCTTCGGGTACGTGCGACGTGCACCGTTGGATCGGGTTGCCGTTCTTTATCTGAACTCTTCGACCACGTTTCTGTTTGTTTAACTGCCTGTGGTTTGGGGCTCGGATGGAGATATAGTCTACATGGATCCCTTCTCACTTCTCAAATTCTATGTCACTATCCTGCTTCCCCTCCTCCCTCCCCCACATCCCTGCCATGCAGGTACAAGCAGACGGGCCCAGAGGCAGTAAAGGCACACGTGTTCGGCACCTTAGCTCGCTCCATCCCATCTCGGTGTCCCTATCTGGTCCCCCCTCCTCCCATTCTTCCCCCCGTCCTTCTCCCCCGCCTTTCGTTCCCACCATGAAGGTACAGGCAGACGGGGGCAGAGGCAGTGAAGGCAAACAACGTGTTCTTCAATCCACTAAACCCGAAACCCTGGCTCAATCTCTATCCCACTATCTTGTCCGCTTTTCCCACCATGAAGGTACAAGCAGACGGGGGCAGAGGCAGTGAAGGCACACAATGTGTTGTTGGCTTAACTCATCAAAGCTCAAAACGTGTTGTTTTTCCCCTCCCCTTTCCCCCACATCCCTGCCATGCAGGTACAAGCAGACGGGCTCAGAGGCAGTGAAGGCGCACAACGTGTTCTTCTATGTGACCTACGAGGGGGCAGTTGACATCGACTCGGTTCACGACCCTGTGAGTGGATTGACATGTTTTCTTTTTATGTATATATAAGTCGACTGAAACATCACAATGTGTTCTTCTATGTGACCTACGAGGGCGCTGTTGATATCGACTCGGTTCACGACCCTGTGAGTACAAGGAGTGCGCGCTTCTCTTTCTTAGTACGGTCCTCCTTACTCAAAGAGTCACAACGTATTCTTCTATGTGACCTACGAGGGGGCAGTTGACATCGACTCGGTTCAAGATCCCGTGAGTGGATTGAGTTAGCATATTTCTTATTGAGTTGACTCAAAGGGCACAACGTGTTCTTCTATGTGACCTATGAGGGGGCTGTTGATATTGACTCGGTTCACGACCCTGTGAGTGAAAGGTCACATCGTGCTCTTGTATGCGGAGGCTGTGTTTGTGCGCGCTTTTGGTTTAGTTTTGTTTAGTTTAGTTGTTGCTGTTGCTGTTGCAGTTGCTGTTGCTGTTGCTGTTGCTGTTGCTGTTGCTGTTGCTGTTGCTGATGCTGATGCTGATGCTGATGCTGATGCTGTTGCTGTTGCTGTTGCTGTTGCTGTTGCTGTTGCTGTTGCTGTTGCTGTTGCTGTTGCTGTTGCTGTTTTTTTTTTTTTTTTACAAAATCCTCTCATCCTCACTGCTTGTCTCTGTCGTTCCGCAATGCCCCAGGTCACTCAGCGGGGCCTGCAGGATCAGATCAAGTACTTCGGCCAGACGCCCTCACACCTCTTCACCGCTCCTCACCCCAAGCGCATCCCTCTCGACCGAGCCCTGCACCTGCATGTACGTGGCTCAAAATTTAATTCCATCCGCTTTTGACTCATACATGTAACCGTATAACTGGCTGTCTTCAACTGTTTTGTACAGTTATCCTCTGGCCGAGCTCTTTACCTGCATGTATGTGGCTCAGTGGGAGTGACTTGCTGAAGCTTTTGTTTACACATACAGGTTTCTCCCTTTTCCTTGCTCTCTCATGCTCTTACACCCCACGCTTCCTCTCCTTTCCACTCCCTTACCCCCGCCTCCTTTCCCCCCCACCAGACCATATTCCGCAAGCCCAACGAGATTTTCCTCTACGTGCTCCCCTGCCCTGAGACCCTCAACGTGCCCTTACTCCCTACTTACCCTCCCTCCCTCCCTCCCATCCCCCTTTCCACCCGCTCTCAAATCCCCCTCACCCTCCCCCCATCCCCCCGCCCATCCCCCAGACCATATTCCGCAAGCCCAACGAGATTCTCCCCTACGTGCTCCCCCGCCCCGAGACCCTCAACGTGCCGGCCGCCCGGCTGCACGCCACGTCAGACGCAATCATCACCGTCGATCACAACGTGCCAGCCTGTCACATCGCCGTCCACCAATGGCAGCCCAACACGCCGGACGGCCACGGTTGGCCTTTTCTGTTCCAGCCTGGGCGGGCGTCGCTTTCGGGCGGCGCACTGCTCCGCATGCTGAAAAGCTCCGCCCCGGGGTTTGGCGCGGGCGGCATAGTGGCCGGACTAGGTATGGGAATAGGGGGAAGCGGCTTCGGAGGTTCGGTTGGGACAGGCAGAGGGTTGGGGGGAGCTGGTTCGGGAGGTGGGGTAGGGGGAGGAGGAGGAGCAGGAGGGGCAGGAGGAGGAGGGGGTGGAGGAGGAGGAGGAGGGATGGTTTCTGAAACGTCAATTTACCCGCGGCTGCTCGCACTCCCTGCGAGGGGCATCCGCCGCCCAAAGGAGCTCATGGCGATCACGCCGGACGGCAAGAATCTGATCACGGGCGGCCATGCGGACTGTTCTGTGAAGCTAATCTCAGTGGATACCACCCGCGTGGTTGAGTCAGCAGTGGTGCACACTGCTCCTGTCACCTCCCTGAGCCTATCCCCCGAAGGGGCGACGCTGGTGACAGGGGCAGCAGATGGGACGGTGATGCTGTGGCATGTGAACACCTCGGCTTCGCTTGCTGCTGCTGCTTCTAGCCTCGCTGCGAGCATGCTGGGAACGGCGGATAGTGCTGCTTCTCAGGACTCCTCTGGAGGGCCGCATGATCCCGGCCTTGTGTCGTCGCCTGAAGCAGCGAGTAGGAGGGAGGTAGACGAGGAGGAAGAGGAAGAGGAGAGGGAGAAGGAGGAGCGGAGGAGGCGAGGTAGCGGCAGCAGCGATTCTGCTGCTGCGTCTAGTCTTGCTGGTAGGATGCTTTCTGGGCTCGCTGCTTCTAGTCTCGCTGCTGGCCGGGCATCCATAGAGCAGGTCAAGAAAAAGCTGAGGCGACTAGAGGGTCCCGTGCATGTGCTGAGAGGGCATAGAGATGAGGTGGTGTGCTGTGCCGTTTCCTCAGACCTAGATATTGCCGCCTCGTCTTCGCTCTCGTCGGGTGTTCTTCTGCACTCGATTATGCGCGGAAAGTTTCTCCGCGCACTGCCCGGGGTCGCCCGGGCAGACGTGCTCGCGATTTCCCCCGAGGGGCTGGTGGTGGTGTGGGAATTAGCTAAGCGCGCGCTAAGAGTTTTCACGATTAATGCTGAGCCGGTGGCAGCTGTGGGGGTCCCGGAAGAGGATGGGGATGTAAGTGCGGTGCAGATCTCTGCGGATGGGTTGTATGTGGTGGTGGGGACGGATTGCACTAGGTGGAGATACATGAGGGAGAAGGAGAGGGAGAGGGAGCGGCAGAGGGCTGCGGTGGTGGTGGGTAAGAGCGTGGGAGTGAGGAAGGTCGGTGGGGAGGAGAAGAGCGGGAAGAGTGGGAAGAGCGGAGCTGGAGGAGAGAGAGAGGAGGAGGGAGAGGGGGTGGGGAGAGGGGGGGATGGGAGGGAGGCGTTTGAGGAGGAGGGTTTGCCGAACTGGAGGGATTCCGATGAAGGAGGGTCCAAGAGGGAGAGAGGATCTGCCATTTCGCTGCTCGAGATCTTCACTCTCAAGGTACACGCCTCGTACTGTTTCGAGCCTTTTTCTTTGGTTTGTCAGCTGCTACTGCTGGATGAGTGCATGCAAGCTTCGGGTGAATGTTGAAGGGGCCCTGCTGGTGCTATGTCGCTACTGCTGCATCTCCTTCGAGATATTAAGTATTGTACTTGCCATTCTTCACACTGTTTTCACACTACTCACTATTCCAATGCCTTCTATGTCCCCCGTATAAGCAGGCCCTGTACCACTGCAAAGAGGTGATAGCACGGCCCCTGTTCGTGACTATCACCTCTCTTCATTTCTCTATTTCATTCCGTCCCCCATGCAAGCAGGCTCTGTACCGCTTCAACCAGAGAGCAATGATGTGACAAGCCCTGTCAGCTGACAACACCAACCTCATTTGCTCTGCTCACCACCACCGCTCTTCCTTACTCTATTCCATTCCATCCCCTTTACAAGCAGGCTCTGTATCGCTTCAAGCTGCCTGAGAGCAGCGATGTGACAGCCCTGGCCCTCTCAGCCGACAACACCAACCTCATCTGCTCTGCTTCTGTCGTGCTCTCCCCCGGCCACCTCATTCTCTACAGTAACCCAATTGTAAGCGTTCATTTCCGCCCGCCTTCCTGATGGTGATTTCATTATAAGCTATATTGGTACCCGCTGTTTTTCCGGCAAGTCTTTTCCATGTACCTTTCCTCTCCACCTTGTTGTGTAGCACAAACCCCACTAATCGAGCATCCTAATGTTTTATCCTTTCCATCCTCCAACCCGCACCACTTGCGTCTTTCAGCTAAGTGTGAAGATGGTGGATCAAATGCTTAGGCTGGGATGGGAGGGAGGGGGGCTGCAATCAGTGATGCAGCAGCCAGAACGAGCGTCTGCTTCCCCTCCTCCCACCAAAACCTCCTCCTCCGCCGCTCAAAGTGCATCCACCTCGTCCTCGGCACGAGTGTCTGGTCTATATTTGTGACCCTGGCCAAAACGTCCTTCTATAATGGCACTGTAGACTGTGATGGCAAAACGATTCACGATTGTAAGCGCACAAGCAATTTGTACCTAGTTTTTGTCGTAGTAATAGAGCAAATCCAAGTCATTGACAGCACACTGCGCTCTTATCGTGTAGCGAGTCGGTAAAAGTAGAGGAATTTCAGGCTGGTTTGCCTGTTGCGGTTGCGAGAGGTTGGGTACGACTCCTCAAGGTGCAGAAAGATTACGCGTGGGTGCAATACGGTAGCGTGTTTATGTGTTTCAGCCTGCGGCCTCGAGAATTGCCATTTCTTTCTGCTTCCTGCCTGAGAGTTGATGAGTTCATTTAGTATGGTCCAGAGTAGACCTTCAAAAGCAGGTATAAGTTTCTCAGCTGCTTTCCGGCTTACAATAAAATTTATCGGTCACAGAATTTGAGCGATTTTCCGCGCGCGTTGTCAAGCAGCTTCAGCCTTCACCTGTACTGCTCTTCTTTCCTGGCGCGGCATTCTCTAGGTGCCTCGATAGTCGTTACCTGTCGGACTTATACCTCTTCGGCATGAGCAGCAGCGGTAGAATTCGCGGGTGACCTGTGAGTCGACTCAATAGTTTCCTGTCACTGCTATACCTCCCCGTATTGTCAGACGGTAGACTGGCATGAGCAGCAGCGCTAGAATTCGCCGGAAGCTGATCGAATACTCCGCACAGGGGTCTTTAAAGAAGATTAAAGCTCTCTTGAAAGGCGCAGCGGGGCGATCATCGGCGTCGGACACATCTGAACCGTCGGATTCGGAATCTTCCGGCCGGTCGGATTCGAGTTCGTCTGAGTCACACGAGCGGGAAAGGGGTCGGAGGGAGCGCAAGAGAGGCAAGGAGAAGGAGTCACTGAGTCGAGGAAGATCGAGGAGGCGAAGTGATAGTGACAATTGTGATTCTACCGGAAGGGATAGTAGCAGTTCCGAGAGTAGGAGCAGCGGCAGCAGGAGGAAGAGAAGGAGGAAGGGTGAAGGGAAGGGAAGGGGTGAGAAGAGGTCAAAGAGGAGGACACGCCGGGATGTGTCATCAGATTCTGATTCTGGTTCGGATTCAGATTCGGAATCGAGTTCAGATTTGAATGTACATTCAGAATCAAAATCAGATTTAGATTCGGGTGAATCTGAGCACGGAGCAGCAGGGAGGGGGAAGAGGCGGAGGGAGGAGGACGGGGGTGACGACTGGGATGAGGAGGAGGACGAGGAGCAGGGGAAGAAGAGACGCAATAAAGACGGCCGTTCATCTTCCCCTCGACATGAGCACACGGGAAAGCGGCGAGATAAGAGGGAGGGAAAGGGGAGCGAGAAACGGGAGAAACGGGAGAAACGGCAGAAACGGGATAAACGAGAGGAACGGGAGGACAAGCGCAGCAGGCGCAAGGACAAGCACAAAAAGAGTAAAACGTTGAATAGCAGACATAGAGAACGGAGGGAGAAACGGTCATCTTCCAGAAAGCTTCATGTGGATCTGAATAGTACAGACGCACAGGGTTGGACTCCCCTCCACCATGCAGCCCATTCAGGCTCGGGTGATCTCGTCAAATACCTTCTTAAACTCGCCAAGAATAAGGAGGAATGTCATCCTGACAAGAAGCCTAGTAGGCACTCGGCAAGTTTAAGCAAGGACCAGAAGAAAGGACTGAAATTGGTGTCAGTGCAGGATAGCAGAGGGAATACGCCTGTCCACGTGGCAGCTAGGATGGGCCATGCCTCGGTGATCCAGCTGCTGAGAGACGCCGGAGCTGACATGCAGGCTCGGAATACGGCTGGGGAGACTCCCGAGGCTCTGGTGCAGCGCCGGCTGATGGATTTGCGACGCCGAACCGCCGAAGCAGCCTTGGAAAAAGCTGGGAGCGTGTGGGGAGAGGGGAGCGACAATGAGGGGTGCTTTGGGGGGGGTGGTGGTGGTTATGGTAATGGTTCCAACAATGCTGCTTTGTGGGGAGATCCCGAGGAGAATGCAGAGGCAGCAGCTGCTGAGGCTCGGTACCACAGGTTCGGGTCCCGATCCGACAGGTTCGGTGCCGGTCCTTGGGGAGCTGATGACGCTTGGAAGGATGACGTGGCAGCTCAGATGAAGAGCAGGATGAGGAGGGATGAGGAGAGCCACCGGGCGGCAGTTTTTGGAGCGAAGCTGGAGGAGGAAGTAGACAAGAGGAGACGGTGGGAGGAAGAGAGGAAGATACGGGAGGAAGAAGCGAGGAAGGTTCTGGAAGCGGGACAGGCCAAGGATAAATCATGGAGAGCAGCGATCAAGGAACAAGTACAGAAAAAGAAGACGGTGCAGAAACAGGAGGATTACGATGAGAGATGGAAGAGATTTGCCAAGTCATGCGACATGGGGATTACCATGGCTGATGTTCCGTTCCCTGTGGGTGGTGGTGGGGAGGAGGAGCTGAAGCATGTGATTCTGCATGGCGTTCCAAAGGAGCAGCATCGGAAGCGGATGAGGGAGGAGGTGGTTCGATGGCACCCTGGTACGTGCCATGCTCTGATTGGTTCGTGCATGCTTAGTTTCGATGGCACCCTCGTACATGCCATTGGTTATGACACATACAGGAATACATTATTAAGTTTTTTTTGTGTCCCCCTATCGCTTTGTTCCCTGGAATGCAGACAAGTTTATGCAGAAGTGGGGGTTACGGCTACATGACAAGCACCGGAGCAGCATTGAGAAGCGAGTGAAGGAGCTCTCTCAAGCTGTCAACAACATTTACGCTTCGCTCAAGTGACCGGTCTGGACGCGTGTTGCACAATTAACACCGATTTAGATATTCCATCAATTTTGTGTCTACTTCATGGGGGAAGCAAGTCAGTCAGGATACCTTCAACCGAATACATTCACCTTCAGGATGGAATAAATTATTCAACATACAGCTCCATACCTCTGCGTGTAGAGAATTTAATCAATTTCTAATATTGAGCCCCACTCACATTTAGTCCTAGCTTGCACAGTTCTTCCTTCCAGTCTTCAGGACGCTGTAGGAACTCCGAACTTTCGTAAAGCCGAAACAGCCCGAGTCGCATCCTGTCGCCTAGTGTCGCATCCCGTCGCCATGCCATGGTGCAAAAAGTGGAGCGCAAGGAGCCCGCTTTACCACGCCCCGTCAGTCGCCCGATGAGTCGAGGACCCTCTCATCTCAGTCAGGCAGACTTAGGACTAGTCTTCGTTCTCGCGTTGTACCAAGGTGACTTTTGAGTCGACTCAGAAGTCACAGTGGAGCGCAAGGAGCCCGATTTACCACGCCCCGTCAGTCACCCGATGAGTCGAGGACCCTCTCATCTCAGTCAGGCTAAGGACTAGTCCACGTCGTCGCATTGTACCACGTCCGTCGCATGATCGTGTCGCATTCGCCGCATCCCGTCGCATCTCGTCGTATTCCGTCGCATTCCGTCGCATTCCGTCGCGATGGTTCTCGAAGCTCGCCACCACGCGCTCGTGCAGTCGCTCATGAGTCGCGGGCCCGCCAAGGAGGCTCACGCGAAGAAGCTTCATCGCGACATCTGGGCCTCGCAGGCAGGTGATTTTTCGCACAGCTGATTTTCGGGGAAGTGAACGCCGCCCCGTTCGGTACTGCATCTCCAACCCCCCTTTCCTGGATCCCGTACCACCCCTCTCCCACTCTCTCCCCCACTTCCTCTCTCCCCCCTCCCCCTCTCCCCCCCTCCCCTCTCCCCCTCCCTCCTCTTCCCCGCTCTCTTCAAACATCCCACCACCCAGGAGGATTTTCTCACCTCCATCGGTCAAATCAACGCCGCCCTCTCGCTGCTGCAGCTGGAGCTGCGGGCGGCAGCCGACCAGGCGGACGGCGGGCTTTGGTACGGAGTGGTCAACCGGGCGGCAGACAGCCAGGGGAAGCTGGGCACGACGTACAGCCACGAGGAAATCCAGTACTTAAAATGCCTGGTGGAGCACGTGGTAACCGCATCCAACGGCTCAGGATGCATCTCCAGCATCGCAGCGCTGCACCTCACCCCTGCCCCCAGTTCCTCCCAGGTATCCCCTCTCCACTCCCCTCTCCCACTTCCCTCTCCACTCCCCTCTCCCACTCCCCTCTCCCACTACCCTCTCCACTCCCCTCTCCCACTCCCCTCTCCCACTCCCCTCTCCCACTCCCCTCTCCCACTCCCCTCTCCCACTCCCCTCTCCCACTCCCCTCTCCACTCCCCTCTCCACTCCCCTCTCCACTCCCCTCTCCCACTCCCCTCTCCCACTCCCCTCTCCCACTCCCCTCTCCCACTCCCCTCTCCCACTCCCCTCTCCACTCCCCTCTCCACTCCCCTCTCCACTCCCCTCTCCACTCCCCTCTCCACTCCCCTCTCCCACTCCCCTCTCCCACTCCCCTCTCCCACTCCCCTCTCCCACTCCCCTCTCCCACTCCCCTCTCCCACTCCCCTCTCCCACTCCCCTCTCCCACTCCCCTCTCCCACTCCCCTCTCCCACTCCCCTCTCCCACTCCCCTCTCCCACTCCCCTCTCCACTCCCCTCTCCCACTCCCCTCTCCACTCCCCTCTCCCACTCCCCTCTCCACTCCCCTCTCCCACTCCCCTCTCCACTCCCCTCTCCCACTCCCCTCTCCACTCCCCTCTCCCACTCCCCTCTCCACTCCCCTCTCCCACTCCCCTCTCCACTCCCCTCTCCCACTCCCCTCTCCACTCCCCTCTCCACTCCCCTCTCCACTCCCCTCTCCCACTCCCCTCTCCCACTCCCCTCTCCCACTCCCCTCTCCACTCCCCTCTCCCACTCCCCTCTCCACTCCCCTCTCCCACTCACCTCTCCACTCCCCTCTCCCACTCCCCTCTCCACTCCCCTCTCCCACTCCCCTCTCCCACTCCCCTCTCCACTCCCCTCTTCCACTCCCCTCTCCCACTCCCCTCTCCCACTCCCCTCTCCCACTCCCCTCTCCCACTCCCCTCTCCCACTCCCCTCTCCCACTCCCCTCTCCACTCCCCTCTCCCACTCCCCTCTCCACTCCCCTCTCCCACTCCCCTCTCCCACTCCCCTCTCCCACTCCCCTCTCCCACTCCCCTCTCCCACTCCCCTCTCCACTCCCCTCTCCCACTCCCCTCTCCCACTCCCCTCTCCCACTCCCCTCTCCCACTCCCCTCTCCCACTCCCCTCTCCCACTCTCCTCTCCACTCCCCTCTCCCACTCCCCTCTCCACTCCCCTCTCCCACTCCCCTCTCCCACTCCCCTCTCCCACTCCCCTCTCCACTCCCCTCTCCCACTCCCCTCTCCACTCCCCTCTCCCACTCCCCTCTCCCACTCCCCTCTCCACTCCCCTCTCCCACTCCCCTCTCCACTCCCCTCTCCCACTCCCCTCTCCCACTCCCCTCTCCCACTCCCCTCTCCACTCCCCTCTCCACTCCCCTCTCCACTCCCCTCTCCCACTCCCCTCTCCCACTCCCCTCTCCCACTCCCCTCTCCACTCCCCTCTCCACTCCCCTCTCCCACTCCCCTCTCCCACTCCCCTCTCCACTCCCCTCTCCACTCCCCTCTCCACTCCCTCTCCACTCCCCTCTCCCACTCCCCTCTCCCACTCCCCTCTCCCACTCCCCTCTCCCACTCCCCTCTCCCACTCCCCTCTCCCACTCCCCTCTCCCACTCCCCTCTCCCACTCCCCTCTCCCACTCCCCTCTCCCACTCCCCTCTCCCACTCCCCTCTCCCACTCCCCTCTCCCACTCCCCTCTCCCACTCCCCTCTCCCACTCCCCTCTCCACTCCCCTCTCCCACTCCCCTCTCCCACTCCCCTCTCCCACTCCCTCTCCCACTCCCCTCTCCCACTCCCCTCTCCCACTCCCCTCTCCCACTCCCCTCTCCCACTCCCCTCTCCCACTCCCCTCTCCCACTCCCCTCTCCCACTCCCCTCTCCCACTCCCCTCTCCCACTCCCCTCTCCCACTCCCCTCTACCGCAATGTACCTACCCTCGCTCTCTTCCAAACTGCACATGGTGTCCCTGCTGGTGCACCCCTCGCAGTGTCACAAGGCCACCTTCGCTCCTTTCCCCTCCCCTGCATCCCTCTCCCTTCTCTTCTGTCTCAAACACTGCCTCCCATCCCCCCTCCCTCATGTTCTGCACACCACTTACTCCTGAACCATGGATCACCTCTCTTTTCCCAATCAACTTCCCACCCTTTTCCACCTCTTCTCTTCCCGTTCCCGTTTCTTCCCCACGATTTGCCCAATCCCTCTCCCCACCCATGCAGCCCAACCCAACTCAAGACCCCCTCTCCCCATCGTCCTCGCAACCTCCCCTCTCCCCTCCTGCCACCCGCACACACACCCTCTCACTAACTGACAAAGAGCGACTGATCGCTGACCTGGCGGACAACCATTGGCTCAGCATCTCGAGTGATTCAAGAGATGGCAGTAGTGGCGGCGGCAGCAGCAGCGGTGGCGGCGGTGGTAGCGGTAGTGGTGGTGGAAAGAGGGGGGTGCAAGGGAGTGTGGGGTTGGGGGTGAGGACGTACCTGGAGCTACAGCAGTATCTGAAGAGCACTGAAGGGGTGGCGGTGTGCGACGTGTGTCACGATGCCGCTGTGAAAGTGAGTCTGAGTGTTAGTGCTGCCATCTTTTTTGTGTGATTGCAAAAGTGGTTTTGATTGAGGCGCCTAAAAAACATCTCTGAAGCACTGCTCTGCACCAGTGCTATCTGCACTTCAATCCGTTTTTGTCTCTTTCATCTTACTTTCCCTCGCTCCAGGCTGTGTGCTGTGCGTCCCCGGGCTGTGAATACCGCCTGCACCAGTACTGCATGCCCGCCAAGTTCCATCGAGTCAAGGTGGGTCAACGCAAGTCAACGGGGTGTCATTGGATAGAATGAATTGATATGAGTGCCCCCAGTGCTGTTTGCTTTCAGTGAAGCCGAGTGGGTCGGTTATTTCTCAGAACCCGCCTCATCTTCTCCCCATTCGCTTTTCCACTCCTCTGCCCATTGATCTTCTCTTCCTTCCCACTCCTCTTTCCACCAGAATCCCAAGTGCCCCCAGTGTGACTCGCCCTGGCCTTCCAGTGAGGATGAGCCTGCACCACCCAACCCAAGCAGCTGGCCGAGGAGGAACAGATAGGAGGATACACCCCAAAACTCCCCTACTTCTCCCCGCACCCATCTCTCTCTTTCTCTCTCTCCCCACGCCCCTCTTCCTTCCCTCTCTCCCCACCAGAATCCCAAGTGCCCCCAATGCGATGCGCCCTGGCCTTCCAGTGAGGACGAACCTGCACCACCCAGCCAATCCCAAGCGGCTGGTCGAGGGGGGGGCGCAGATAGGAGGAGGCGGGCAGGAAAGCGGATAGTGGGAGAGGAGGAGAGGGAAGAGGATAGGGAGGAGGAGAATGATAGGGTAGATGGAGAGAGGGGGGTTGAGGGTGGAGAAGGGGGAGGCGAGGAAGAGGAGGAGCGGAGGGGGAGGAGTAGGGGGAATGGGGGCATTCAAAAGAGAGCAAGAGAGAAGAGGAAAGTGAGAGGACGAGTGATGGAAGAAGAGGGGGAAGAGGAGGGAGAGGAGGGAGAGGAGGAAGAGGGAGAAGAGGAGGGAGAGGAGAGAGAAGAGGGAGAGGAGGAAGAGGAGGAAGAGGGAGAAGAGGTAGAGGAGGTAGAGGAGGAGGAAGAAAGGGATGTGAGGCCGGTTCGGGCAGGTCGAGTGAGAGAGGTGGAGCGGGTGAGCAGAAGGACGAGGAGAAGATAGGCAGCAGGCGGTGGGGGCAAGGAAGGTATGCAGAGGATGTGAGACTGGTTCGCGCAGGTCGAGTGAGAGAGGTGGAGCGTGTGAGCAGAAGGACGAGGAGAAGGTAGATACGGCAGCAGGCATAGGAGCTGAGGGAAGAGGAGAGGGGTGTGAGGAAGAAGACTTGGGTAGGGTGTTTTTGTCATCTCTATTTCCTTTTAACGAAACTTGTTTATTGTACATCAATTGAGCTACTGGTACTGTGGTTTGGCATTACTGTATAATTTACATGTGGGAGCATGAAGCAGCTATAAACTCTTGGAATGCAGTGACAAACTCATAGTTGGGTGTAGTAAGGTACACTTGATTCATTTACTGTTTGTGCCAGCTACGGTATTCTACGGGCAAGCTGGTCAGCACAGAAAAGTAATAAACTTTGGCCACCCCACCACCACTGTGTTATAGTGAGTGCCAGACAAACTCTCCCTTCTCCACTGCAACCACCTGCCCTTTATCATTCACCACCTCGCTTCCTCCCCCTCCATCCCCCCACTGAATCACCAGCTCACGTGGATCTGCAGCTGGTAAAGCCACCTTGAGAGACTCCCAGGGGACTCGGTACCCGCCTCCTTTGGTGCTCTCCACACTGCTGCTCTCCCCACTGCTACCCACACCACTCTCTCCCCCACTCCCCCCCTGTACATGCACGATCGTTACAGTCACCACCACCTTCTGTGCATCCCACTGCATGCACACATGCACCTCGGCTCTGTCCCCTTTAAGAGTCTCCCCATCATCCTCGTTCAAGACACACCGGCTCTCCCCACTGCATTCCCCTGCCACTCCTGCTGCAGCAGCAGTGCTAGCAGTGTGAACAACAGCAGCAGATGCAGCTGCAGCAGATTCAGCAGCAGCAGCAACAGCAGCACTACCAGCAGCAGCACTACCAGCAGCAGCACTACCAGCAGCAGAGCCCACAGGGGGAGGGAACACTCTGAGAACCCTAGACCCCTCATCATGCAACCCACTGAAATCCACCGTGCTTTCAGTCATCGCCACTATCCCGCCAGCCCGAACAAACAGCGGCACTCGGTCAAGCGGAGCCGCCACCGTCACAACCTGCCCGGGCAGGAAAAACTCCTCCGAGTAAAAATCAAACCAGCCCGTACATGGGGTCGGGGTTGAACCAGCCATCAGCCCCTCGGCTTCAGAGAAACATGCTGTATTTTTCTTGCCGGGCTGCCCTCCGGGCAGGTAAACTTTTCTCTGGCGTGCCCCGCGTTCGACCACTGGAGCTGCAAGCAGCATGGGTCCCACCATAAGCTCATCCCCATCCCTCCAGCATCGGTCATCCTCAGGAAAATCGTAAAACGTCGGGCGGATAACCGGCTCGTGAAAAAAAGAGGCTCGGAAGGAGAGAGAGTAGAGGTATGGGATGAGGCGGTATCTCAGCCGCACGGACCAACGGACGGCTGGGATCGACTCGGGGTACATCCAAGGGCAGGTGATGGTCCCATCGGGTTTCCAGCTGTTCATGAGGAATCGGGGGTGCAGCAGGCCGGCTTGGACCCACCGAACCAGGAGCTCAGGCTCGGGAGGAGGTCCGGAAAAGCCACCAACGTCGTGACCGCAGTTGAAGAGTCCGGAGAGGGAGAGGCAGAGACCGAGACGGAGATTCCACCTGGATATTCTCAATGGAGAAAAAGGGCGGGGGGAGGAAGGGGGGAAGATGAGAGGGACGAAACCAATGAAGTTGTGACTGCAGTTGAAGAGACCAGAGGGCGAGAGGCAGAGACAAAGGCGAAGTTTCCACCTGGATATCATCAATAGGGAAAACGGGAAGAGAGACGAGGAAGAAAAAATGAATGACAGAAAAAGCGTATGACACAATTCATTAGCACAGCAGTAAGGGCACCGTACCTGAGTGATTTCCAGCTGGTGGAATTATCCCCCGACCAGGTCTGTGCATATCTCTGAATGCCAAATCCCCCAGCTCTGGTAACCGAGTAGGGTCGGCGGCCAGGCTCGGCCCGAACCTGCTGCTCGAACGAGGCGCGGGTCATCATCAGCGCATGGATCGGCCGATGCAGAAAAAGAGGCTCGGGGCGACCGAACATGTGACTGCACGCATCCTCCTCCCAAATCTCATACTCGTTATTGTCATTCCACGCGGTCTCTATACCCACATCTAGCAGCGCTCGCTGCATGTTGGCCTGCCACCAGGCTATGGTGGCTGGGTTGGTGAAGTCTAGGTGTGCTCCCAGCCCGTCCCAGAACTGGCTTATAGCCGGCGGTGTAGCGGCAGCAGAGGCTGAGGGGATTGAGGCAGCAGGAGCAGGCGGTGAAGCTTCAGCTATTGCTGGCGGCTCTGCTGCACTTGGCTTTGAAAAAGACTGCGCTTCCTCCTCTGACCCTGCTGCTCCTGCTCCCCCTCCCCCTCCCCCTACTCCTGCCCCTCCTCCAGCCCCCCCTCCTGCCACATTCACTCCTGTCCCTGCTGCTCCTGTCCCTTTTACCCCATCTGCATCTCCTGCTGCTGCATCCCCACTCAAGAAGACAAAACCATTCTTTCCACCCACCTCACCATACCTCGGATGATCCATCAGCATACAAGGCTTCACATTCGCCACCACCCGCATCCCAGCCGCCCTCATATCCCCCACCAGCCCCTGCGGATCCGGGAACTTAGCTAAGTTCCAGTGGAAAACGTACCTCCGCTTACCGATCGTGGTGTAGCCTGAACCGAAGTGAAACGCACTGACCGGCATGCAGGTGGAACGGGCGGCCGAGATGAACCGGGAGATGCGCGCCTGCGCATCTGGAGCGTCGGCTAGTGGCATGGCGGTCAGGTGGAGGCCCAGGGTCCACCGTGGTATCAGAGCGGGCCCTACGGCTCGTGGCAGTGGTGGTGGTGATGGCAATGCTGGTGGTGCTGATGTTGACGTTGATAGTGGCAGTGACGGCTGCTGCTTGCATTCGTTGTTACCCCTCTCTTCTGCCTTCCCTTCCCCACCCACATCCCCTCTTTCCCCACCTGTCTCTCTCAACCCCCCAGTCATTAGCCTAGAGAAAGTCCCTATGACCTCTTTTACCCCCGGCCCCACACCCAAATACATATCCAAATCCCCATCCCTCCCCTTCCACACCCTGTACGACCCGTAATAATTGCTGTTCTCACACCCCAAGTCCACGTCAGCACCATCTGCCAGGCTGTCATACAGCTGGCCGTAGCACACACGCGTGTGGCCGTCGCGCGTCAGCAGCAGCGGCCAGTGCTTATAAAGGGGATCGCCTTGTAACGGGTCGAAGCCGAGCGCGTCGCGCATGCCTATAGCGAGGCGGCGCGAGTGGAGGTTGAGAGGGCCTGTCTTGTCGCCCAGACCAAAATAAAAGTCGCCTCCCGCTGCTGCTGCTGCCGTGCCAGCACCAGCAGCAGCATCATCAGCAGCAGCGGCAGCAGCAGCAGCAGGAGAATCGGCATCAGCAGGGGAGGGAGCGCATCGTTTCATGGCGTGTTCAAACGCGAAAGAACGGTCAGAAAAGCGATACGGGCAGCTCTCCCTGTCCTCTGCGAAAACGACAGGGCGGCAATTTTCGTCCGATTTCGTCCCCGTTATAAGCTGAGTTGTGGAAGAATGTGCGGTGCTGCTAGGAACGGCCCATGAGAGATGAAACGGCTCCAAACGGACGGTCAGGATCAGCTGCGACGAGCGGATGGTCACGGCAGGAGCTTGGGGGGCAGCACTCTCCGTTATAGCGCTCCCCGATTGCGGGAGAGTGCTCTGTTCTGTCAGCGCCACTGTGGTTTGCTCTACGGAGTAATCTACAGGCGCGAAGGGGATGCTCAGGCGGTCGTAACCCTCCCATGGCGGATCGTACGGTGACGGCAGCAGCGGGCTTTGCGGGAGATCGCCCGTGAACGGCACTTGAAACTCCCCCGCTGCGCCTGCTGCTGCTGCGCCTGCTGCTGCCGCGCCTGCCGTGCCTGCTGCGCATGCTGCTGCTGCGGAAGGAGATTTCGCTGCGGATTGCGCCGCTACAGATGCGGGTTCCGCGTTCGCGCGGCCGCAGCAGACGGACCAGGTGCGCGGCTCGCGGAGGCCGCCGGGGCGGAGGAAGAGCACGCGGAAGAGGTTGCGCGCGACGGGGGTCACGCGGAGCGCGAAGCCGTCGTTGCAGTCGAACCACACGCCGGCCGCGTCCACGCGGTTTAACGAAGCGAGAGTAATTGCCGGCATGGCTGCCGGCTGGCCGTCTTCTGCCCACGGAATCGCCTAGGCGAGGGTGGAATCGGAGTCTAACGAGCCGAACTGGGGCTTGATTCAAAATCTAAGTTCACACGAAATTGGACCTGATCTATTGCAAACTGGGGGGGCAAAATTGAGGAATGGGGCATTGTACGCGGTACGAAGACGCAACCGCTGAGTTTGATAAGAGAATAAGCTAGCCAATGTAAGGGTAAGCAGAGGACCAACGCTCGTATGCTGGATTTACAGCTTTATGCAAAATTGGAGCTCCACAAGCACATCGTGGCTTCACAATGGGTCTTAACTTCTGTGAACAAGTGACCATTTCGCCATTTTATTTCTGCGACCATATGTCCAATATCATGTATCACTTATTCACTACACTACATAATATTATACACTATTTTTCATCAGCCTCCAACTCCTCCCCGAACTGCTCCAACCTTCTTGCTTCTTCCTCCTCGTCCCTCACAAGCCCCCAGTTGACCAGACCCTTGTCTTCAACCGCTGATATTTGTCGGCCCCCGAACCTAGGAAGGGAAGGGGAGGCATTGAATAGGGCTCAATAAAATGAAGTAAAAAAAAAAAATGCCCGCAACACAGTATGCAGAGCTTGCATAAATAAATGCCCATTCACGACTCGTAATCGCCCATTCGCACCGATTTGCAACTCACCATCGCTCTTCACCACTCACCATCGCCCATGCATGACTTCTATGCACTTGAACGCAGCTGCCTTGTCCTTGAACCTCACTGTCACCACTCACCATCGCTCTTCACCACTCACCATCGCTCTTCACCACTCACCATCGCCCATGCATGACTTCTATGCACTTGAACGCAGCTGCCTTGTCCTTGAACCTCACTGTCACCACTCACCATCGCTCTTCACCACTCACCATTGCCATTCACCACTCACTCACCATCGCCCATGCATGACTTCTATGCACTTGAACGCAGCTGCCTTGTCCTTGAACCTCACAGTCACCACGCCGTCTGGATGATTGGGGAACACCTGGAGGCACAATGAGGAGGGCGGGGGGGTAATGGGAGGGAGAGGAGAACAGATGATGGTGTGAGGTGAGGTGGGGTAGAAAGCAGCTGCCTTGTCCTTGAACCTCACTGTCACCACGCCGTCTGGATGATTGGGGAACACCTGGAGGCAGGAGAAGGCAAGGCATACACATAAAGGCATGATGGGGAAGATTACCAGAAGGAAATAAGGGAGGTTCCTCTCACACGTTCTCCTACAGCAAGGGGTGGGGTGGATGTGATGTGTGTGCCTTCTTAATCCACTCAGTCTCAGATATGAAGGAAGGGTGTGTGCCTTCTCTGCCCTGCCCACTGGAACAAGCCAAGGAAGCGTGTGCTTCATATTTAAAAAAACAAAAGGAATATTATGTTAGAATAGAGGCAAACCTTTTGCAATCCTATCACCTTGACTCGCTCCACCACGCCCATCTTGGCGCACTCCTCCCGCACCTCCGCCTCCAGCTCCACCGGCAGTGAGGGGTCAGATGGGTGGATGGTTGGACGCGCTTTCTTACCAACAGTGGGGGATCAGGTGAGTGTGTGTAGCCGGTGGCACTGGGCTTACCTTGACTCGCTCCACCACGCCCATCTTGGCACACTCCTCGCGCACCTCCGCCTCCAGCTCCACCGGCAGCGAGGGGTCGTTGACCACCTCGTCGCGTGTGAGCATGTGGAACAGCGCGACCGTCATGGGGAGGGTGTGCTTGGCATTGTCAGACCCGCCTGGAGGGGTAAGGAGGAAGGAAAAGGAACACAAGATAACAGAGAGCAGTGAGGGGTCGTTGACCACCTTGTCGCGAGTGAGCATGTGGAAGAGAGCGAGGGTCATTGGGAGGGTGTGCTTGGCGTTGTCAGACCCGCCTGGGAGGGGCACAGAAGGGACTTAAAGCCATGTTGCTAAACCATGTGAACATGTGAGAATAATGATACTCTCAAAAGGTTCAGGAATGGGGTTGGAAGGGATTAGAGAGAGCAAGCGTAGTGCAGTGGAGCGGATAAAGAGATAACTCCCCCCATCCCAGCACCTTGGCCTCTAGCTTCTTCAGCTTCTTCTTCTTCTTCTTCTTCTTCTTGTGACTCGCCTTCTTCACAAACACATTGCCAACACACAGCAACCCATGACGCACACACTGAGCTTGGAGCAGCACTCACCCCATCCCGCCATCACACAGCAACCCATGATCCACCTGGGCGTGCAGCGTTCACTCACCCCATCCCAGCACCTTGGCCTCTAGCTTCTTCAGCTTCTTCTTCTTCTTCTTGTTCTTGTCACTCGCCTTCTTCACAAACACATTGCCAACACACAGCAACCCATGACCCACCTGGGCTTGCATCACTCAACCCATCCTGCAAACACCCGGCAGCCCATGGCCCACCTGGGGCTTACAGCATTCACTCACCCCATCCCAGCACCTTCGCTTCGAGCTTCTTGAGCTTCTTCTTCTTGTTCTTGTCACTCGCCTTCTTCACAAACACATTGCCTGGCAAAGCAGTTAGAGGCAAGGGGAGGAGACGTGGTAAGGCACGGGAGAAACATGGAACGTGGATGAGATAGAAGCGATGTGGGTGGGATGAGGCAAAGCAAGGGAGTGTATGTAAGTTGACTTTTGAGTCGACTCAAAAGGCAAGGGGAGGAGACGTGGTAAGGCACGGGAGAAACATGGAACGTGGATGAGATAGAAGCGATGTGGGTGGGATGAGGCAAAGCAAGGGAGTGTATGTAAGTTGACTTTTGAGTCGACTCAAAAGGCAAGGGGAGGAGACGTGGTAAGGCACGGGAGAAACATGGAACGTGGATGAGATAGAAGCGATGTGGGTGGGATGAGGCAAAGCAAGGGAGTGTATGTAAGTTGACTTTTGAGTCGACTCAAAAGGCAAGGGGAGGAGACGTGGTAAGGCACGGGAGAAACATGGAATGTGGATGAGATAGAAGCGATGTGGGTGTGACGTGGAGAAGCAAGGACGTATATGTAAATCGGAGTAGCAAAGGGGTGGATAATTCTTGCAGCAGCTCACTATAATCCTTGCAGCAGCTCACTATAATCCTTGCAGCAGCTCACTATAATCCTTGCAGCAGCTCACTATAATCCTTGCAGCAGCTCACTATAATCCTTGCAGGAGAATGTGGTGTGAATGAACTATAACATCACAAACCCGCACCTTTCTGCTCGGAACTTGGCGAGGGTCACAGACATGGGGTGCTTGTCGCCTAGTCTCAAAGAGTCATGTCATACCATACCAGCATCACCACCACTCACTACCACCTTCCACCACTCTCGCACCTTTCTGCTCGAACTTGGCAAGGGCCACAGACATGGGGTGCTTGTCGCCTAGTCTCAGGGGAGTGCCGTCCAAAATCTTGAGAGCAAGGTCAACTGAGGGCGGCTGGAGGGTGGAAAGGGAGGATGGAGAGTGGGGGGAAGAGAGAGGGGGGATGGATGCTTGCCAGTCTCAGGGGAGTGCCGTCCAAAATCTTGAGTGCTAGATCAACTGAAGGCGGCTGGAGGGTGGAAAGGGGGGATGGAGAGTGGGGGGAAGAGAGAGGGGGTATGGATGCTTGCCAGTCTCAGGGGAGTGCCGTCCAAAATCTTGAGTGCTAGATCCACTGAGGGCGGCTGGAGAGGGGAAGGGGAGGATGGAAAGGGGGGAAGGGGCAGGAGGGCTGCTTGTCGCCTAGTCTCAGGGAGTGCTGTCAGAATCTTGAGAGCTAGATCCACTGAAGGCGGCTGGAATGGGGGAGGGGGGATGGAGAGGGGGGATAAGGAGGAGGATGGAGAGGAGGGGAAGGGGGAGGGGGACTCTTGTTGCCTAGTCTCAGAGGAGTGCTGTCCAAAATCTTGCGCGCTAGATCCACTGAGGGCGGCTGGAGAGGAAGCGAAAGGGGGGGGGAGGGGAAGGGGGTGTTGTTGGCGCGGAACGTTTCGAAACTGTCAAAACAGATTGTCTTTCAAGTCGCAGAGGCATGCTGTCCAGAAAATGAGAGCTGAGCCCACTGACGGTGGCCAGAGAGGGAAACAGGGAGAGAGAGGGGGGGGAAGGAGGGGAGGAGGGGGGAGAGGAAGATCCATGTGTAAATCCCTCTCCAGGAACCATGGCCTGCGAGTTGACTTTTGAGTCGACTCAAGAATCATGGCCTGCGAGTTGACTTTTCAGTTGACTCAAGAATCATGGCTTGCGAGTTGACTTTTCAGTTGACTCAAGAATCATGGCCTGCAAGTTGACTTTTCAGTTGACTCAAGAATCATGGCCTGCGAGTTGACTTTTCAGTTGACTCAAGAATCATGGCTTGCAAGTTGACTTTTGAGTCGACTCAAGAATCATGGGTTGCTGGTGGCGGACAGAATGGAACCAATTCGAGAACTCTCAAAAGTGACTCCAACATAAGTGGTGAGGAAATGAAATGGCATGAAACGAGACTAACCTTGAGCAAGTGATGAGCCCATCGCCCTTGAGCTCGCCTGTTGCCTTGTCCCGATACAGCCAGCTTCAAAACATCAAGCCCTGGACCCGTGGAGGACGGCTGTACCCAACCAGACTCACCTAAAGGAACAGAATTGCAACCGGAACTCACCTTGAGGAATGTGATGAGCCCATCGCCCTTGAGCTCGCCTGTCGCCTTGTCCCGATACAGCTTCACCCGCGGCTTGCCGGTCTCCAGGTCCTGAGAAGAAGCCAAGGTGGACAAGAGGCAGGGGAGATTTTTCAGTCGACTAAAAACAAGTGTCGGCTTGCACGTGTCCAAATCCTGAGAAGCCAAGGTGGACAAGTCACAAGAGGCAGGGGAGATTTTTGAGCCGACTAAAAAACCGGGGTTTTGGGTTGCACGTGTCCAAATCCTGACAAACCGAGACAAAACGCAGGGAAACCAAAATGAGAGAAAGAACACGGAAGCAACGGAAAAAGGGGGGTGCAATGGTTTCTTACCTCTTTGATAAGCCCACACTTGGAAAACACCTCCAGCACCTGGCGTACAAGGAAAGCAGGATCCGAAAAAGAAGCAGAAGTTAAGGCCAAAAGCAGTGGGATTGACACGAATCACCCCACACATGGGCATATACGCATGAGTATGTATGAGACGTCACACTCAAGTGGCACAAAAGCGACAAAACATACTGCTACACCTTGTACTCGATATAGGGTGCCCCACCTCGGCCTCGTTAGTATCATGAGGCAGGCCGGTGACGTACACACTTGTGTTGACTTTCAGCTCAAACCACTCGTTGGGTTCGTTGTTGGCGACCTGACATGGGGACAGGGAGAGAGGTGAGGCAGAGGAAGGAAGCAGAGAGTGACTTTTGAGGCGCCTCAAAAGACAGGGAGAGAGGTAAGGCAGAGGAAGGAAGCAGAGAGTAAGGACTTTTGAGGCGCCTCAAAAGACAGGGAGAGAGGTAAGGCAGAGGAAGGAAGCAGAGAGTAAGGACTTTTGAGGCGCCTCAAAAGACAGGGAGAGAGGTAAGGCAGATGAAGGAAGCAGAGAGTAAGGGAAAGAGGAGAAGGTAAGAGGCAGGCCGGTGACCGAAGAGAGGGTGAGAGAGAAACAAGAGAGTGAGGAAAGGAGGATGCATGCATACATGGCTCACATGCGCTTTCAACATGTGTGTGAATCGCCTCAAAAGTCGACCTTCACCCAAACCACCCATCCACTGACCTTCCTCTGGAGCTCCTTTCGTGCTTCTACAGGCCGCTTTTCTTGCCCATCGATCCAACCACTACTTCAATCAGGAACACGCGACCACGTGTGTGTCTCCAACCTGTATGCAGACCAACCCCATCCACTGACCTTCTTCTGGAGCTCTTTTCGTGTTTCCACATGCTCCTTCTCTTGCCCTTCTTCCTTCTTCCCTGCCCCCTCCTCTTTCCCCCCTTCCTTGCCCTTCCCACTCCCCTCCATCTCTCCCCAATGCTTCCCACCCTCTGCTCCTCCTCCTTCCTCCCCCTTCCCACCCCCGCCTCGTTTCTCCCCCTTCTTCCACCCCTTCCCCTTCCCCTTCTCCTTCTCCCCGCCCTTCCCCCACTTCTTCCCCCCACGCTCCCCCTCCCCTCCTCTCCCCCCCATCTCCTCCTCCTCACTCGCCTCTGCGCGCTCCCTCTCAGCTACAGCAGCAGCAATGGCGGCGTCAAGAGAGGGAATAACCTCCTCGTCTTCTACGAATACCATCTGCTCTGGATCATACCCTGCTGCTGCATCTGGTAACCCTGCTGCTGCTGCTCCTGCACCTGCTGCCGCTGCTCCTTCTTCCCCCTGGAAGCCACAAGACAGCACAGACCCAGAAGGCAGGAAACAGCAGGGGTATGAGGAGGGGAGTGGGGAGATCCTGAGGAAGGTCAAGAGAGAGGCAGGCGTCGTGTAGCAAGACACAAGAGACAATAGAGCGACTCACTCACTCACCAGAGGCACCCACACGCGCATGCGCGCATCCCATCGGTCAACCGTCCCATCATCATCCTCGAATTGAAAGAATTCTGCTGGCATAGCACAGCAGGACATGCACGAGCGACTCACTCACTCACCACTCACTCACCAGAGGAGGCACCCACACCACTCACTCACCAGAGGCACCCACACGCGCATGCGCGCATCCCATCGGTAGATCGTGCCATCATCATCCTCAAATTGGTCCCCCTCTGCTGGATCTCCCTCCTCCCCTTGCCCCTGCCGCCCTTCCCCTTTCTCCTGCCCCTGCTGCTGCCCCTTCCCCTCTTGTGCGTCTGCAGTGGTCATTTCCACATCCGCATTTCCACCTCCCTGCCCCTTCCTCCCTTCCCCCTTCCCCTCCCCTGCCTCCTCACCCTCCTCTCCCTCTCCCTCCGCCTCCTCCTCCTCATCCTCATCCTCATCCTCCTCTTCCTCCTCCATATCAGCATCAGCGCCATGGGCTAAAGCCGCCACCACTCGACCTCTCTTTCTCGCTGCCCGTTGCGCAGCAGCTGCTTCCACCTCTGCCCGCCTCACCTCCTCTAGAAACTTCTTCATCTCCTCGTCCTCCGCTCCCCCTCCTTCCCCACCCCCCGCGCCCCCTTCTCCCCCTGCTCCACCATCCCCGCCCCCTTTCCCCTTTCCCTTCCCCTTTCCATTCCCCTTCCCCCTTCCCCCATTGCCAGCAGGAGCCCCCCATTGCCAAGTCCTACCAGCCTTGAGTTCCCCACCGGTTCCTGCTGCGCCTGCTGCTGCATCTGCAGCTGCTCCATTCCCTGCTGCTGGCACTGGTACTGCCACTCCTCCTGCTGGCTCCGAAGCAGTAGCATCGGCACCAATACCAGTACCAGCAGCAGCAGCATCAGCAGCAGCAGTGTGAGCAGGAATAGCAGCAGCGCAAGCTGCAGCGAATTCAGGAACGATTCTTAAGGGCAGCCATTCCGCAAAGCCGTCTGCCCAGAAAAGAGTTTCAGGCGTCACATAGTTGTATGCGAGAAGACCTGAAAGCAGTCACAGGTTGGAGTAACGAGCTCAGCTGTTTTTAGTCAGATACTGAAAGCGAGAAAAGAGCAAGGCAAGGGTAGCCACGGAATGTCAGAGAGCTTGATCTCCAACCAAATGCAACACCGCTCTGTTCGTTACTCTGAAAATCGGCATTCAGGAGCGTTTTTTAAGGGTCTCCAATAACCCTTTCGTGAGACTATATTTAACGACTGAAGCAAGGCAAAAGTAGCGACAATTGTCAAGGAATTCGAGGAGAAGAGCAGACGTACCGGGAACCTGGTCCTCTGGGTAAGGCCCTTGATTCTGCTGGTCCACGTCCAGGAAGAACCATCCACGGCCTGGAATTGCCGAAACGTCTTTACCAGCTTCTGCCGTTGATTCTACCGGCTGAACGTCAACCTTCTGCGCGTCGTCAGGCTCGTCTGATGGCTTGGACGGCTGAGATTCCGCCATAATTTCGAAAGTCGGGGGACGAGAAGAATGTATCCTCTAGGTTCTAGTTGCTCGTGCAAATCCTCCATTTCTGGTCCGCGGAAGAAACAAGAACCCCCCGTCGTACGCGATTTAGTCGTCCCCACTTCGCGAATTGGTGCGCCTAAATGCACACTAATATTTCCTGCACAGCAAATTTGCATTGACCCTTTGTACGCGATTTAGTGGTCCCCACTTCGCGAATTGGTGCGCATAAATGCACACTAATATTTACTGTTCCGGTGCTACAAGACCGGAAACCAGGCACCATTTAGGCAATCTGCTATGTAGCAGAAAGTTACTATCGCCATACATGCTCAAACCATCTTATCCAATGCCTAACATGTTCTTGCACGCATATAGCTGAAGCACACCTGCCGTCTGATTACCTACCTAGGCTTTAATCCCTATCCAATTCAACATCAACCCTCCACAACTCTCTGCACGTCACTGGCTGAATCAGCATGGGTGCTTTCTCCCCAGATATCCTAGCACAACAGGTCACTGCTGGCAACATGCATCACTAACCATAATGCCCTCAATGCTCAAAACGACGACGCCACTTGGCGCCGTGGAACAAGTACCTATGACTAGTGTGCCACAGGAAATTGACGGTTACACCCAGTAGAATCCCAAACAATCACCTCAGCACCCACACAAAATTGGAAGTGGAATTGGGATATATTTAAAAAGAAGTGTAGTTACACGGTTTTTTCTGATGTATCGACATTCTTAAGAAGTCACCGACTTGACGATGGCGCCAGCGGTAAGCACAGCAACGACCTCCACGGCAGCAACGGCGACAGCCTGGGTCTCAGCGGGAATGTCGCTCTCTGACGTGACTGGGACACCGACGGAGGGAGCAACAACAGGAGCCGCAGGAGACGAGGCACCCATGGGAGCAGCCACTTCAGGAGCAGCGGGCTCCTCAACGGCCTTCTTCCTAATGCCGAAAAGAGGGATGTCTTTAGCAGAGGCGGAAGAGGCGGGGATGGCAGCAAGAAGCGCAGCTAGGCCGAGAGCAGTGGCTGATCGCCGGGACACGACGTGCTTGTCCTCCGATGCAGCCGCCTCGCAGCGGACAGCGGCAACGGACCGCCTGACAGCCTGCTGTTGACGGGGAGCCGCAATTTGGCAGCCAGAGAGGGACGCGGCGGAAGAGAGAACACAGCTGGTCATGGTGGCAGCCATTGCTAAATTGTGATGTGGAGTATATTGAGAGCAATCCTGCAAACCAGACCTGACCAGCTGCTTCTCAGTGAGGTCGTAGTGACTTGAAAAGAACGTTGGAATAGTTGCCTGATTTGAGAGCATCACAACAATGCCATAGATTTTGCCCAACTGACATACACTCCTTTCCCCAATCGAGGTGCAACGACAACCGTCCGATGCGGTACGAACGGCAGGGATGCACCACGCAAGTGCTGAGAACCCTGGAACACTCGCTAGCTGGCTTGATCACTCATACCGCAAGTTTGTGGGGGTCCTAAAGGTTGGGGGATGAATCAAAGCCAGGCACGTAAGCAGGGAAGAACAGTGAGGTGGCACTCCGGAGGCCACGGGCCGTGGATTGACAATCTTGGGGCCCCCTGATTGGCGAACGATGCTCGCTTTTCAGCCCGCAATCCAACAAATGCCTCGCCACTGCAGACCACACCCACAAAGCTACCCTGCATTAGAACACTCGATATTAAAATTGAGAGGGTTGTCTGGTATCCTTAACATTATATTTCTGCTGTCAGAAGAGAAAAGTAAATAAGCTCAATCAATACAAACAAATCAGCCCTCAATACCGTACATCTCATTTATTCGCAGCGATCTCTTGGTATTTTCAAGCACCATGCACATATCCTCTTTCTATTATCATAACAGATACTATTTAAAGGACTTCCTATCACATAGCAATTTGCAACTTGTCATGTCACCCTGACACCCACTCATTGTGGAAGAGGGGCAGCTCCCAACTCCGCCAGCCAAGCAGAGTGCAGAGGGCAAGGGTCCGGCTTGCCTGCTGCCACTGCAGCTTTTGACATGTTGTGGAACCAGCCGTTGCGCCACTCAAACTGGGGGGAAGGGAATAGAGGGCATGGGAGGGGCATTGGGGGTACGGCAGACATGGGGTGGGTAGCATGGAGGGCATGAGGGAAACGGAAAACATGGGAGCATTCGGGGCATGGGATAGTAAGGAGCAACACCATACAATAAGACGTGTCAAACAATATGGAAAGATGTGGAACTAGCCATGGATGATGGAACCCCTTTCATACTGGAGCTTGACAGGTGCTACATGGGATGACTTTTGAGTCGACTCAAAAGTCATCAGGTGCTACATGGGATGACTTTTGAGTCGACTCAAAAAGTCATCAGGTGCTACATGGCACAGAAACCTCCCCTATGCACAATCAAATGGTTCAAAATGACGAGCTGTGCAATGAGAGGGACAACTTTGTGATTCAAAACGAACACCTGTGTGCTGTATCCGCAGCGGCAGCAGCAGCAGCAGCAAGCATACCTCTTTAACAGCCGTGGGGAAGTGTGCCACAGAGCGAGCATAAGCGCACAGTCGATCCACCAGCCCCTCGTCAAACCCATCCACAGCCCCAGCTGCCACAGCAGCAGCGGTGGCAGCACCACCACCACCACACTACCAGCAGCAGCAGCAGCAGCAAGCATACCTCTTTAACAGCCGTGGGGAAGTGTTCCACGGAGCGAGCATAAGCGCACAGTCGATCCACCAGCCCCTCGTCAAACCCATCCACAGCCCCAGCTGCCACAGCAGCAGCGGTGGCAGCACCACCACCACCACACTACCAGCAGCAGCAAGCATACCTCTTTAACAGCCGTGGGGAAGTGTGCCACGGAGCGAGCAAAAGCGCACAGTCGATCCACCAGCCCCTCGTCAAACCCATCCACAGCCCCAGCTGCCACAGCAGCAGCGGTGGCAGCACCACCACCACCACACTACCAGCAGCAGTAGCAGCAGCAAGCATACCTCTTTAACAGCTGCGGGGAAGTGTGCCACAGAGCGAGCATAAGCGCACAGTCGCTCCACGAGCCCCTCGTCAAACCCATCCACAGCCCCAGCTGCCACAGCAGCAGCGGTGGCAGCACCACCACCACCACACTACCAGCAGCAGCAGCAGCAGCAAGCATACCTCTATAACAGCCGTGGGGAAGTGTGCCACAGAGCGAGCATAAGCGCACAGTCGCTCCACGAGCCCCTCGTCAAACCCATCCACAGCCCCAGCTGCCACAGCAGCAGCGGTGGCAGCACCACCACCACCACACTACCAGCAGCAGCAGCAGCAGCAAGCATACCTCTTTAACAGCTGTGGGGAAGTGTGCCACGGAGCGAGCATAAGCACAGAGCCGATCCACCAGCCCCTCGTCAAACCCATCCACAGCCCCAGCTGCCACAGCAGCAGCCGCAAGCTCATTGATAAGCAGAGTCACGGCCTCCCTGTGTTGGCTCTCCACCTCCCCCACGGTCACACCGCCGTTCCTCGCTCCCACCAGCATGAACGCACAGATCCACATCAGCTTCTCCAGCTGTGGCCGGCGAAAGGCTGACAGAGAGAGCACCTGCGGTCACGGATGGGAGCGTCAGGAGGGGGAGATATGGTAATAGTTTTTTTCCCCTTCGCACCTTCCAGCTGAGCCCAGCCAATATAAGTCTCACAGATGCAGCCTCCACCACTTGCCAGAGGCGGCGGTGAGCCCCTCGGGATTGACGAGTCGCTTGAGAGTGCCTCTGGTCTTCCCCTCTCACCTTGCAGCTGAGCGCTGCCGACTTGATTCTAGCAGCGACGGCCTCCGCCCACATGCAAGTGGCAGCAGTGTGCCCCTCGGGATTGACGTCCGTGATGCCATCCAATCCAATGGAGGGTCGCCTGCCTTGGCAATACGCTCTGCACTGGCTATCCTTGTGTGTTTTGAGTCGACTCAAAAGTTGGCGATACACTCTGCACTAGCTACCCTTCTGTGTGCGCCTTGCATTACCTTACAGCCCAGCCCAGAAGACTTGAGCCTCGTAACAACAGCCTCCGCCCACTTGCCAGTGGCGTCAGTCAGTGAGCCCCTCGAGATTTACAAATCACTTGAGAGAGAAGCCCTATTCGTCCACCTCTCACCTTGCAGCTTAGACCAGCCGATTTCAGCCTTGTAGCTACAGCATCCGCCCACTTGCCAGTGGCAGCCGTGAGCCCCTCGGGATTGACGTCCGTGATGCCATCCAGAGGCGGGTCGCCCGCCTTGGCGACGGCGAAATACACGAGCACCTGCGTGGCGTCCTGTAGGCCTCTTGAGGCGAGCCACGGGTCGAGCATGCCATTCTGAATGAACACCAGGTCTGGAGGAAGATGACGGAGGGAGGCGGAGGGAATAAGGGGTGATGGGATTGATGAACAAGCAAGCAGCCCGCCTTGGCGACGGCGAAATACACGAGCACCTGTGTGGCATCCTGGAGACCCTTAGATGCCAACCACGGGTCCAGCATTCCGTTCTGGATAAAGACCAGGTCTGCCATAGGAGGAGGGACGGAGGGAATAGGGGAGGGAATCGTGGGGGGAATAAGGGGAAGGAGATTGATACACAAGCATGCAGCCCGCCTTGGTCACGGCGAAATACACGAGCACCTGCGTGGCGTCCTGGAGGCCTCTTGAGGCGAGCCATTGATCCAGCATTCCGTTCCGAATGAACACCAGGTCTGGAAAAACGAGGGAAGTGCGAATTGGGGGGGGGGGGGAATAAACACGAACATTTTACTGCTGTCCTGCAGACCCCTGGAAGAGAGCCATGGGTCGTGTGAAACTTGGTAACAACCAAACCCAAGGTAAGTTCTCTCCTCAATTCCGGCATCTCCGCTTATCTTGCCGCCTAGATTCTGGCACAGCATCCACAACGGCCTCAAGAGCATCATTCCGCGTGCACACGACTTTAGAGACGTCTCAAAAGTCCTCAATTCCAGCATCTCCGCTTACCTTGTCGCCTGGATTCCGGCACAGCATCAACAACGGCGTCAAGAGCATCATTCCGCGTGCACACGATAATCGGCCCCTCCCCCCGTTCGGGGACTTTCTCCCCCCGCCGCACCACCACGTCCCGCCCTCCGCCCATCTTCTCCAGCGCCTGCCCCACGCGCCCCGCGCCGATAATCACCGCGGGGATCACTTCCGCGGATGCCATTGCGCGCGGAGCGCAAGAACGCGCACGGAACGTTGCGCGGCTAGTTGCGCGATGCAGAAGCGAGATTAGACCGTCAGATGCGGAGGTGGGTGGGCTCGTGGGAGTTGCGCAAATGCGGAGCGGAACGGCGGAAGGCGCAGCAGCGCGCAGAAGGAATGCGGGGCGCGAATTGGCGCAAGTGAAAGAAGCGGGGAGGGGGGCGAGGGCGGCAGCGCAAGCTCGCGAAAGCGGCATGGCGGAGGAAGAAGTGGCGGGGGGATGCAGCGCAGCTAAAATGTGATGACCAGACTAACAGTTTTCGAGAAATTTATTGGGAGGAAATTTCAAGGTGGCTAGGAGATTCTCGAAGCAGCGTACTCGCTTCAGGGATTCGAGCACAAAACCGCTATAGGCAAAGTACACAATTGCGAAGCTTAGAATTGGTAGATGCTATGATTCACGACTTTTACTGTACTCACATCTCCCACTTCAATTGCATGAGCTACACAAATTGATCGTTTCCAGCACATATTTTCCCCTATCATAATTTCGGAAGGCATGCCATGCATCATGCCTTCCCCCTACAACGCCTTGATCAAGAGTAGCCTGTGTCACTTTCAGGACTTGCAAAGCTATCACGCCTATGCACGTCTTACACGCCCAGGGGCCTGTCTCCCACACACACAGCCTAAATCTTCCTTTCTCAGAGCGAGCTTGTAGGATGGCACCCAACATCACCCCCCCAATCCCCAAACTTTGTCTGTTCTGCAGGGTTCAGTTCAGTCGGTCACAGTCATGTGCCTCATAGCCACCCCTGTAGCTCATTCCCTCTCGGGTGCAACACAGCAAAGTACAGTGTCAGTGTACCACGTGTCATGTGACTTGTGCCATATTGATGCATGGACGATGTCCTCCTGATGTGCGGCACAGCAAAGCATGGTGCCATGGCATGTCATGCCATGCCACACACGCGGGCGGGAGTTCCCTTAGGTGTGTGGCGAAGCAAATCGACGCACGACGTCACATGACGTCCCCCATGAGGGTTCGGCAGCAAGTCATCCGTACCGCATTGTACCGCATTGCTGTCATGGTCTCTTGTTCCAGTCCAGGCCGGTACACTTGATAAGAGGTTGACAGGGTCACTTAGGAGCAGCCGTTTGGCGACATTAAAAGTCTCGATGCTTTGCTGGATGTTTCAATGGCAAACGTCCCTGGGTCAGCTGCATGTGTTGTTGCTGCAGGCCACATCGATACATGTCACTTGTTCCACACCACTTCACGGCATGTCACTTGCACCACACCTCCTCCCTCCCAGCATGTCACTTGCTCCAGGGCCAGAAGCGGGAGGAGTTAGCAAGGGTGCAGCCCAGGGCGAAGCTGAGCACACCATCCACGGCCAAGAGCTTATCGCTTATCACACCCTGCCATGGCACGCCATGCCATGCCATGCCATGCCATGCCATGTCGTGCCATGCCAGCACAGCATGATTGCCATGCCCAAGAGTAGAGAATGGATGGGAAGGGAACAATCCACGTGGGGACAGGAGGGTGGTTAGGTAAGTTGTGCTTTTTGGAAGAAGTCTTTCCAGGACCACGATCGCCTTAGAACATGCGAAGGAGCTAAGGAGAGGGAGATGGATAAGGCTTGAGGAGGAACCAGGAGAGGGGAGGGAGTGTGGGTTGGGGGAGGAGAGGGAGTTGGTGGGAAGGGCGGTGGGAAGATGGCGGGGAGGTGGTGGAGGATGTGATGAGGGGAGGCGATGGGAGAGGTGATGAGGGGAGGCGATGGGGGAGGTGATGAGGGGAAGCGATGGGGGAGGTGATGAGGGGAGGCGATGGGGGAGGTGATGAGGGGAGGCGATGGGGGAGGTGATGAGGGGAGGCGATGGGGGAGGTGATGAGGGGAGGCGATGGGGGAGGTGATGAGGGGAAGCAGATGCAGTGCACTTACGAAATCAGGGTCCAGTCCATCCACCTCGAATAACATTACTCCCGTGCCCGCCTCCTGGTTGGTGCGCCCCTGTTGGTGGTGGTGAAGGGAGGAGAGGAAGGCGACAGCATTAAGAACAAAGGGGAAGAAACGGCAAAGACAATATGAAAAAGGTACTGGTATGGGTGAGGCACTGTGAAAAGAAAGAAAGAAAGAAAGAAAGAAAGAAAGAGAAAAAATGCGCGTGGGCCAGCCCAGCTTACTGCATGTGTGCAGATGAGCAGGCCAGAATCCGTCACTATCTTGGAAACTTCCGCCAGCATCCCTGCAGACGCACATGGAAACAGAGTCAGCGGCGATACAGGGGTGCAGGTAAGAGGGACAGCTTAGGGAGAGCGGAAGTGCACAAAAACCTGTGCGATCTTTCTGCACTCACCTGTGCGATCGTAGCACTGCACGGCCAGCCACAGCACCACCTTTCTGCGGCCACTCAGGAACTGCCACATGGCAACGGTCTGCGTCTGCCACTCCTCAAACTCCGCAAACGCATCCACACATGCCCCCCCTCCCTCCGCTGCACCGGCTCTGTCCGACCCCCCTCCTGACTCCCCTGATGCATCTCTACCACTAGAAACGCCTCCTGCTGCTGTTGGCCCTGCTACAGCTGCTGGAGACGCAGGTGCTGCTGCTGGTGCTATTGCTGCCAATCCTCCTTGTGGCGAATATCCTTCTTCCATTGGACGAGCCATGCCGTTACCCTCTCCTTTTCCTCTTCCCATGCTGGTCGCCCCGGTTCCTCCTCCACCTTCATCCAACCTTGCTGCTCCTGCTTCCCCTGTTACTCCCTCTAACAGCCGTGATACTAGCTCATCTACCCCCTCCTCTCTGCTTTCTACCCCAGCATCACCACTCATCCCGTCATCGTCACTCCTGGTCCTGCCTTCCAACCTGCCTTCCAAGAGCTCCACATCAGCGCTAGCCAGCGACATGTCAGCATCGCCCGACGCCAGCCGAGCGGACGCCACGTCAGCAGCAGCCCCATCATCAGAAAACCGCAAAACCTCTGAGCTGCTTTCACCAGCAGGATACCCTCTTCCAGCCGCCCCTGTCTCAGATCCCACCTCCCCCGGTTCAACCCTTCCTAATCCCACCTCTCTCCCCCTCACGGTACCATCTATGCTCCTCCCCACTTCGCCTGAGCGCCCCTTTCTAGACCCTGTACCTGCTTCTCCCTCTCCCACTGCCAATCGCCCCTGCCTCTCCTTGGTGGGAGTCTGGGGAACAGCCGTTGTGGCGGATGGTGTGGATGAGCGAGGGGGAGGGGAGGCTGAACGGGTGGTGGATGGGGACAAGTCGAATGGGAGTGATGTTGATGGTGACTGTATGGAGGGTGATTGAGTGGGTTGGCTGGTGGGGACAAGGGAATCCGAAATAAGAGGCAAAGTGGCCGATCCGTTGTTACTGCCAGACATGACGGTGCTGCTGCCACCACCGCTGCTACCGCCACTGCTGCTGCTTGTGGCAGTGTTGCTGCTGCTACTACTACTACCACTACTGCTGCTGCTGCTGCGGCTGCTGCTAGCTGCAGGGCGGGCGTCAGCGGATTGCAGGTCAATAAGGAACTCGTTGATTCTGTCGGCCGTGATCTCATGCGAATTCAGCGCACCCTGCTCCCGCAAATACTGCACCATGCAAACAAAAGGCAACCAATAACAAATACGCATCAGCATTGTGTGCTGTCTCGGTCCCCTCCAAGGTATTTTTACGAGTTTTCGCCATACCTTTGTGAGTTTGTGCCTGGCACTCCTCGTCTTGGCATGCTGCAGCCACTGTTGGCGCTGCTTGAAGCCCTTGCGCGAACCACCAGACCCGCCCTGGTGAAAACCAAATCCATGGTGGGGGGACGAAGAAGCAAGCAGGGAGGTATGCCTTGAGCCACTTCTCGTCTCAGGATAACAGTGATGGCCTTCCTTCCAAGCATGAGAATGAAAGTTCAGAGAAAGTATTTTGGGATGTCGGATCGGGCTTTAGCAGCAAAGTAGTGCAACTACAGGGCTTACTTTGTGTACGTGAGAAGAGCCTCATCGACCTCCCCATTCATGAAACCAGATCCGAATTCTCAAGTGCGTAAAGCAACGTTGTGAGGATAACTCACATGACTTACTTTGTATGTGCGGACCTCAACGACCTCCCCATTGGACAGGGCATACGTGGGCGGGACAAAGTTGCCATTCACCTGGTTGCACGAGGGAAGCAGGGAAGACGAGGGAAAGAGAAGGGAACAAAGGGAGAAGAAGTTGGGAGACGGGATGACACAGGTGCGAGGGAGATCAGGAGCGAAGGATTTGAAAAGGGTTTTGGACGGAGGGATAGGTCGAGAACAATCGTGAGGGCACAGCAGCAACAAATGCGCCCTTAGCTGCACTGCAAGTGTGTCTGAGCCATCACGCACGCCATCACCACCCATCTCACCCACCTCCCCTTCACTTTCTCAATCAAAATGCACGATTGTCGTCTCACCTTGGCAACCACCATTCTGTTGCTCACGTCCGTGTGGGTGTGGCAGGCGTAGTCTATCACAGTGGCACCTCAAGGGATGACCAGACACATCTCGCCCATCGCACCTTCGCTCTTCACTCAGATCTCCCATTATCTTCTCACCTTGGCGGCCACCATTCGGTTGCCCACGTCAGTGTGGATGTGGTACGCGTAGTCAATCACAGTGGCGCCCTTGGGGAGGTTCTTCACCTCCCCCTTGGGCGTGAACACGAAGATCCGCGACCCAAACAGGTCGCACGTGACCGTATCCACAAACTCCCGCGCGCTGATCGCCCCCACAAACTCCTCCTGCCACTCGCGAATCGAGTTCAGCCAGCTCACCCGCCTCGCCACGTCAGCGTCGTTGCTCCAGCTGCTCTGCGTCTCAGTCACCCCCCCGCACACCGCAACGCTGCTGATGGTAGAGGCAGCAGGAGGAAGGCCCGGCTCGTCGTCACTACCTGAGCTGTCGCTATCTCCTTCGGAATCATCTGTGGTTGAGTAATCCAAGCCTGGGAGAAGCAACCCAGCTAGATCCTCCGACCCATCAGCTAGCTGCTTTGCCTGCCCCTGCCCCTCCTGCTTCATCTGCTGCCCCTGCTGCGCCTGCCCCTCCTGCTGCTGGCCGTGCAGCAGCAGGTGGGGGTGGCGGCCAGTGTGGTGAGCAGCGATACCCCACTCGGCAAGCTTATCCATGTGGTCGGTGCGGATCTGTACTTCCACGGGAAAGAGAGAGGATGCTCCCAGCGGCAGCACCGTGGTGTGCAGGCTCTGATACCCGTTCGGCTTGGGCGTTGCTATGTAATCTTTTACCTGCCAGGGAGAGAGGAGGAGAGGGGGGAGGGAGGAGGGAGGGAGGGAAAGAAGGAGGGAGGGAAAGAGGGAGGGAGGGAGAAAGGGATACAGAGGGGGAAACGAGCGGGGCAAGGGAGGGAGGGAGGGAGGGAGGGAGGGAGGGGTGTGGTGAGCAGCGATACCCCACTCGGCAAGCTTGTCCATGTGGTCTGTTCGGATCTGCACTTCCACGGGGAAGAGAGAGGATGCTCCCAGCGGCAGCACCGTGGTGTGCAGGCTCTGATACCCGTTCGGCTTGGGCGTTGCTATGTAGTCCTTCACCTGCCAAGAGGCGGGAGGGGGGTGGGGGATGGGATTGGTTCAAAGGGGAAGATGAATGGGCGAGGAGCCAGAATAATCAGCGGCAGCAGCACGGAAGTGTGCAGCCCTGGTACCAGTGCTTGCGAGACGGCGCCAGGGGAAAGAGGCAGGAACGCGAGACGAAAGCGAGAAAGCAGGGGAAAGCTGAACCAGACAGATGGTAGCACTAAAGGGAAAGAGTCTTACAGTGCCTGGGAGAGGGCGCCAGAGGGCGTGCACGAGGCCCAACACATGGTAGGACACCTGCAAGGGGGGGGGGGGGGGGGGGGCAAGGACAGACGGCACGAGGAATGGGGGGTGAGCATGTAATGGAAGGATTGCTGCAAGAGTGAGTACTGGAGCGGATAGTGCCTGTGAGTTCAAAAGGACTGCTGTGCAACGCCATGCGTTACTGAGAATCATTCTGCTAATCTTCACTCCCCTTCTCCACCCTCCTTTCCCCTTCTAATTGTCGTCCCTTCCCCCACAACCTTTTCCAATCTTCTCACCCTTTTTCCCCCCTTCTCTTCTCCAAACTCGTCCCGCATCACACCCGCTTGTCCCCGCTCCCAACCCCTCGTCCCTTCCCCCACAACTCACCTGCTGCGCAATGTTCCGCGAGCTGCTGTCCTGCTGGTCATCCGCATCGTCCATGGAGAGCAGAGCACCACGCGGATCTGCGAGATCTCGTCCCGTCCTCCTCCCCTACTCACTCCTTCTTCCCCTGCTCGCCCCTACTCCCCCCACTGCCCCTCCTCCACCCTCCTCTCTCCCCCGTCTCCTCACCTGCTGCGCAATGTTGCGCGAGCTGCTGTCCGGCTGATCATCAGCATCATCCATGGAGAGAACCACGCGGATCTGAGAGATCTCGTGAATCTCCTCCACCTTGGCACCAGTCTCCACCACCTTCTTGAATATGCTGCACGGGAGGTGGGGGGGGTGGGGGGAGGGAGGGGTGGGAGCAGGAGGGAGCAGGCAACAGGGAGAAGAGAGGGGACGCGTTATGAGTCTTCTCAATACTCAAATTGCGAGATCTCGTGGATCTCCTCCACCTTGGCTCCTGTTTCCACCACCTTTTTTAATATGCTGCACGGGAGAGGGGAAGATCGGGAGGAATGGGAATCAGGCAGGGAGGAGGGGGTGAAGCGGCGAGGTGGGAGCAGGGAGAAGGGAGGGGATGTGGTCTGAGATGACTGAGAGGTTTCTTAGGTCTCCTCCACCTTGGCACTGAGGCGATTCTGTGCTGCGAGGGGGGCCGGAGCGTAGGCACTGAGAAACGGGAGGAGAGGCGAGTGAGGAGAGGAGGTAAGGACAAGGGCAAGACAAGGGCGGGCGAGGCATGGGCATGGCAAGAAGGCATGTAGACGAATCAAATACGAAGGACAGCCACTCCTGTACAGTTAGTCGTCATGCGCCATGTCACATCGTCTTTCCATTACTTGTTGCTGTGTCTCATCTCTCACCTGTACGGTTCCTTGCACCGAGTCTCCACCCTCGCCCCTGAAGTCATGAGATCCAAAAACTTGTCCTTCCGCATCGCTTCCTCTAGCATCACACGTGCCTGAGCGGGAGAGAGAAAGGAACGGCAAGTACTTCGACAAGTTACGAGAAGAAAAAAGACAGGCATGCTCCTACAGGTGACAAGGTTGTCTAATGGTGATACTAACCCCATTTGATACTATCTGTTTCAAGCGCTAATACGGACCTCATCCAGAGCAGTTTGTTGCTGTGTGCAGAGGTGCAGCATGCGCTCAGACACATCCAGATACTCCTCAGGATACGCATACCGGAATGAGAGGTCTTCCAATTCCGTCTGATGGGAGGAGGATGGGAGAGGGAGAGAAGGTGGGGTGAGGCATCTTCAAAAGCCGTGCAGAGGTGCAGCATTCGCTCAGACACATCCAGATACTCCTCAGGGTACGCATACCGGAATGACAAGTCCTCTAACTCCGTCTGACGGGAGGAGGATGGGAGAGGGGGAGAAGAGGTGGGTGGGTTATGAGACGTTTCAAAAGGCGTGCAGAGGTACAGCATGCGCTCACTCACGTTCAAGTACTCCTCAAACAACACCCCCCCCTAAGGCACACCTTGATGTGGTGCATGCTGTAGCAGCAACGTACATGCATGCTGACAGTCCACACACAACACAACACAACACACACAACCCCCCTACCACGCACCTTGATGTGGTACATGCCGAGGAGGCGGGCGAGGGGGGCGAAGACGCTGAGGGTCTCCATAGCGATGTACTTCTGCTTGTGTGGCGGCATGTGGGTGAGCGTGCGCATGTTGACAGCCCACACACAACACACATGAGCCCTCCAGCACGCACCTTGATGTGGTACATGCCGAGCAGGCGGGCGAGGGGGGCGAAGACGCTGAGGGTCTCCATAGCGATGTACTTCTGCTTGTGGGGCGGCATGTGCGTGAGCGTGCGCATGTTGTGTAGCCTGTCCGCCAGCTTCACAATAATCACACGGACCTGTGAGGAGGGAAAGTAGGGGGTAGCGCATTAATCATGCTGCCACCTTCACTCGAATAACCACGGACCTGTGAAAAGGGGAAGGAGTGAGAACAGCAGCCAGCACACCAAAAGCTTGGAAGCAAATCGCAAAAGTAGACATTTGGTGCAACTCGCTTGGCTTCACAATGGCCTTGCTCACTGCCTCAAAAGTAAGCATTCAAGACATTTCAAGAGTCAGCTCAGACAGGGATAAGCTACCTACCTCTTCTATCATGGCGAGGAACATCTGGCGCAAATCGTCTGCCTCACACGCCACCTCAAAAGCAAACTTCTGAGATGCCTGAAAACTCATCTCAGACAGCCAAGCCAACGCACCTCTTCTGTCATGGCAAGGAACATCTGGCGCAAATCGTCTGCCTTCACGTCTGCCTTGCTGCCGTCCTTCACCTTGCCCAGCTTCGACACCTGCCAGGCGCCACAGGGAGGAATGGGGCGGATTGCAGCAAGAAGGCAAGTAAGAGGAATAGGATCGAGGTAGAGTGGCAGCATGGAACAAGTTGATGGGAGTGTCAAAAAAAAAAAAAAAAAAACGAGTATCCAGAAGTTCCTTATTCAACCAGCAGCACCACCAAATGCAACATCTCAAGCCATTAGAACAAGTCATCAACATCCACCGCCCCATCCATCCATCTATACATACATCTATCCATCCATCCATCCCATAAAACTTCCACCCGTTGGAAATGTTCGTTTTCTCCAGCTCCTCGCCCTCCTTCGTACTTTTTGCCACGCACCTTGGTCTCCCCCTCCACAATGAGTCTGACGGCGGGCCCATACGAGGCCTCGATCAGCTCGAAGGACACCACGTCCGTGTCCTGCTGTGTTTTGAGTCGACTCAAGACACATATTTTGAGACGCACCTTGGTTTCGCCCTCCACAATGCGTCTGACGGCCGGCCCGTACGAGGCCTCGATCAGCTCGAAGGACACCACGTCCGTGTCCTCCACCGTGTCGTGCAGCAGCCCCGCCACCACCGTCTCCCAGTCCATCTCCTAATAGCAAGCAAGGGGCGGGTGTGGGGGGAGGGGAGATGCGACGTTAGCCCATGCATGGCCTCGATCAGAGGAAGGGAGGATTGGCAGGTGTGAAAGAGGCGTCACAATCACCCCCTGCATGGCCCGTCCTCCACAAGCAGCCCCGCCACCAACGTCTCCCAATCCATCTCCTGGCGAGGTGGGAAGAGAAAGGTGAGGGTGGCAATTTCTCTTGTTGCAGTGTCTGTTCTGTGCATGCATGTATGCGTGTGCGTGCGCTATGTATGTGTGCGCATCCATGTGTGTGCAAGATGGGTGACGCACCGACTCGCCAGCTAGCCCAGTATCCGGGCGACCTACGGGGTGTATGATGTACGGCTTTTTATACGCATGCCCTCATGCTTGCATGTATGAATACCCACCAACCCACAAACCCACCAACTCACCAGCTGGCCCAGTATCCGGGCGACCTCCACGGGGTGTATGATGTACGGCTCTCCGCTCTTCCTCTTCTGCCCGTCATGCGCCCTGTACGCCAGCTGACCACACAGCATGGATGACATTATGGTTGCGCACATAGGTTGGGGGGGGAAGAGGGGAGCGCAGGGGTGTGACGGCGGAGAGGGAGGGATTAAGATACAAGACGTGCAGCAGCAGCAGCAGTAGCAGCAGCAACGTGGAAGCAGATGCAGCTGCAGCAGCAGCGGGACGAGAGGTTCAGAGCGTGACAGAGAGGGGCAAGGGGGCGCGAAGAGCGTGCAAAGAGGGCGACTCCATGCAAGAAACAAACAGCGGGGCATTTGTTCCCTGGAGTTGACAGCAGTAAGGTGAGAGTTGACTCACTCTCAAGGCGTGGCGGACGACTTGCAGTTGCGTGGGGGAGAGGTACGTGATGCACGGCAGCAGCTCCTGCAACAGGCAGCAGCATCCCCGTCCCCACCCCCACCCCACATTCCACGCGCATGCGTCAGTGGGTTCAAAAGCCAATGAGTCATCTCAACGAATTGCTCTGTTCAGATCAGAGCAAAGGCACAGGCATAGTATAGACTTGCAACAACGGTGCTGGCGCAGCAACGCTCAGCACCCGCTGCTCCAGTCGACTCCCTTCCCTCCACTTAACACTCACTCACCTCCCATAGAGTATCAGGAGTAACCGCCGGAGGTGCCTCAACAGACGCAGCAATGGTAAACGACGAATCGCCACCTGCGCCGCCTGGGTACCCTGCAGTGCCGAACGAGGCTACAGCGCCGTTTCCGTTACTGTTACCAGTCTCATTCGAGTTCCCTATCCCACTGCCTGAATTTCCAGTGACGCCACTGCTGCTAGCATTTGCCCTGCTACTGCTGACTCGACCATTCCCTTCCGTCTCCCCATCATTACTACTATTTGAATCCGCAATGACTGAATCTCCGCAGCTGCTGCTGCTGCTACTGCTGGCGCTGGTGCTACTACCGCCTGCTACACCGCTTTCCCCCGACCCTCCCGGTTCCGACTCTAAGAATCTCTCCCCTGCGGACCCTTGGGATCCTCGCGCGAGAACGCGTCTGCGGGAGTAACGCCTACGACATCCCTGGAAGGGCAACAAAGAGAGGAAAATATGCAAAATTACTTGAAGACAAAGATAAGGCCGTTGTTAAAGCAGTGGTTTGCGGGTATGATGTTTCGGGGAAGGATTGATGGGTGCGTACTGGTGAAGGGAGGGTGACACGTGGAGCTACGCCGACGCACGATACGCAGCCCTGTGCAGCGCAAATCAGGCACGCGCGGCCGTTCAGCCATCCGGATCTTTGCCTCGCGAAATCTTGACCGTTTGATGTGGAAGAACAATCAGCTGCTGCTGTTGTTGCTGCTGCTGCAGCGGACCGACATTGCGAATTACGTTGCCGCGTTCGCCCCGAACCTGAGTTCTTGGTCTGTTGCGTGGTTCGGCGAGCTGGAAGGAGGCTAGGACGCAATCCAGTAAGCTCTGGAGTGGGAGATGAATGGGCACCAGCAGTGCATTGGATAAAAAAACAGTGTTCAAGCAGCTGAGGGAACAAGCCGATACAAGTGGATATAGGAAAACAAAGATACACAAGAAACACGCTAACCAGGATAACGGTCCTGTCAGAGAGAATCACACCTGACGTACAGCATAACCTAAAACTGTGAATGTGAGAAAAACATGGTCCGGCAGTGAAGAACGGACGTCCATACGGATAAAGACCGAGATCTTGTTGATACAAGAATCTGACGAATCATTGATCGGAAATGCACGGGAAGCGAATGCTTAGGGTAGTGGATTGCCGGAAGGGTATGGCATATTCGTCAACTGCATCGACCGTATGCAGTGAATCTGATGCGGCAGCGCGTACGATAGGAGAGTAGGAGCAGTGATGAGAACAACAGTGCGTTGGCGATTACCTGAAAGGGAACTTGTGATGGCAATCGAACGGTCTGAGATTCCGACGCGGGTCGCCATGGCACGTATCAGGAACGCATCAACCAGTGATGGCACGTGAGGCAGGGAAACCCTAACGATGAAACCACGGCACGAAGAGAATGCCTGACGCAGTGCAGAGGAACCGGACGCCTGAGTAACCTAGTATCAGCGACGCTGCGCTGGGCTAGGGTGATGGGAGCAAGACGCTGCTGCCAAATCTGGACACATGAAACGACAACTCTCTCACTGACAGATGGTCACAGTTTTCTAGGGCAAGAATGACAGAAACAAGGGGAAAAACGAATGTTACGGTACGGTAATACGGATGGACAAATGGATGGGTGGATTGGAACAAGGGCGTGAGAAAGAGATGGAAGGAGAATGTGAGCTGCTTATCGGAGCAGTCTGCTTGCCAGAAGAGAATTGACGGACCGGTAGTTTGGTCAAGTTGCAAGATACAAAAGGACGACACGACACAGAACAGCCGGTCAGGGGCAGAAACCAGGGTTGTGGTGATGAACCGAGCAGTGTGTTACGGGCGAGGTGCCCTCGGTAGAAGACGCTTCACAAACTGTCACCTTTTCTGGCAACTGTTTCCCCCAGCGCTTCTCCCGTCAGCGCATCAGAGAATGGCACCAGCCACACATCTGACGGGTTGACGAGATCATGGTGCCAACTTTACGGAAAATTGTCATAATTTGCCACGTCTGCTCATTCTGAAGGATCGTGCGGAGGGGTTTCCGACCAATAGCAGCAACTCATTTTGACGGAGCAACAAGCAACGAAAACAACCCCACGAGTGGTAACGTTCGCGTAAAATTTCGGCTCCATACACGCACTAAGAACAGTGAAAGGATCTGTTACTTTTATGATAAACCAGACTTCTAACCTATGTGTGCTCACATATCCACCCTTCTCGTGCAAAAAGGTTCCCATAATAACAGTTCTCTTTTGGCAGTGGTGATTAAAGAGGATCTCCTGACTCGTTTTTAGAAAATTTCTACCCTGGACGTCCATGACTTGGTCCAAACACATGCATGGTCTCTGCTCTTCTAACATTCGTACGACCAGGCCGCTTCAACCCAGCATAATGGAGCATTTATGTTAGCATGGGTCTCACGCTACAGGTAATATATGGAAATTTATGAGAAAAAAATTGTGCGTATTTCATTTCTCATTGCTTAAGAGCCCCTGCATTCTCCTCATGGCAAAAAAATGTTCCTAGTTGTTCTCGTTCCTACTATGTTTGGTATACACCTTGCTCTGATAACACAATTTTCCTCATGATGGAACTCCGCATACAGCGTAGAGCTGTCAAGCATTCCAACCATCTTTCTTCGACTGTCAGGAGGAATACCTCGAGCAGAAAGTTCACGTTCCTCTGTCACCGGTACTGTTGGCGTGTTAGCAGTATCCTTCGCTCGAATTTAGTTCGAGCGCTTGCTAGCAGTTAGCACATACGCCAGCAGCCATGGAGCCAGCGAGTGTTCAATCCGGTCAGCCAATGCAGTTCCAGCTGCACGGGCACGAGCACGCGGGTTATTTCATCGCCTCCGCTGCAGCCATAGTTCCGCCTTTTGCTAGCACTCCGCTCCCTCCTGCTGTCACTATCGCGGACACGGATAACGAAGCACTTGGTGCTGACGGTTCATCCGAACGTGCTACGACCTGTAGCTCTTTCCTCGGGATTGCCGAGTCGGACCAAATATCTGCGCGCGCTGACGCGACATCCGAAAGTGACCATGTTCGTAGCGCGAGTTGTAACACCCTCCAACCAGCGGCCTCTCGTATTGGTCAAGCCACTGACAAGGCGGGCCTCACCTCTCTGGGGTCTGGACATGTGGACTGGACACGTGTCACAGCGTCATTGGTCGGCAGCGAGGTGGAAGTCAAGGGAAGGGGTAACGAAACGAGATTAAACCTGGTTCGGGGAGGTCAGGAGGGGAAGGAGCAAGAAGTTGGGTTTGAGGCAATGTGCCGTGGCCGGTATATGGATAGTTTAAGTGAGGAGCTCAATATTAGCATATTAGATTTTAGACCACTGGATGTGGCGCTTTCCCTTATGCATAACGCTGCGGTAAATTCTACAGTGAACGATGAAAATTCGTTACAGGACGCAAGTAGCGGAGCTGAGAAAGCCGCGGACCATGCTGACGTGGACATGACCCGTGTAGACGTGGAAGCGGTCAGCGATGACGATTTGGATGCTGATTCTACCACCCCTGGTACCGGTACTGCTTCTGCTGGTGGTGCTGGAGCTGCCGCTGGTGCTGATGGTTCGTGCCTTCAATCAGAGCATGGGAGCAGCAGCAAGTGTGTCACAAGAGGCCAGAACCTTCCGAGAAAAACTCCTGGCAAGGGAGGGGGAGCGAGAGGGATGCGGAGGGAAGCAGTGGAAAGAGGAGGTGGGGGATGGAGAGGGGGACGAGGAGGGGGAGGTGGTGGAGGGTCAGAGAGTGTCTGGGCGTGTGTTAACGAGTTTGTTGCCCGGAACCCTGTTCAGGTGAAAGCCCAGGTGATCTGTTGCCATGCCATGCCTTCTAGTTCCTTCCACCACTTCCCACCCGACAAAACACCTGAACGGGAGCAAAAGTCAACCCAGCAAAGTTCAAGTTCAGCAGGGACTAAAGAAGGGAAAACGGTGGACGCAGGAGGAGGAGGAGGAGGAGGACGGGAGAATGGAAGAGAGGAAGCGGAAAGAGGGCAGGGAGGCAAGGGGGGTGCAGGGGAGGCAGTGCCAAGCATGGTGGTGGTGCTGATGCAAGTGCTAGTGGATGTGTACGTTCACAAGGACCTCTGGTACCTGCCTGCTAGATGGAAGGGGGGGGCTGCCACTGCCTCGGTGCTCTCCCATCTCCGCTCTGATTGGCCCATGCATCCGTGTCACCAGACGTGTAACACGCGGCGTGTTACGTGTGCGTCTAGGTGTCAGATGTGCGATTGTGGTGTAGGTATGGGTGCGGAGGGTGTGGGTGTGGTGGGCACGGGTATGGGTGTGCTGGGGACGTCTCCTCCTCCCAGTCTTCCTGCCTGTGATGTGCACGGTTGCACCCTCCATGGCTTTCTCAACTGCTCCTCCTCGTTTCCGCACTCACCAGCGGAAGCCTCCTCTTCTGTCACACAGCCTGCAGTCACACCAGCCAATGCCACACCGCATACAGTCACACTTTCTCCCTTTAGCGACTCCTCAGAATTCAGCCTGTCCAAGATCTTCTGCTCGCTGCCCAATCGATTCGACGCCCCAACAATGTACCCGTAAGTTAACTGCATTCTGCTTACCTCCTCCCGCCACCCTCTCCCTCCCCTCCCTGTATGATTCCAGAATTGATTTATATTGTAACGTTTTTGGTTCATTCATCGTTATGTGCTGTAATTCGCCTACCAATATGGCTATTTGTCTCCTAATTACGTTTGCCCATCCCGTTCTCTTCTTCACCATCCCCTCTCTCCACCTCATTTTCCTTCCATCCATCCATACACCCCCGTACCCCTCCATGCCGCTCCTCCTTTCAGAGACCCTCCTCCAGCACCCCCCTCCTCCTCCGCACCTCCCTCCCCCCTCCTCTCTCTTCCCCCCGATCTCCTCCTCCTCTCCCTCTCCCGCCTCTTTCCCACCGACCTCCGCTCTGCTGCTGCCACGTGTACACGCCTGCGCCAGCTGGCACTGCCAGCTGTACCCAACCTGCCACACCTCTCCCTCTTTCCACATCAACGGTCGGCGCTACAGTGGATGATGGGCAGAGAGAGGGGGGGAGTGAGGAGGGAGAGTAGGGGAGAGAGGGGGAGAGGGGTCCCGCAGGGGTTTGTTCGGAGCCCGTTAGTGAGTGTGTTGATGATGAGAGAGGAGGGGAGTGAGTGTGGTGGTGGTGGAGTGGGGAGTGTGAAGGGGAGTGGGAATAGGAATGGAGGGAATGAGGGGAGGGTGATGCTGTGTGATGTGATTACAGGGGGGGTGAGATTCCTTTGGAGCAACGAGAAGAGAAGCGGAAGGGGGAAGAGAAAAACCAGAGAGTGGGAAGCAGATGAAAGCAAAGGTGAGCAGCAGGATATCGCAAGTCTGCAAGAGGGCGAGAAAGGGGAAAAGGAAGTTTCGGGATGTTCAGGCTCGGCGAACGTGGAGCCCGGCAAATTAGGCATGGTACCGGAGCTAGCGGACAGGCTCGGCCTGGTGCCAGACGTGCAGGGAGGTCTATTTTGTGACGAGCCTGGGCTGGGTAAGACTGTGACTGCCTTGGCGCTGATCCTCAAAACCAAGGGGTTGCTTCCGGCTGTGCCTAGGGGCTGCCGACTGGTGGTGTGTGGGAGGAGGGGAGAGAATGGGGTGGATGGGTGGAGAGCTGAAGGAGGAGGAGGAGGGGGAGGAGGAGGAGGAGAAGGAGGAGGAGGAGGGGTATGGAAAGGAGGGTGGCTGGGTTATTACGAGAGGGTTTTACCTGGAGAGGCAACGAAGGGGAAGGAGTGGGATTGCAGAGGAGAGAGGTTGAAACAGGCTTGGCATGGCAATGTGACGGGGGGAAGTCAGGATGCTGTGGGTGAGATAAGGGGGAAGAAAGAGGTGGTGGAGTGCGGTTTAGAGGAGAATGAGGCACATAAGAATGTGTTGAATGCGGTGGAGGGGAGTGGTAGCAGGTGTGATGCGGTGCAGGGGAGTCGGAGTGGGATGACATCGGAGCTGTTAACTGGGGGCAGTGTGGTGAAAGATAGGGGTTGTGGTGGAGCAGAGTTGAGAGGTGCGGCAGATTTGAAAGGTGGGGCGGAGTTGAAAGGTGGGGCGGAGTTGAAAGGTAGGGCGGAGTTGAAAGGTGGGTCAGAGGTTGGGGAAGTTACTGATGGGAGCAGGGCGAAGGCCGAACAACATGAGAAGGGTGAGGGAGGGGAGATTAGTGAGGGAGGAGCGAAGAGCGAGGGGGAGAAAAAGGGCAAGAGAGAGAGAAATATTAGGAGAGAGGCGAAGAGTGAAGGGGAGCCAGAGAGTAAAGAAGAGGAAAAGAGTGAGGGAGAGGAAAAGAATGAGGGAGAGGAGAAGACCAAGGGAGAGGAGAAGAGTGAGGGAGAGGAGAAGAACAGGGGAGTGAAGGGCGGAAGGAAGGGGTCGAGGAGTCCCAGAACGTGTGCTGGCAGGAGGGGCAGTGCAGCAAACGAAGCTTCCAAGGGGGCAGCACGGGAGACAGCAGGGTGGAGGCATCAAAGAGTGCAATGATCCGATGGGGAAAGGATCCAATTGCAATGGTGCTCGCCTTGCAGGCGCCGAATTTGACGAGTCCGATGGAAGTGGGAGCTGCGCTGGCAGAGAGAGCGGTCCAGAGCGGTATGCAGGGAAACCAGGGATCAGGGATTTGTGCTGCTGGCACGCCTGGGGTTGCTGATGGGACTCTTGTGACAGGCACTCAGGCGAGGGAGAACAGTAGGGAGGCAGGAAAAGACGATGGGAGCGAGGCAGGGAGCGAGGCAGTAGATGTATCTTGGAGTGATGATGCGGGCAAGGGTGCTGGAGCTGGACACAAAGGGGTTGGGAGGAGAAGGAAGAGAAGGCACCATGGTGGAGGTGGCAGAAGGAATGGTTGTGTTGATGCTGGTGAGTGCTTTGACGAGGAGAACGGTCAGGAGAAGAACGGTCAGGAGGAGGGTAAGGAGGAAGGCAAAGAAAAATTGAAAGAAGTAGGTTACAGTGAAGACAGGTTGAGGTACCAGGACAAGGGGAGGCGATGGGAAGAGGAGGGGGAAGAGTCGGAGGAGGAGGAGGAGAGAGGGAGTGGTGAGAGGGAGGATGATGACTGGGTGCCTTCTAGTGTGGGCAGTGACAGGAGAGTGGGTTCTTCTGCTCGTGCCAAAGACTCAACACCCGCCTCTCGTCTTTCCACGGGTGCTACTCGTCTCTCCAAGGGTGATACTTGTCTTTCTACGCAGATCACTCCCTCGTCTGCTCATTCCTCTTCTTCCAAGGGATGTGTCCGTATACTTTACCCTCCCCCAATAACCTCACAGCAGCTGCAGCAGCAGCAGGGGCGGCAGAAGCAGGGTGGCCGCTTGTGTGCTTCTGAAGGCGCTGCTGATGCTGCTGATGGTGCTGATGGTGCTGGCATGTGTACCACTAGACGCTGCCTGCTCACCTGCTTTGGAGCGTGCAAGTACAAGAGCCTAGGGGAACTAGTGAGTGGCAAGGAGGCCGTGAGTGGCAATCACAGGAGCAGGGCAAGGGGGGCAACTGCAGGGAAGGAAACCACAAGGGACGATCTCAGAAGGAGCCACAGGGTAGTTGCGAAGGGCATGGATTCGGAACGCAGTGAGGAAATGGGGAGTGCAGCAGTGGGTGCACCAGGAACGGTGCATGCATGGAATTTCGGGCATGTTTCAAGTGATGCAGATAGAGTGGCTGAAACGGTTCTAGGAGGCGGGACTCCCAAACGCAGGCGCACAGCAATGCGTGCGCGTGGAGAGACGGCTGTTGAGGCCTCTCAAACAAGCAAGGTTCTAGAAGCGGTGCTAGAGGGTGGGACGCCCAAACGCGGGGCAGCAGCGGTGCGTGTGTGTGGACAAGACGTTAGGGTAGATGCAGAGATGGTGAAGGAAGAGGATAAGGGGGATTGTAAGGTTGGGATTGATGGGGAGAAAGGGCAAGAGAATAAGGGGGATTGTAGGGAAGTGGACAAGGGGGAGAAGGTGGAGAAGGAGCAAGGGGAGAACGGGAGGAAAGAATTAGAAAAAGGAGTGAGGGAGATTGTGCGGGAGAAAGAGAAGAATGTGAGAGTGGTAACAAGGAGCCGCGGGTTAGGGGTACGGGGCAAGAGGGGGAAGGAGGAGGAGGGGGAGGTGATGGTGGAGGAGGAGGGAGGGCAAAGGGCAGAGACGGATGGGCAAGTCACAGGCAGGGAGCATGTGACTGCAAAGCATGGGCCAGAAGCAGGCAGGCAACACGTGACTGTAAAGGATGAACAAGAGGAGGCAGACACGCAGGACGTGACTGCAGCAAAGCTGGCTCAGTCAGGCTGCAAGGGGCAGCATGAGACAGACGGCGATTGTGTGGAGAAAGGTGTTGAGTCGACTCAGAAGACAGGCTATGAGGGGCGGTGTGAGACAGACGGTGAGTTGGTAGAAAAATGGCTCTCCTGTGATGAGTGTGGCAAGTGGAGGAAGGTTCCCGGAAGCTACACCTATCCGGACGACCAGCTCTGGTTCTGTGGGTTGAACCCTGACCCTGCCCGACGGGTTTGCTCCGACCCAGAGGAATCCGTCAGTGCTGACTCAGACATTTCTTCGCTGCCCGGATTTTGCCCGGCTGAGGAGGCTTTTGATGACGGGCTGTCCGCAAATGTTTCGCTATTCGTGGAGAAGATCAGAGGTGGTTTTAGGCGGGCTGAGTCGGAGTTGGAGTGGAGTGACGTGGAGCAAGGGGTGAGGTGGCTTGCTCGGATTGGTCCTGGGGAAGCAGCGAGGTTGGTTGATGATACTGGTGGGGCTGGGGAGGAGAGAGGAGGAGAGAGAAGAAGGGTTAAAGAAGCAAACAAAGGAGGAGGGGGAGGAGTAAAGAGGGTCAGCAAGGGCATGGGCAGCAGTAGCAGCAGCCGTAGGGGCAGTGTAGCAGAGGAAAGGAGGGGTACTACGGGAAGAAAGGGGCTGGTTCCCCCGGGGTGTGTGGGGCGCAGTGAGTGCTGCTCGCACGTGCTCGCCTCCCTCGGGCTTGTCTGGCTGCCTGCCTCCCCTCACACCCCGGGACACACAGTAAGGGGAAGACGAGCAGGAAGGGGGGGATTGGGGAGAGGTGGGTCTAGGGGAGGTGGTTCTGGGGGAGGTGGGTTAGGGGGAGGTGGGTCAGGGGGAGATGGGTCTGGGGAAGGTGGGTCTGGGGGAGGTGGGTCTGGGGAAGGTGGGTCTGGGGGAGGAGGGAGGAGAGGCAATCACGGCAGCAGCAGAAGAGGAAGAGGAGGAAATGGGCCACGAGTAAGGAGAGGAGGAATGTGCTCTCTGGCTTTAATGTGCTGTCTGGCCTGCAAGTCTTGACTGGTAGTCTCGGCGGGGTGGGCGTGGGCGGTGTGAGAGACAGCACTGTGGGGAACTCGTCTCATGTCTCTCATGTCTCGGGTGCTGCTGTGCCAGTGGCAAGTGCTGCTGCCGGGGATCCAATCCTTACTGTCCATGGCTCTGCTGCTGCTCCTGCTCCTGCTGCTGCCGCTGCCGCTCCTGCTGCTGCCGCTGCCGCTCCTGCTGCTGCCGCTGCCGCTCCTGCTGCTGCTGCTGCTCCTGCTCCTGCTGCTGGTGGTGGTGGTGGTGGTGGTGGGGGTGGAGACGGAGGAGGAGGAGGAGCAGGAAGAACGGCAGGAGCAACAGGAGCGGCAGGTACAGGAGGGAGAGGCAGGCGAGGCAGGCAATGGGGCAATCCCTACCAGAGTGTGCGTGGTGGTGGTGGTGGAGGGTCGTGGGTGCTGCCCCCCTCCCTCTCGCCCCACCTCACCTTTGACTTCGCTTCCTTCCGCCACGCTCTCGCGATTGTTGACGGGCAGAGAGGGGCGGGAGGGCAGAGAGGGCTGGGAGGGCAGGCGGGGGAGAAAGGGCAGAGAAAGCAGAAAGGGCAGGGAGGTGGGGTAAGGCGAATTGGGGATGTGGTTACCAACAGGACTGTTACAAATAGCACCGTTACCTGTGGTAGTAGCGAAACTGCTGCTGCTGCTGCTGCTAGTAGTGCTGACGTGGCACATAGGGATTATCATTTCGTCTCGTCTGCCACTCTGATTGTGGTCCCCACCACGCTCGTCAGCCATTGGCTGACGCAGATTTCCCGCCACGTAGCGCCAGGGGCTCTGCGCGTGTTTGTGTATGACGGGGTCAATCAGAAGGCGCCAGCTGTCCACAGCTTGGCGTGGGATTATGATGTGGTTGTAACCACGTTTAGCAGGCTGAGTGTGGAGTGGGGGGGAGGGGAGGATGGAGAGATGGGATGGAGGGGGGAGGAGGGGGATTGGGCGAGTGAGGGAGAGGGGTTTGGGCGTGAGGGTATGTGGTGTAATACAGAGGACGAGGAGGAGGAGGGAGAGGAGGAAGAGGGTGAGGACCAAGGGAAGGAAGAGGAAGGAGAGGAGGGTGCAGGGACAAGGGAACGTGTGGAACAAGATAAGAAAGCAACGGAAGGAGAAATGATGCAGAGAGCTGGAGGAGCTAGATTGGGAGATCGGAGCAGGAGGGGGGTCAAAAGAAGGTGGGAGGGACAAGCAGATGAGACAAACATCACCCACCAGTTGGGTTCTCTAAGGGAACGCACTCCCAGATGCAGACAAGCAGAGCCACCCGGATGGCCGTCTCATGGATGGCAGGACGGCGGTCGGCGGCCTCAGCGGGCGGCGAGGAAGCGGGTCCGGCTGGGAGTGTAGGAGAGCCGTCGGATCGCGTCCCCGCTGCTGCGCATCCATTGGCTGAGAGTGATTCTGGACGAGGGGCACACGCTGGGTGCCAGCCTGGCAGCCACCAACAAGCTGCGCATGGCTGTGGCTCTGAGGGCGGCACGGAGGTGGATTCTCACTGGCACACCCACCCCCAGCACCCCGACCAGCCAGGTTAGTCTATTTGATGTGTGATGTGATGTGTGTGCATGCATGTACATATCCATGTGCCGCCACTGCATGTGTGACTATAACGAGAGCAGATGCAGGAGCTGCTGCGCTTCCAGCACGACCCTGCGTGCCGTGTGCTTCTAATGGACGGCACTGGGTCACTCGGGCTCGGGTCCTGACTGACAGCGGGGTGCAGGCGAAGCAGAGGCAGGCACAGGAGGCAGCACCATCCTGCTCGCCCTTGCACTCCTCTCCTCCTCCGCTTCTCCCCTTGCTTCCCCTTCTTCCTTCGCTTCCCCGTGCTTCCCCTCTTCGGTGCAGCGCCTGCCTGACAGCGGAGCACAAGCGAAGCAGAGGCAGGCGAGGGAGGCCGAGGCACGCAACGCCATCCTGCTGCCGCTCAAGCTCGTCCGCACCGCCAACTCCTCTCCTACCCGTCTAATCCTCTTCTCTGTCTCTTATCCCCTTTCCACTGTCCTGGCTCATCTCCTAACCCGCAGCGCCTGCCTGACAGCGGGGCGCAGGCGAAGCAGAGGCAGGCAAGGGAAGCAGTGGCGCGCAACGCGATTCTGCTCGCACTGAAGCTCGTCCGCACCGCTGACTCTTCTCTGCCACTCTCGCCCTCCAACCCCACCTCCCCTGCTAAACCACTCTCCTCCCCCCACCCTGTCTCGCCCGCCAAGCTCCTCTCCTCGTCTCTCTCTCTCCAACTCTCACCTTTCAACACCACCTCCTCTCCCAACCTCCTCTCCTCCTTCCAAGCCTTCTCCCCTGCCAAACCCCTCTCCTCCGCCCACCCCCTCGGTTCCCCTACCCCCCTGTCATCCTGCCAGTTCCTCACTCGCTCCAACCTCTCACTCTCCCCCTCCCTCTCCCTGTTGGCAACTTCCTTGCAGCCTCCTGCCTCTTCTAGCCCTCTCAATGCATCCCTCTCCCCAGCTGGCCAATCAGCAGTGAATGGGTACTGCTTGCCTGCCCAAAGCCCATCGGATGCTGGTCAGCACAAGTCAATGTTTGGGCCAGGCACATGTGAGGGAGGTACAGCTGCTGAAGGCGCATTTGAAACAGGTGGGGGAGGCAGAGCTGGTGCCACCAGTGAGGCTGCAGGCACCAGCATGGTTCCCCTGCTTGGCGCTGCCACAGCAGGCAGCACAGCCAGGGCAGCAGAGGCAGGGGCAGGGGGTGTGGTAGGGGCGGTTGCTGCGCTCACTTCACATTCTTCTGCTGGTTGTGGCAGAGGGGAAGGGGAGAGTGGTGCGTCTGCAGGGCAGGCAGGATGGGGATCCAGTGCACGGGAGAATGGAGGCTCACGGGAGGAAGGCCATGCAGAGGAAGGGGGGCATCCAGAGAAGGAGCGGCATTCAGAGGGTGGAAAGGAAAGGGATGGTTGTCAAACAAAAGAAAGGGGAGGCATTGCTGCCAAGGAGCTCAGGGAGGGTAGCATTGAGGCACCAGCAGTGGAAGGAGCAGAAGGCAAGGGGAATCGGAGACGGCAGGTGGTGTGGTTTGCAGATGAAGGCATGCAACCGGAGCTTCTGGCTAGGGTGCTCAGACCAGCAGCTGAATGAGTCTCTACACCAGCGCCAGCACACTAACTTCTGAAATCATTTGAATATAACGGTGCTTGTTAGCTTTAATACACTCTATCGGTACAGATATATTATAACGATATGCTGTGTTGTATGGAAGTGTATATATGTAGCTTCTGCATGCTCAGCTTGAAATGCTTGAATGTGAGACTGTTTGGAAGCCTAGCTGTAGCTGAATGGCTCACAAGTCACCAGGTCTTTTCCATGTCAGTGTACTGTGGGCTTCACGTGCCTACCTAGTTGGCAATGCCATGGCAAATGGGCGACCCAACGAATGCTGCTAGGATCGTGTGAGGTGGTAGTGTGTGTCAATACATGCAGGCACCATTTGTTGGATTGAGCTATAGCAGCAGCAATTAAGGCAATACGCAAGAAAATCGGCACCATATAACCATCACAGTACAGCACCAATCGCTGAGCCATGAGCCTACAGTGCCACCAACTCCTGCTCTGCAGTCCATGTCTGGCCTGCTTGCAGCTCCACCTCCGATAGCTGAAGAGAAGGGGGGAAATAAAATATGAGAGGAGTCACAGGACAGGAGAGGGAAGAGAGGTTAAGAGAGGTGAAGAGAGGTGAAGAGAGGTCTGCCTGCAAATGCACTTCCTGGAGGGGTGACGAGGAGCGAGGGGAGAGGGAATGAGACGAGCAGAGCAAGGGGAAGAGCAGGCATCACATTCAGGAAACGGATTGGAGTGGACAGGGCAAAGAAGGGACGGGGAGGGGAGCGAGTTAGCAGGTCAACAAAGAAGCGACAAGCAGACACACCACACAGACTTGCACCTTGCTTCCCAAGATTTCACCTTGGCATTCTCAACACAGACGAAGTCGAGGTAGCAGGCAGGCATGGTGAGGTGAGGGCTCCACACGACAGCGTCAGTCCACCCCTTGTTGCGGATGGCTAGCTTCCTGCCCAGCCCGTTGTCCAGCACGAGCTCCTCTGGCGTGTTGAGATACATGCAGTCCACGAAGCCGGGGAAAGTGACTTCGTCCCTGGGGAAAAGAGAAGGGAGCAAGGTGGAAGGGAGATTCAAGGTTGGCCCTCGTTACCCAGCCCGTTGTCCAACACGAGCTCCTCGGGCGTGTTGAGATACATGCAATCCACAAAGCCGGGGAAGGTCACCTCGTCCCTGGGGAAGACACGGGGAGAGGAATGAGTTGAGAATCATAGCCAAGGACAAGCCTTCCCTGGCAACCCATTTTCCAGGACGAGTTGCTCTCCAGGACGAGTTGCTCTCCAGGACGAGTTGCTCTCCAGGACGAGTTGCTCTCCAGGACGAGTTGCTCTCCAGGACGATCTCCTCTGGCGTGTTGAGATACATGCAGTCCACGAAGCTGGGGAAGGTCACCTCGTCCATGGGGGAGAGAGACCGTGGAGGTAGCATGACGAAGTTAGGAAGGGAGAATGAGGAAGGGAGGGAGAATGAGGAAGGGAGGGAGAATGAGGAAGGGAGGGAGAATGAGGAAGGGAGGGAGAATGAGGAAGGGAGGGAGAATGAGGAAGGGAGGGAGAATGAGGAAGGGAGGGAGAATGAGGAAGGGAGGGAGAATGAGGAAGGGAGGGAGAATGAGGAAGGGAGGGAGAATGAGGAAGGGAGGGAGAATGAGGAAGGGAGGGAGAATGAGGAAGGGAGGGAGAATGAGGAAGGGAGGGAGAATGAGGAAGGGAGGGAGAATGAGGAAGGGAGGGAGAATGAGGAAGGGAGGGAGAATGAGGAAGGGAGGGAGAATGAGGAAGGGAGAGAGAATGAGGAAGGCAGAATGAGGAAGGGAGGGTCGTGCCTTTGCACTGGTTGGGTCAGACTCCTTGTTCATGGGCTAGCACTTCGAATTAGATTCCTTCCCTCCCTTCCCTTCCGCCAGTCAACTGTGTGCTTTTCCTCCCTTCCCTTCCGCCACTCCCTTCCCTTCCGCTAGTCAACTGTGTGCTTTTCCTCCCTCACCTCTTAGGGGGCAGGGTGCTTCTTAGGGGAGGGCATTTCCAATCGTGACTTTATTTCGTTCCCCACTTCCGTGCTCCCCCCATCTCACCTCTCCTCCACCCCCTCGACGAGGTTTGTAGGATCAGGGTCCTCGCTGATGGGCAAGGATACTAGATACCTGCTTTCATCCCCCACTCCCTTCCACAACCTTTTTGCCCCATTTCTCTCTCACCTCTCCTCCACGCCCGCGATGGGGTTGGTGTCGTCGGGGTCCTGGTTGAGGGACTAGCAAATAAATCCCTTTACCACTTTCATCCCCTCCTTCCGCATGCCTGCCCCGTTTCTCTCACCTCTCCTCCACGCCCGCGATGGGGTTGGTGGGGTCGGGGTCCTTGTTGAGTGACTTGGCGCCCTTGAGTCCCGCCACCTTCACTCCGCCAATGGCAGCCTGCCACGTGGGAAGGAGGAGGGGGCATGCGTGGTAACACAGGATGGGAAGAGAAGTCAACATGTGGTTGACTGGAAACCCTTGAATTGGGCAGGCATGCACCGCGCATCTGGAAAGAGGAGTGCAGAGCGGTGGTGAAGGAGAAGGGGATACCATGTCACTGTGGTGCTAGCATGTCAGTGGCAGTGGAACCCAGTGGAACCCAATGCAGTGGCCGTGCAGTGCCATGAAAAGACAAGCAGATATGGTGTGGCAGGGTAGCGCACCCGGAAGTAGGAGTGCAGAGCGGTGGTGAAGGAGAAGGGCTTGCTGTCCGTGTTGGCCACTGTGAAAGCCGTTTCCAGCTTGCCCGCCGACAGGGAGATCTGCAAAGGGGTTTCAGAGAGTGAGGGGGGTTTCAGGGGGTGAGGGGTGTGAGTGAAGGAGGGGACAAATTGCTGTCCGTGTTGGCCACTGTGAAGACCGTATCCAGCTTCCCCTCCGATAGGGAGATCTGTGTGAGGGAGGAGGACAAAGGGGGGGGTAGTGACGGATAAGGAGGAGGAGGAGGAGGAGGAGGAGAAGGAGAAGAAGAACGAGGAGGAGGGAACATATAAAAGCGTGTTTGAGCTGACTGTCAGGCTGAGTCAGCGTCAGACAGGGCGATCAGTGTGGGTAGGGAGGGACGGAAGACGTGAGGCTTTTCACAGGCGCCTGGAAAGAAGGGATGTGCGATGCTTGATTTGGCTCAGCCTGTCCGGTATTCAACATGTAGTGCCTCGTCTGCATGCGAGAGTTGGAGAGAAGCAGTGGTACCTTGAAGGTGGCCTTGAATGCGAAGTCCCACATGACTCGTTGTCGGAGAGGGCGAGGGTGAGCGAGGGGGACAGTGAGACAGGGGGAAGACCAGCGGGAGGGAGCGGGCGGTGGTACCTTGAAGGTGGCCTTGAATGCGAAGTCCCACATGGCGCGCGAGTACTCGTTGTCGGAGAGGGCGAGGATGGTGGGGAAGAGAGTGAGTGAGGAACAGAATCAGCGAGGGCGAGGGAGAGGCCGGTCGTACCTTGAAGGTGGCCTTGAATGCGAAGTCCCACATGGCGCGCGAGTACTCGTTGGCGGAGAGGGCGAGGGTGAGCGAGGGGGACGCGCCCCCCTCCGCTGCCTCCACGTCCCACGTCAGGTTGCGCGCAAAGCCGTGCTGCACGGAGCAAGGGGGGAGGGATGGGCGGACGGGAGGTGCGGAGAGATGTGCGGAGAGATGAGCGGGATGAGAAGGGGGGAGGGGATGGGCGGAAAGGGGGGGTGGAAGGGAAGGGGGAGTGTACTGAATGAAGTCATGCGCACAAAGCACTGCTGAAGTTACATCACGCCTACTACATGACGTCATGGCACTTGCTGCATGACGTCATCTTACCTGCTGCATTGCGCCCGGCCCAAATTAGGGGAAGCAGTTTAGAATGCCGCCGCTGATGGGCTTGGCGACCGTGAACACCGGCGCAGCGACAGAATGAGTCACTGCAGCAGTGAATCACCTTGTGTTCGACTATAATGCACTGACTGCTCTCATCCCCCACCTGCTGCATGGCGCCCGGGCCGAACTGCGGGAAGCAGTGCGGGATGCCGCCGCTGATGGGCTTGGCGCCCGTGAACACCGCGTCCGGCCGCACGAACAGCAGGTCCTCGCCGGACGGAAGCTTCCAGGAAGTCGTGCAGGCGCCGTACAGGTACACCTCGGCCGTGCTGACAGGGTTAGAGCCGAGATGGAGAAGGAACTCGAGAGGGATAGGGTGGGGAAATTAGGTGGATAAGGATACCAGACGGGGGAGGGAGGAGGGAAGGAGCTTGAGGGAAGACGAGAGGGGGAAGGGACGACGGAAAGGCAAAGAGACAGGATGGGCACGTCAAAACACTATTTGGGTACGACTATGAAACCAGTAATGGGGAGGTTTGGGAGGGGGGAAACATGAGAGGGACGGCATGAGCGCACCTGCCGGAGGCGTCTGCGAGAATGACACGTGGCAGGCCGCCCAGCCCTTCGTCGAAGCTCACTCCATCCTTGCCGAACTTCGCCTGGAGGTCCTTGGAGCTAGGCTCGGTTCTGGTACGGAGCGACACGGAGGCACGGGGGAAGAAGGAACGGGAAAAGGTACAGCTTTGGAAAAAATGTACGAAGTCTCGGATGTCAATCAAATTTTCGCATGAGGCAGAGGCTTGGTTCTCGTGCTGTCACGATGTCGCATGAATTGAAACATCGGAGGTCCAGCCAGAGACATGTGGCATTTGCGAATACCAGTGACCTACGCGGCAGAAGCCGACACGTTGACGCGGGACACGTGGGTCCTCCCGCTGTTGGCTCCTCGCGAAGCCGCTGCGCGCAGAGGATTCACGGGAAGAATGGCGGCATGGAGCCTGTCAGCGGCTGACGCGTGGCTCGCTGCGACGGGGCTGCGGACCGCCAGTTGAGACAGGAGCGCGGAATGAGCGGCGACGGCGCGAGCCATGGTTAGTGTGAGAGGAGGATGAGACGAGGAGGAGAAGCGGAAATGTTGAAATGTGAAGTCTGTGGGAGTAGCTTGATGTTTGAATGAATTCCACCAGGCAGCCTTGAATCCAACTTGGGGAGACAGGTCACGCAGATTCCAAGGCGAATCGCACGGCAACGATGATCCCAAGGCTGCTTGCCTGATCCACCAGAAAATGTGTTTTGCGATGGAGAAGTGGATGGCTGACGTGGATCAATGCCACATGAATGGGGTCTGTGGTTGGAGTTTGGTCTATGTGGCAAAATCTCCAATTCTGCCATCGAGATGCTCGAGGGAAGAGAAACACATGTGGAATATCCGTCGTGCTCGCGAGAGCTTGTGCCGAAATGTGTTACGCTGGTGTGTTACATTTTGTGTTTCGGTGTAGTCCAGCAAGCTGTTCGTTTTTAGGTAACTCGTGATTACATTACAAGTACACCAGGGCAGCAGCAGTCTTCGATAGTCATAACCGTAATGCCGAAAGGTTAAGTATATATGAAGGTCGTAACCAACTGTAATGCCGAAAGGAGGGAAAACGTCGAAGCGTGCCTCGGGCTTGCTCTATTTGTAGTTGTAGTAGTATGAATGCTGATGAAGTTAGCTGGAGTCTAACATTCTAGACGCTCCGTTTCGACCTCTGTTTGACACCTATTACAGTTTCCATCTGTCCGTCTGCGCACTTTCCGCTCCGCAGTCTAGTCGAACATCTCAGCTGTATTTTTGGCGCTTTAATCAGCATAAAGTCACCCAGCCATGGGGGACGAAACGGTGTCCAGGCTGTTCCGCGTGAGACGGACGATATTCGAGGTCCGTTGCGTTCTACATCATGCTCCATTACGTATCAGGACGGCACGTTACGCAATCTATTTCGCTGTTTCCCTCTGTTCTATTTTTTTTCAATAAATCCCTTGCCCTTTCCCCTAACCCCTCTTCGTGTTACACGTCACACGCTTATCTATCATTTTCGGTAACTTTAGTGAATTGAATAGTCTTGCGTGTGTTTTGTTGGCTGGTCAGATGCTACTCGATCGTGGGTACCTAGTAGCTGATCGCGAGCTTCGAGCGACCAAGGATGATTTCAGAGACCAATTCGGGGACGACCCTCAACGAGACGATCTGACGCTACTGAAGCAGAAAAAAGACAACCCTAGCGACGAGGTGGGAAACCCTAAGTGTTGATTGAAGCACATGTATACGAGGCCCAGGGTGGGTATCAGAATGTCGTTTGACTTGTTTAAGGCCTTCTTCCACTATTCCCTTTGTTTCCTCCTCTTGCTGTAGGCTCCCCTCCTCCTTGCACACACTACTCTTCCCTTCTCTCACCCCCCTCCCGCCTCTCCTTCCAACACACACCCTCCCGACCTCTCATCCTGCTCCCCCCTATCCCCTCCCCCTGCTTCCCCCTTTCCTTCCCTCACCGTACCCCCCCCATCTCCCCTCGCCCCACGTCCCGTTTTCCTCCTCTCACATCCTCGTCTCATCTCACACCCTACCCGCATGAACCCACATCCCCCCTGAACCCACACCCTCGCTGAACCCACACCCCCCGGAAACCCGGTGGAGACGAATGTGGGCATCAATACCGCTTCTGAGGCGCCTAAGTAGACTACTCTCCCCTCCTCCCACCCTGCTCCCCTCTTTTTATCCTCTCACACCAATCCCTCTCCCTCCCCTTTCCCCTCCCCTGGACACACACGCGCAGATCTACGTGTTCTTCCCGGTGGAGGCGAAGGTGGGCATCAAGACGCTCAAGGGGTACTACGAGAAGATGAAGGGGTCGGGGCTGTCGCGCGCCATCATGGCGGTGCAGCAGAACCTCACGCCCTTCTCCAAGAAGATCCTTGCTGACATGGCGCCCAAATACATCATTGAAGTCTTCCAGGTACGAGTTTCTCAGGTGGTTCAGGTACTCATTTGTCAAGTGTTAATTCTGGGTGTTTGATGTGACAGTATACTGAGGTCCTGTGGGTGGTTTCCCTTTGTGGACTTGTAGTGTAGAAAGTGTTTGGTTTCTTCGTTGATACGACCCTGCATGTTTTGTCATGTCTTTCTGATCATTACTCCGCCGTTACTTCATTCAATCCCTGTCTTACTCAATGCACAATGGCAGGAGGGCGAGCTTTTGGTGAATGTGACAAAGCACGAGTTGGTGCCGCAGCATGTGGTGTTGACAGAGGAGGAGAAACACATTCTGCTGGAGAGATACACAGTCAAGGAGCACCAGGTGTGTCTCATGGGTATGGGATCAAGTTTTTTTTTTGTTTCTCCCAATTCCTCTCGTGCTCTTTCCATGCACACTCACCACCCCCCTGCCATCCCCCAACCCCACCCCCCCTCCCTCCCCTCCCTCTCCTGCTGCTCCTTTTTTTCACCTACTGGCTACCAGTAGTTTGATGCAATGTCCTGTGCTGCCCCATGCCCCCATACTAGCTCTCTTTCGCATTTCTGTCTTATCCTCCTCCACTCTCTCGTTTGTCGTCATACCAGATTTCCTGCATACAGAGTGATTTGTGCCTAGGTACTTTGGCCTGGTTACCGATATATCCGTGCGGTCATACATCCAATGCGCATGTCTTGTTTATTCCCTCCTCCTCACGCCAGCTGCCTCGCATGCAGAGGAGTGACCCCGTGGCTCGGTACTTTGGGCTCAACAGAGGGCAGGTGGTGAAGGTTCTCAGAAACAGTGAAACTGCTGGCAGATATATTAATTACCGGCTAGTAGTGTGACTACGGCCATCACACTGGTGGGAACAAATATATAACTGACTGCAACCTATGTGCAGGTGACTGTAATTCAATATATAACGGTTGCGTCTAAATAGGGACGGGGGGAGAGGGGATGAGGGTCTTATCTGTGACATGAGATGAAGAAGTGCCTTAATAGCTGTAGGAATGCTAGAATACATGGAACACAGTTAGGTGCATCTGTATTACATTTTGTTATCGAGATCTTTGTTAGCTGCATGTAAAACAAGCTACAGTTGTCCACACAAACAAAGCGCGAAGTGTTGCGAAAGTCCTTTCCTGACAATTCGCAAGCTCCCTCAATTTTGCCAAACTTGTGCAATGCCGTCCACTCGTTCTACTGATAACCTATCACAAACTTACCTAATACCTGAGGCTCACTGAGGCCCAACTCTGACCTACTTAGACTGTCTGTACGGAACGTTCCCACTTCTTCGACACACCTTATGTAATTAGAGCATTTTACCTCGCCGACGGCCTCGCAAAGTCACGCATTACGGACAGGTTATTGCTTGTCAACTCTCTGCTCCTCCTCGTTGAAGCACTGAATTGTACGCAAGTGTACCACGTGAAATTCTTATTAACGATCAATGGAACCCCTTCGACAATGCTACGTGTCCGTCGCTCTCTTTGTCAGTCTCTTCGCTCCGGGTCGGCTCTCTCCCACCGCGGTCGTTTCCTTACCATGCCCCCATTACCATCCTCGCATGTCTATCATTGCACACCCATGTCTCGTCTACTCCCTCCCTTGTCTCCCCCCGGCAAACCCTTCGACTGGTTACCACCAGCGTGTTTCGTCGTCCGGCGCCTTCTTCCTTCCATGCGGTGACCCGCGAAACCCCCACACGTACGCCAGTGCTGTCCGCGAGTGGGAGCGACAACCATCACACGCACACTCCTTTCGTGCGCGAGTAGAGAGGGTGAACATTCCTGCACTCACGCCCCCGCTTTGCGCAACTACGGAGTGACAACCGCCACACTCTCGCCGTCGCGGCTTCGCGAGTGGGGAGCGACACAATGCCGGCATCGGCGCCCTACTCGCCCACGCCAGTCGCCTCCTCTCCACTCCCCAAGTGAGTCTCGCCACCATCCACGTGCGTCTCTCCTTTCCAGTCCCCTCTTTTGCTCATTCGTTTGCGCACTCACGTATGTCTCCTCGCGTTCCCTCTCTTTGTGACTGTAAAGGGCGTGCTCTCTTGCCTTGCTCTCAGATGCACGAATGCCATCTCTGCGTGAATTCTTTCCATTCATGCTCTTCAAGTCATGAGCCACGTACACGCATTTTGAGAGCACGTCTGAGGGGACGTGGCCAAACAATCTCCTCTCGTCCTTCACCCCCCCTAACAGGTGTCCAACGGACACCTTTGAGCCGCTGAAAGTCCCCAGGGGAGGCTCAGCATGGGGAACCCTGCTGGCGGCGCTGGCAGTGGTGGTGCTGCTCGCCTGCGCGCCCCTCTCCTGGCGCCTCAGCACCAAGCCGTGGCGCCCGCACCTCTTCCCGCCAGTGTGCCGCCCGCCCACGCACGTGCACGCACAGGCGGATCAGCTGCCTCGCCTGTTCATGTTCATTGGCACTGAGGGGAGCGGCCACGACCTGTTTGAATACATCTTCAGGTGGGGCCCACACCGCACAGGTAGACTATACACACACGAGCACGCACATGCGGATTAACTGCCTCGCCTGTTCATGTTCATCGGCACTGAGGGGAGCGGCCACGATCTGTTTGAATACATCTTCAGGTAGGGCTCACAGGTAGACAGTAGAATCTACACGCACGTGCACGCCCAGGCGGATCAACTGCTCCGCCTGTTCATGTTCATTGGCACTGAGGGCAGCGGCCACGACCTCTTTGAGTACATCTTCAGGTAGGATTCACAGGTAGACTATACATAAACACACGTGCACGTGCAAGCGGATCAACTGCCCCGCCTGTTCATGTTCATTGGCACTGAGGGGAGTGGCCACGATCTGTTTGAGTACATTTTCAGGTAGGGTTGCACGCCATACCTGCTAATATGCCAGTCGGCAAACATTGAGGAAGCTTCCTCGTGTGTTCATGTTCCTTGGCACCGAGGGGAGCGTGCAGTGCACGACTTCTTTGAGTACATCTTCAGGTGCCCCTTGCACCTCGTTGCACGTGCTCGTCGTGTTCGGTAGGTACACCCTCCCCCATCCCGCACCTGCCCGACCGACCGCCTCGTTTCTTCCCCTAGTAGCCTTCTATTTTAACAGCTACCTGCCTGTAAACATCAGCGTGGATCCCTTAAACCCCGGCCTTACATTCACACATTCCACTGCCTTTATGCCTCTCCCACTTCCTCCCTGTCCCTCTCTCCCCCCTCCCCGCCCAGCTACCTGCCAGTGAACATCAGCATAGACCGATTCAACCCCGACCTGCACCTGACAACGTCGCCAGGGCAGAAGGTGGCCTCGGCACAGGACCCCACCGGCGCCACTGTCGACTGCCCCAAGCTGCCGTACTCGCGCCACGTCTACGACTTCGGTGTCCGCATGTCCACCGCTCTCAAGGCCAAGCTCCAGGTAACCCATTCTTCTCCCTGCCCGCGTGGCTTGAGACATGTTAGCCTTGGTTGAATGCCCCAAGCTGCCCTACTCCCGCCACGTCTACGACTTTGGTGTTTGCGTGTCCACCGCCCTCAAGGCCAAGCTCCAGGTAACCCATTCTTCTCCCTGCCCGCGTGGCTTGAGACATGTTAGCCTTGGTTGAATGCCCCAAGCTGCCCTACTCCCGCCACGTCTACGACTTTGGTGTTCGCGTGTCCACCGCCCTCAAGTCCAAGCTCCAGGTAACGCCTAGTCATGCCCATAACCTAGATTGAGATCTCTTAGTGTCGATTGCCCCAAGCTGCCCTACCCGCCATGTCTTGTCTACGACTTTGGTGTTCGCATGTCCACCGCCCTCAAGACCAAGCTCCAGGTAACCCGTTCGTGTACCTTCATTGATAAGCCACCCGCTCGCTTGAGGAGTCTTTGTGTCGACTGCCCCAAGCTGCCATACCCACCCCGTATTTATGACTTCGATTTTCGCATCTCCACCGCTCTCAAGAAGGTCCAGGGACGCTCTCGAACATGCACTAAGCAAACTCGCTCAATCACCTCCTTCTGCTGTCCTTCGCCACTTACTCCCCCTTCACTGCGCAGGACACAAACTACTACCTGCGCGCCAGGGACCCCTTCCCCATGGGGCGCATTCGCACGCCACTGGCTCGCCCCGACCTCATCTCGCTTGCGACATTCCACGGCATTCTGTATAACCTCAAGGTATGACCGCATTCTACTGCTCCTTCTCTTCTCACTGCTCCTTTTATGCCCAACCTGCTCTTTGTGCGTCGCACCATGCTCTCTCACCCCCTTGGTAACACCCTCACACCCTGCGCCTCTCCCTCCCCCCACCCCTTCCCCTGCAGCCCGTGGTGCTCGTCCCCCCACCCACCACATGGCCCATGACCGTGAGGTGCTGGTGCGCAATCTCACCGACACAGTCCTCTGGGCCATGCGCCGCCCCTTCCACCACGGACCTGCCGTCACATCTCTTTCCATCTCCCCCCTGCCCGTCTTGCACGCCACCACCCTTGGTGACACCCGCCCTGACATCCTGCCTCTCTCCCCTCTCCCTCCCTTCCCTCTTGCAGCTCGTCGTTGTGCGCAACTGACAGACACGGTCCACTGGTCCGTGCTGCGGCGCTTCCACTCGCCTCAAGTCACTTCTCTCCCCCCTGTTCATCTTGCACGGCACCACCCTCCCCCCCAACACCATCCTTTCCCCCCTTTTTCAGCTCGTGGTGCTCGTGCGAAACCTGACAGACACGGTGCTCTGGTCCGTGCTGCGGCGCTTCCACAACGACGATGTGGGGCTGCAGGCGAGGCTGATAGAGGACAGCATGGTCTACATCGATGCCTCCCTCAGGACGCTCCCTTGCGGCACGTTCAGCCTGATAGACGTGGATGCACTGGTCAAGAGACCCAAGGTACGGGGAGCGGGATGGGTGGGGCCCTAGGGGACATACAGGGAGACAGATGGGCAGGGTGTGGGGCTGCAGGCGAGGCTGATAGAGGACAGCATGGTGTTGTGCTAAATGCTGTGCATCATGCACAACTTTGTATCTATTCTCCAAATCCTACGAATTTTCCCATTTTCATGCTCCGCAATGTGCCCCTCGCACCCCTCTCTTCCATTCCGTCTCTCTGCTCCCTCCCAGACCGCCTCCACTGCTCTGGCTCAGTTCCTGGGGCTACCCGGAGTAGCCAAGGAGGAGGTGTTCAGTGCGATACAGCGCGGTAAGGAGAAGTGGGAGCCCACCCTCACAGTGCAGAGTGGGCTGGGGGCAACAGCAGATGGGGACGAGGCAGCAGAGGTCACATTCGACGGGCAGGCACTTGAAGTGTTCTTCCAGCAACGCGTGGGGCTGTGGCCTCTGCTGGATGCAGCTAAGGGGAAACCCGTGTTTGTGCCACGTAACCCACAGGACTGGCCTCTGGAGTAATACCCTAGAGCCATCCAGACATGCTTGAGGCGTTTTTTTCCAGCAGCGCGTGGGGCTGTGTGGTCACTGTTGGACGCAGCAAAGCGGAGGCCCGTTATTGTGCCGCGCAACCCACAGGACTGGCCTCTGGAATGAATTTTCAGAGCCATTCATCAGAAGTGTGAGGGATGCGATGCGATAAAAGTGATTGAGGTGTGTGGCTGTTGCGTGTATTTGCTTCTTGTGCTGCACGTGTTGGCCCTATTGTAGGATGGCTTAGGGACTACGTGGTTGCATGAATCACAACCACCCGCAGGGGTGGCCTCCACTGTAGGCTGACATTTGAATCTTGGTTTATTATGGTGGCAACGGTGGTGGTGTGTGTTGGGCTAAAGTGGGCTAATGTAGTACTTGAAGCTCACAAGGTCAGCTGCTCATGTACCGTATGTTCAATTTTGATCACTGAGCAATGCATTTTTCCGAATGTAAAGCAGTTGTCGATGCTGCTTGTTACGCATCTGGAATTTCGCAAAATGGCTTGCTTGGCCTTTCTGGAACTTCTATCATGATCTTCCCAAGGTCGACTTCCAGACCACGCGCTGATTCTGTTCGTTTGGTATTTCTTCCAAGAACTCTCTAGAATCCGCTAGTGACTTAAGAGAATCGTCATACGTCTTTACATTTGCCGTTTGCAGTCGTTTGCTTCACGGTTGTCCGCAAAGTTCTTACATTTAAAGACGCCGTCCAACTAATGGTCTTGTCTCGAAGGCGTCGCTTCGCCGCGAATGGCGCCGGACTTGCCGCAGAGGGTCCACTGGGGATTCCCGTCGGCGTGCTAATAGGGTTCGTCGCACTCGTCGCATGCATAATCGCCACGGGGTACTATGCGACGTCGCGTGCGAATCAGGAAGCCAGCGACGCGAAGGCGAAGCTCGCAGAGATGGAGAAGCGATGGGCGGAACGAGGGGGGTTGTCGCAGGCGCAGGGAGGGGAGGCGGAACCTCCTCCAGGGGGGTTAGGAACCATGCAGGCAGGAGGGATGAGCCAGATGAAGATCGATGCAGGTCGGTTCTGCGCGGTCGTGGTGCTCGGTTGTTTGCTCTCCTGTATATCCTGGTGTGTCATCTGACTAGCTTCTCACGCTGCCTTAATCAATTCACGGAGCTGTGCACGCTCGAATTTCCTCGCCTCCCTCTAAAGTCCTGTACCCACCACCTCTCCCTTTCCCCTTCCCCCCTCCACCTTTCCCATTTCCCTCAGCCTCAGAAGCAGCAGCAGCAGCAGCAGCATCCGCTGGTCTAGCCACATGCGCTGCGGACTTGATGCGAGCGAAGCAGCAGCTGCGGATTGCACGGGGGTGGGTGCGAGAGGGGCTTGAGCACTGCGTTAAGCTGAGGAAGAAATACTCCAAGGCACGGCACAAGTGGCAGATGCACAAGGGAAAGGGCGTTGCTGCTACTGCTGCTGGTGGTGCTGATGGTGATAGTGGTTACGGTGATGGGATTGGTGCGCTTTTTGACAAGCATGGGCATGGGGATGGCAGCAGTGGTCATGATGATAAAGATGATTCTGATAAGCATGAGCATGACCATGATCATAAGCATGAGCATGAGGATGAGGATAACCATGATCATGACCATGAGCATGACCATGAGCATGAGCATGAGCATGACCATGACCATGACCATGACCATGACCATGACCATGACCATGACCACACTACTGAAGGTGCAGACCACGATGGTCATGAGAGCGCAGACGAAGACAAGCATGACAATGACCATGATGAGCATAGTCATGATCACGATGGCGATAATGATGATGCGCATGGGGATGATCATGGGGATGCGCATCAAGGCAAGAGGAAATCTTCCAAGCATGATGAGGAGGATGAGAAAGATGAGTAGGACGATGAGGACAAGGAGGATGAGCATGGGATGGACAAGCATGGTGATGGTGATGAGGATGAAAAGGATGGGAAGGGGAAGGATGGTAAGGATGATGAGGAAGGTGAGAAGGATGATGATGCTGACCACGAAAAGGGTGTGAAGGCTGGTATGGAGGACTAAGTTGGGGGAGTTGGATACAAGAAGATACATCTGTGATGGAGCAATGCTCAGTGGATAGTCATGTGACGTGCATATCAACAGATGATTTCAGGTGATTGCTTATAGAGCTTATTCTCATCAAGTATAGGTGTACATATCAGGTTGAGTTTTCTGTATGCACCTACCTACTGAGATTTGCACTATAATTGTCAATGAACGGGGGACCATTGCCCAACCATTGGAGGAACCAAATGTCGGTGAACAACAGGTCACCGTCAGGCCAGCATCAGGCACTCCAGTCGGGGATGGTGAGGCGTGTGTCACGGTGAGCCATGAGGTGCATGCTGGGCAGTCGGTTGCGCACCTCCTGCCACACCATGTCCACCGCATCTCCTGCCCGCGCTGGTTGCTGTTGGGGTTAGGCATGGGGACAGCAATGGGGACAGCAATGGAACATTTATAGGATTAGGTGTTGGACAGGCACCTCCCGCCACACCATGTCCACCGCATCTCCTGCTCGTGCTGGTTGCTGTTGGGGTTATGGAAGCAGCAATGGGAACATGCATGAGAACCCGCATTGGAACACGTATCGGAACAGGAACCTCCCGCCACACCATGTCCACCGCATCGCCTGCCCTCGCTGGTTGCTGCCGGGGTTAGCCATGGAAACAGCAATGGGAACAGGATGTAGAACAGGCATGGGGACAGGGGTAGGGACATACACATTTACAGGTATGGGAACACGTACAGTAACAGACATGACAGGTACGGGAACAGGCATGGAAATAGTAACATACCTGGAACTCGAAGTGTTTCTGTACTTGGTGCACCTGGTGCCACATCGCCAGCCAATCATGCTCCGACACCTGGCGCAGTGTGGAAACCAGACGGCCCTTGACCAGGGCGTCCTGGTGAGGGGAGGGATGGCGGTGGGGGAGGACCAAGTCAACCGACAAATGCTCAAAAGAACGATAAGATGTAAAGTCTTTCATAAGAAAAGCATACCCACTAGGGGCACGTCATGAGCGCGGTGAAGACACTCAAGGAGGTATGCTCCCAGTCATAAGACGAGGCATGCACTCACTCCTCTCCCTTGTAAAGAGAGCATATGTGCCCTGATTGGGTTAGCACGAAGTATAGAGTGTAAGAGGCGCACCTCTTGGGAGAAGAAGAGCGCGAGGTGTGAATAGTCGATCGCAGATTCAAACGGTAGCTCCACGCGATCGCTGACGACCACGGGCACACACCCACTCATGATGGCGTTGAAGCATGTGGGAGGAAGAGGGCTCACCTCTTGGGAGAAGAAGAGCGCAATGCGGGAATAGTCAATTGCTGACTCGAAGGGCAGCTCCACGTGATCGCTGACGACCACCGGCACACACCCACTCATGATGGCGTTGAAGAAACGGGAGGAGGAGGGTGTGTCTCCCTCCACGTGCAGGCAGAAGCGCGCCCGCCGCATGCCCTCCTGGGACTGCGGGCAGACGGGAAATGGGGGTGTGACAGTCACAAACAGTGGAGTGCTTAAGTGAATGGTGAAGCGTAGAAGAGAGGTATAGGTTGTTGCCCTCCGCGTGCAGACAGAAGCGCGCACGCCGCATGCCCTCCTGGGACTGTGGACAGGGGGCGAAGGGGGTTGCGGGGGTAACAGCAGTCACAGAGAGTGGAGTGTAAATGCTCAAGTGAATGGTGAAGAGTAGAGAGAGGTATAGGTGTGTCTCCCTCCACGTGCAGTCAGAAGCGTGACCGCCGCATGCCCTCCTGGGACCGCGGGCAGGGGGGAGGTGTGACAGCCAGAAACAGTGGAGTGGAGACGTTGAGTGAGGATTGGAGAGTTGGAGTGGGTATAGGGACATGTCTCCCTCCACGTGCAGACAGAAGCGCGCCCGCCGCATGCCCTCCTGTGGGCAAGGGGGGGAGAACAGGTGAAAGAGATTGTAGAGGCTGATGAAGGTCTGACTTGGGGCCTGTCCCGAGCAGCCGAAACATCTTTGCGTTTTAATCTCTTTAGTGGATTCGAGAGTTCGGTTTTTCAAATTCTTGGCACTTAGCAGGGTACAACGTACAAGAGAGTACTACTGTTTTTCTTTAGCTAAAAGTAACTTCCTAACTGCAGCTCGCCCAGCTTCATGGCTGAGATCCCACAATGGGGTCATGGAGAGATCCCACAATGGGGTCATGGAGAGATCCCACAATGGGGTCATGGAGAGATCCCACAATGGGGTCATGGAGAGATCCCACAATGGGGTCATGGAGAGATCCCACAATGGGGTCATGGAGAGATCCCACACTGGGGTCATGGAGAGATCCCACAATGACAGACGCATGCACTCACATCCTGGATGGACTGGGTGGACCCCGATGCCTCCCTCACATGCACGTCCGCCTCCCCCTGTAGCTCGTCGAACAGGGCCTTGCGCCGCTGAGGGGGAGGGAGGAGGGGAAAGAAGGGTAGCAGGGAAGGTAGAGAATGATATTGGGGGGTTCCGAGGAGGCAGCCTCCCTCACATGCACGTCCGCCTCCCCCTGAAGCTCGTCCAACAGGGCCTCGCATTGCTGAGGGTAAGGGGGGTAGAAAACTATGGCAGGTAGAAAGGCGAAGCAGAGTCTAGGAGCGTTGAAAGTAGATGAGGCTACCGAGTGAATGAGACAAGGGAGACGGCTGATGGTGCTTCTGAACCCATGAACTCGCATCCTTTCCTCCAAACAACCGCAGTGTTTCTTCCACCCCTCACACTCACGTCCTTTCGCTGCAGAGTGCCCTGAAAGTAGAGCAGTGTGGTGCGCCGTGCAAACACACCCGCATCCGCCCCTCCCGTACCCACAGCAGCAGCACCTCCTGCTCCTTCTCTGCTTCCGGCGGCTCCTCCCTCCCTTTGTCCGTCCCTTTCACCACTATCACCCTCCTCTTCCTCACTCGCAGCCTCTCCTTCCTCCCCGTCCTCCCCTTCCTTCCCCTTTCCTTCCTTCCCCTTTCCTTCCTTCCCCTTTCCTTCCTTCCTCTTCCCATCCTTCTCACCATCTCCCCCTTCCTCTCCCCCACTCTCCACCTCTCTCGTATCTGATCGCCCCCCACCCACCAGTCGTCTCCGTTCACCCACCAACCGCCTCCTCTCTCCCTCCCCATCGCCATCCTCCTCCTCCTCTTTTTCCCCCTTCCCCTTCCCCTTCCCCTTCCCCTTCCCCTTCCCCTTCCCCTTTACCTCCTCCTCCTCCTCCTCCTCCTCCTCAGCGTCTTCCTCACCCTCCTCTTCCACCTTTTTCCCTTTTCCCTTTTCCTGCTTTCCCTCTTCCTCCTCCTTTTCCTCCTCCTTTTCCTCCTCCTCACCCTCTTCCTCCTTTTCCCCCTTCCCCTTCCCCTTCCCCTTCTCCTTCTCCTCCTCACCCTTTTCCTCTCCCCCCTCCTCCTCCACAGCTCCTTCCCTGCTATCCTTGATCTCCTCTCTATCTACCTCCTCCTCCTCTCCCTCCCTACCACCGCCCCCATCCCTCCCCTTCCCCAGGCGGCTCCCAGCCTCAGCTTTAGCTTCAGCTACCGCTGCCCCACCCCCTCCCCTCCCCCTTTTCCCCCTCCTGCCCTCCTCTGTGTGGCTCACAGCAGCGAGCCTCTCTACCCCTCCTTGAGCGTCCCGCCTCTCAGCCTCTGCACTGTAAGTCTCCACCAGCGCCCCGTATGGTGCTATGATGTCCTTGTGCAGATCCGCCTCCCCCGGTTCGTACCTGGATAAGGAAAAGGTGGGTGTGTTGGTGAGAGTGGGAGGGGGAGGTTAGGTTGGGCCTGAAAGGTGCTATTACGTCCTTTGGCAGTTCCGCCTCCCCCAGTTCATACCTGCAGTGGGGGCAGGTGGGAGTGTGGGTGTGAGTGCGGGGAGGGAAGATTGGGCTCATACGGTGGGGTATTGTCTCTGAGAAGATTTGTCTTCCTCAGTTGATACCTGGTGCGAGGACAGGCTGATAGCCTGATACCTGCTGCTGCCTCTCTTCCTCACCCACCTTGCGAGGTCCACATGGCCTCACAGCAACCAAGGCAGCAGCCGCCATGTGGTGCCGCATGCACTCGAGGTGAAAGCCCGTGCGCCCTTTCCACCCATGCTACCCTGCTGCCCTTCCACTCACCTTGCATCTGTTGCTGCTGCTTCACCCTCCTCTTGACCCACCTGGCGAGGTCTACAGCAACGAAGGCAGCAGCCATGTGGTGCCACACGGACTTAAGGCAAGGCGTCTGCTCCCTTTCTAGAATCTAACCCTTCGCCTGTGCCTCACGGAACACCTCACACGTGCTGCCATTCCACCCACCTCACACCTGCTGCCATTCCACCCACCTCACACCTGCTGCCATTCCACCCACCTCACACCTGCTGCCATTCCACCCACCTCACACCTGCTGCCATTCCACCCACCTTGCACGCACCTGCTCCTGCCTCTCCTCTTGACCCACCTGGCGAGGTCTACAGCAACCACGGCAGCAGCCGCCATGTGGTGCCGCACGGACTTGAGGGTGCAGCATGTGCGCCCTTTCTACCCATGCTACCCCTGCTGCCCTATCTCACCTGGCGAGGTCTACAGCAACAAAGGCAGCGGCAGCCATGTGGTGCCGCACGGACTCGAGGGTGCTCTCTGATGCGCCTCCCGCTTCCACCCATCCTACCGCTCATCTCTCCTCCTGACCCACCTGGCGAGGTCAACAGCAACGAAGGCAGCAGCGGCCATGTGGTGCCGCACGGATTCCAGGGCGTTGGGGTGGGTGACGCACAGCACGTGGTCCCTGCCTCCCCGCCGCTGCCACCAGGGCGACGCGCTCATCCGCTCGGCCATCTCCATCTGGTGCAGTGCGGTGGGGTCCAGTGTGGTGTGGTGAAGTGCGGTGGGGTACAGTGTTGTGCGGTTGGGTGAGGTGGGATAACAATCTTATTAGGTGCCTCAAGAATGGGTGACGCACAGCACATGGTCTCTCCCTCCCCTGCGCTGCCACCAGGGAGACGCGCTCATCAGCTCCGCCAGCTCCATCTGGTGGAACGCGGTGAGGTGCGGTGAGGTGAGACAAGGTGGGGTGGGGTGGGTAAGCTAGAGGAGGGATGGGAGGCTAGCAAGTTGAGCATGGTGGACGCGAAGAAGGGCAGTGTTGGGGATGATACAACAAAATTGAACGCACCGCTAGAGCCTTGTAGGTGGGGAAGTTCTTCCGTCAGAGCAGGTTGACCATGGTGGACGCGAAGAAGGGCACGAGAAACACAACATGTCTATAACGAGGACGTAGTGTTGGGGTTGAGAGAGTACAATACCGCCAGAGCCTTGTAGGTGGGGAAGTTCTTCCGTCGGAGCAGGTTGACCATGGTGGACGCGAAGAAGGGCACGAGAAACACAACATGTCTATAACGAGGACGTAGTGTTGGGGTTGAGAGAGTACAATACCGCCAGAGCCTTGTATGTGGGAAAGTTCTTCCTTCGGAGCAGGTTGACCATGGTGGACGCGAAGAAGGGCACGAGAAACACGTCCGCGTGTGCGGGGTCCCTCACCCTCACTGCTGCCACACCCGGGTCTCTCTTCTGCTTGTGCGCGGGCAGGAATGCACAGCACAGGGAAGGATTGCAGGAGGAGGGGAGTGAAGAGGGCTACATTGAACGAGAAACACCTCCGTCTGTCCGGGGTGGCCTCACTGCAGTGTGCCCTCACGGCCGCCACTCCAGGGTCTCTCTTCTGTTGACGAGCAGAGGGAGGGGAGAGCAGAAAGAGGTATGAGCAAGGGCAGGGGCAAGCAGAGGAGGGGAGAGCAGAGGGAGGAATGAGCAAGGGGAGGGGCAAGCAGAGGAGGGGGAGAGCAGAGGGGGGAGGGGCGAACAGAGGGCTACATTATAGGAGAAACACTGAGGGGACGCACAGCATGTCTCATGGACGTACGGTGGGGGCATGCAGCATGTCATGTCACATGTCATGTCATGCCATGTCACGTGTCTTCATTCAACGCACCGAGGGTGGTTGCAGCAGGTCTGCAACGAGGAAGTATTCGAGGCTGTGCTGCCACGCCGTGGGGTGCACGTCGCCGCCCGCCGGCCACCCCCACGGCGGGATGGGCGGCTCGTCCATGCTGCCGTTCGTGCGCTGCTCCTGCCGCGTCTTCCACTTGGGCTCCATCAGCCCCAGGTTCATCCGACGTGGCAGCTCGTGCACGTACACGTGCACCCGCCCGTCCCAGCACTGCCCGGCCTCACCATCTTGATTGCGTTTATTCTCGCTATCAGCTTCGCTGGATGTGCTTCTATCGGGACGAGTACTTTCGCTACTTTCATGTGAGCTGGGACTCGGTTCTGTCGTCCTTCCGTCGACCTGATTGCTGTCATCTTGAATGAAAACCTGGATATTGCTCGTTTTATCACGGTTTTCCCGCAATGCAACATCGGACGGCGGAGGGAGAGCTGGTGAAGAATCGGACGGTGGATGATGAGTTGAGAGAGCGGTGGGAGGGGATGCCTCGAAGAGGTCCTCTACTCGCGCGATCTCCGCTGGCTGGCGGGTGACGAGCAGCAGCGCGACTCCCAGGAAGAGTGCGACAGGGAATGCGACGATTCGCGGCACCTTTTGTCGCATGAGCCGAACGACGGCCCCATCCATGGGGCCAGCCTGGCGTCGCCTCGTCGCTCTAGCGTGCTAACTACGCACAGTACTAGGGTACGGATTCCACTGACATTGCGAGAAAGGCTAAGTGAGCGTAAAGAGCCGGTCGAACAAGACTGCCAGGTCAGACTGCCAGAGCGATGTAGCCATACGCGGAGGATTAACGTGGACTATACATGAGGATCTGTGAAAAGAAGCCTGTGAGAGCACAACAATACGAAACGTCGCACCCTCTCTCTGCAACCTTGGAAAGAGATACGGGCAAGGAGCCACTCGTGAAGTACCTCAATGTTTTCAGCCTGAATGTAGTAGATTCACTAAACAGAGCAACCTTGATATTGCCGAGTGAACTAGAGTCCTATGATCCTATCACAGATCACACAGTTGCCAGCCTTAGTGCTTTACAAGGCTCCTCGTTTCCCGGTACAGAAGGAATTTATGTTCTCCCTTGTACATCAAAACTATTAAAGCCCGAGTCGCAAATTGCTAGGAGCGCTGGTCAAGCTTTTAAAACTTGAAGGTGAGGAGCTTGAAAACTTGAAAGAAGTGCACCTGCAATTTGGGACTTTCGAGCTCCCACCAGGGGGAAGTCGAGGATTGGCTGTGTGTCACGAAAAAAACGAGATTGACGAAATATATCCTCTCGCCACAACCCAAAAACTGAACTCCTCCCCGTCAACCTTTTAAAACTTGTGCAATTTGGGCCAACGGCAGTGAACCCTACAATAAAAATGGGAGGGTTGGGGGTCAGTCACTGTCTGTCAGACATTTCAAAATTCTTTCCCGCTCAAATACGCAGCGCTCGCAAATTTTTGAATTTCTGCAGCGACTCGTTTTCCTCGCTGGAAACCGCGGCGCGCCAGTCATAATTTAGGGAATTCATGAAGCAAACGAGACCCTCCCCACCTCCTCCTTCACTCACTCTTCTGTGGCTGCAGTACCCTCTCAAGTCTCCTCTGCCCCTCGCGCCCTTGCAAATCCAGGCCTAAGTCTTCGTTCCACGTCTCCAGCACACCGTAGCTATCGAAGTCTGCTGTTTCTATTGCTGTTTTCATCGTCGCCGAATTTTAGTCTTCTCACTTCAGTAGTCTCGCTGTTTGAGTCAGCTATGTTCGTATTCTCCTTAGCTACCTCAGATCTGCCCAGTGATTTCTCTGTGCTATATCCACGGTACATGTAATTTCTCGCCACGCTTTCTTTAGTCATTACCTAGTCACTTAGCTCCGCGTCATAGCTTCTAACAATGGCTACCATATCAGCAAAGCGCAGTGGTCGGAGACCTGGCAGGCTGCAGAATAAGCTCTCCTTCTCCTCCCGCTTCAACGACGAAAACGCCTCGCCCTATTCCCCATCTTTCTCAAAACCTTCTCCCACTCTTCTCGCTGACGTCACCAATCCCGCGCTTCCACTTCCCGTGGAAACCGTTACCGGCAGCGAGGAGGTGCATCCGGTGGGCCTGGCGGCCGTCACGCAATGGTTTGACGGCTCCGTCAAGTCGGGCCACCCACCAACCGGCAGGTTCGGCGTCCGATCTGCGCTACAGGATTTTTCCGACAATTCCTTCTTTTCCTTCCCGTCGGGAAAATCAGCCGCTATGTCCGCGTTTGGGATGAAGAGCGTTAACGAGAACAGCCGTCGGAACACGTCGGTGCCTGCAGCTGCGGTCCCTCCGCAAAGCACGCAATCCTTAGTCGAGATGTTACCGCCGAACACGCTCAAGGCAACAGAGCTCGTGCCATCCGTACCTATCGTGCCGCCCCGTCTCTCCGCGTCCGTCCGTCAGTCTATCTCCGGCGCTGCTCCGTTTCTTGCAAACTACACCAGTTCCTCTGCCGTCGGACTCGGTTCTGCTCCGTCATCTCGACGGACGTCGTTCGCCGGCAGTGTTGACGGCAGCGTCTCTTCGTCGTCCGCAGCAATGGTGTTTCCGCCCCCGTCGCGGACCAGCCAGCGGCGGATCTCTGCCCTGGCGGAAGGCGCGGGGGATTTTTCCGCCATGCTGCCGGACGAGCGGGAGTTTCTTGCGGACGTGGCGGAGTTCCACGGACTCCCCGTCCGCGCGTCGCTGCAGTCTTTGCCGCCTTTGGCGGAAAGCTTCCCGCCACAGGCTCGGCAGCTGCAGAACGGAGCAGGGAGGCGAGTGAGCCTGGCGTGGATGTCGCTTGACGGACAGCTGAAGAACGTGGAAGCGTTGACGGAAAACGTCGGAGCTAGCGGCGTGTTGACGGAAGATGAACAACAATCCTGGCTGAACATCCCGCCCGTCTACGTGAGCACCTTGACTATCCCAACTTCTGTCCCTTGTTGATCCACGCGAAAGCTTCATTTCATTAACTCGTGAAGCAGTTTGCGGCATGTACCAGCCTGCCGCGCTGCCCTTGTTAATTACAACTCATAGGAATGTCAGGATGATATCAGTGTCAAATTTACTTTGTGATATTTTATTCTCCTTCTTCTGCAGCGCGCGTTGATCCTTACGATGACGTGGAAGGCGGTATCGACGGCCAGGACGCAGATGAAACGCGAGTTTGCGCGGATCCGCAAGTTGATACGCGCAAAGGACAATGATGCGCGGTCTTTGCGCAAGAAGCTCGTCGCCTTGCGATCGCAGCAGCCCAAATCCGTCGTTTCGTCGCCCGTCGCCAGCCCCTCGTCAGGCGTCGCACGCGTCGCAGAAGGTGGTCCGAGAAACAGTGAAGATTCGCAGGTAGGTGCTGCGATGCGTTAGAATTGTTCACACACCCTTGTAGCAACCGCCGAGCCTCTCTCTCGTGATTCTGGCCACGAATCTGCGACCCGCGATCTTGTTAAGAAGAATGAAGACGTTGCTTCTGTGTCTGACGTGGAAAATCTCGAATGGTATCTTTGTTGGCTCCTCCTCCATAATTCTATCTCCTTTGCTGGACAACCTTGCCTGAGTTTTCTTACTTGGTCATCTTCGTTGCATCCTTCAGGTGCAACAGTTACTGCAGGCGAAGGACCTCGAATTGAAAGTGCTGGAGGAACAGTTGCAACGCGTGGAGATGGAACGGGATGAGATGGGTGGGAAGATGAAACGGGCTGTTGAGGAGATGCAACGGATGGAGGAGCAGCTGAAACGCGAGGAGGAACGTGTGGGAAGCATGGGCGAGGAGATTAAGCGTGGGATAGAGGGGAGCGAGCAGGCGGCGAGGGAAATGAAACGCATGGAGGCGGAGATGAAACGGATGGCGGAGGAGATGAAACGCTCGGAGGGACGGTGCGGGGAGGTTGAGGCGTCGCGAGCCACGACTCAGGAGGCTCTGAACAGCGCCGTTGAATCGAACTCCGCGCTGAGGGTGAGACAAAGGAATGTGATTGTAGACAGCTCCTCCTCATATTGCCGAATGCGTCACCTCCTCCGTTATTGCCCATTATTTGACTCTGTTTGTTCCACAACACGTTGCTATGGCATGTCTATGCATTCTGAATGCGCGTCTTCTGTCATGCTCCGCAGGATCTGATGGCGCTGCAGGCGGCGCACATCGCGGAGCTCAAAGCCCTCGTTCTCGGTCAGACCGAGGCCATTCAGGAGCTGACACGTGGCAGCACGGCAACGAATGTCGCGGATGCGGGGAAGCCAGTAAGAGAAGAGGAGGACGCGGAGGGCAGCGAGGAGGAAAAGGAAAAGATGGCGGACGAGAAGGCGGAGAAGGCGGAGGAAAAGGCGGAGAAGAAGGGGGAGGAGGCGGAGAAGGCGGAAGATGCGAGGAGCGCGGGGATGGAGGAGCTGATGGCCATGGTGAGTCGGTCGGATCATGCGCTTGCCGCGCCATGCCTTCACGCCATGCCTTGTGTTCTCACGTGCTTACGCTCTTCTGGACTTACCCGTTGCTTCCTACTTTCCTCTCACCTTCTATTTTCACCTCCCCCATTCACTCCTCCCCCCAACCCCCACCCTCCCCCCAGCTGTCTCACCAGTCCGCGGAGATCTCCGCGCTCAGCCGCGCGGTGCAGGCCTCTACCTCCGCCCTCCGCCGCACCCCCTCGCCCTTAGCGTCCCCCTCCGCTTCCCCCGAGCCCAACACCCCACTCACGGCAAAACTCGCCGTATCCGCAGGGGGAGGGGTAGGGGGAGGCGCAGGCGCAGGCGCACCCGCGGAGCCGGGGTTGTGGCGGATGGGGCTCCCCCTGCTGGGGTCGCCCGTGGGGTTCACGCCCTCTCCCCCCGGCAAGGGGGAGATGAGGGTGGTTGCGCGGATCAAGGGGAACGTGTATGGCGCAGTGCCCAAGTATGGGGGCGCGGGGGCGGATGGGACGCGCGCGGGGGAGAAGATGGGGACGGTTGAGGAGGAAGGGCGGGGAGTGGCGATCGGTGGTGGCGCTGGTAACAGTGGTTACAGTGGTATCACTGTTAACTTTGTTAACAATGCTATGACTGGTGGCGGCAGTGGTGTTGGGGGGAGAAGCAGCAGTTGCGGTGTTGAGGGCGCTGCTGTGATGGGCGGGGCAAGGAAGTTGTCTCTGGGGATAGGCAGTAATGGGAGAGGCTCGGCAGTGCTGCCGCATCTCGCCCTGCCCCAAGTCCAAGGCCCCGTTGACCCCGTTGACCCCGTTGGCCCTGTTGGCCCTGTTGACCATGTTGACTGTGCCGAGGAGGCTGGAGCAGGGAAGCATGGCAATGATTGTACGGAGGGAGGAAGGGAGAACGCGGAGGTAGATGAGGGAGAGGGAGAAGAGGAGGAGTATGAGGAGGTACAGCAGTTCTTCTCTGCCCCTGCTTCTCCCTTCTCCTCCATGCCCTCCACCCCCACTGCTGCTGCTGCCGCTGCTGCTGCCGTTGCTTCTGCTGCTGCTGCTGCTTCAGCTGATGGTGATGCTGCTGCTGCTGTCGCGGCTTCAACCGTTGAAAAGGTCGTTTCAACGGCGAAGGACATCCATGCAGGGGAGGGAGAGGAGGAGGAAGCGAAGACAAGGAAAGAGGAAGAGGAGCAGCAGCAGAGGGAGGTGCAACCGAAGGAGCAGAGGGAGAGTGGGAGGGGGAGGGCGAGTGAGGGCAGTGGGAGCATATTCCGAGTGGGAGGAGTATTCAACCACGGAACCACCACCAGCAGCGCCGCCGCCGCAGAAAAGCCTCGGGTACCTCCAGGCTCGGCTTCAAGCAGCAGGCTCGGAAAGCTGGTTCGGGCGGAGTCTCAGCCGCAAGGGAGGACGGGGAGCAGGAAGTTATCCATGGAGTGTGGTGGGGGTGGGGGAAGGGAGAGAGGGGAGGGAGTGCGGGGGGAAAGGCTGAGGGCGAGTGTGGAAGGAGGGATGGTGAGAAGCAGGAGTGAGAGAACCCCTTTTACCGGTCCCCATGCTCCCCCCAACACTCCTGATGCTTCTACTGCTCGAGAGCAACGGGGTGGGAGGGCAGGAGGAGGGGGTGAGGGTGTGGAGGGGCGGGCACTGAGGGAGACTGGGCGAGTGAACAGCCGGAACGGTGAGGGGGAGAGGGCAGCAGCGGGAAAGGGCGTGCGGAGTGGGGCGATGCCGAGATGGAAGTTCTGAGAGGCCTGGTCGTGAGGGGATGGCTGTGAGACGGTGGTCGTGAGGGCAAGGGCAGGCAGAACTGCAGGTGGAGAGGGGAGGGGAGGGGATGGAAGGGGAGTGGTTCGAAGGTTGGAAAGGCTGTGAGAAGGTGAGGAGGGGAGAGGAGGAGAGGAGAGGAGAGGAGGAGAGGAGAGGAGAGGAGAGGAGAGGAGGAGAGGAGAGGAGAGGAGGAGGAGAGGTGGGGTGAGGGGGAAAGGTGAGGTGAGGGGGAAAGGTGGGGTGAAGAGGAATGGTGAGGAGGGGAGGAATGGTGAGGAGAGGAGCAACAGTGAGGAGAGGAGCAAAGGTGAGGAGAGGAGCAATGGTGAGGAGGGGAGGTGAATGAGAGGGGGAAAGGTGAAAGTAGTAGGAAAGGTGAGAATGGGAGGGTAGGTGAGGAGGGGAGGTAATGTGAGGAGAGGAGGAGGTGATTTGGGGAAGGGGAGGTGAGAGGAAAGGTAAGGAGAGGACGAGAGGGGGGGGGGAGAGGTAAGGAGAGAAGGAGAGAAGGAGAGAAGGAGAGAAGGAGAGAAGGCGAGAAGGCGAGAAGGAGAGAAGGCGAGAAGGCGAGAAGGAGAGAAGGCGAGAAGGAGAGAAGGAGAGAAGGTGAGGTGAGAGGAATGGTAAGCGGAGAGCAATGGAAAGGTGAGAGCAATGGTAGGTTGTGAGCAGAGGTGAGGGGAGGTGAGTAGAGGTGAGGAGAGGCGAGGAGAGGTGAGGAGAGGCGAGGAGAGGCGAGGAGAGGTGAGGAGAGGCGAGGAGAGGTGAGGAGAGGCGAGGAGAGGTGAGGAGAGGCGAGGAGAGGTGAGGAGAGGCGAGGAGAGGTGAGGTGAGGTGAGGTGAGGTGAGGAGAGGAGGAGAGGTGGGAGGGGACGGAATGTGAGGAGCAGGAGAGAGGCTAGTTTGACAGGTGTGCTAGGCATAAGTGGGATGAGCGCTGTAGGGTTTCAGAGGCATGAGGGGTGAGTGGAGAGCGATTGTTGGGTGATAGGTACCGTAGGTATGTGAAGGGTATAGGGGGGAGGAAGAGGGAGGTTAGCAGTGGTGTCAACTGGAGGTGCTGCAGGTATCAAGTGGTGCAGATAGCATAAGGTGCAGGTAGGTAGCATGAGGTATGGTAGGTAGACAGAAGATGGACTGGAGTGCAGGGCTTGGTCGGGGGTGTATCTATTTGCCATTGGTTCATGGTCTGCCATTGTGCTGTGTGTGTAGGTTTTTTGTAGTGCTGTATAGTTTGCTCTCTCTATTGTTATTGTGCACTGTTGTGCACAAAAAACACCTGCCTACCTGCTTTGAAGATATCACCAGCAACTTACCATCTTCACTAGAGTGTTCAATCCATCCCAGTATAACAGTACAGCAAACACTGCACACACAAAGGGCTGAAAATGTTGCCTTGGCATGTGTGGCACAGTCTGTACCGCAACAAACGCTTGTCAGTTATCTGCTCATGTTACATCAGCGACATCACAGGCATGTGGCAGTCTAGTTACACAAGCTAATGTCAAGCTAGCTGCACACATGCTACCACCAGAAACTGCACAGAAGCAGCCACCTCAGGTAACTTCTGGGGTGCTTACAAAGCAGTTACTTGGAGTAGTCGGCACGGGCATAGGCATCCTAGGGGTCGACAATAACCACTACAGCAATGCCACATGTGAGGCGCCTCAAGAGTCTCTAGAACTTGGAGTAATCAGCGCGCGCATAGGCATCCTCAGGGTAAAAGATAGCAACCACTGCATTGCCTCCGAACTTGCGCCCGTGCAGGGCTGCCTTGGCCTTGAGGGCTCCTGCTGTGTCGCCATACTCAACAAATACCTGCACCAGGTGGGCCACGGTGGGAGGTGGTGGAGAGGGATGGTGGGCGGTGAGAGAAGGTAGAATCACTTGGCACTGGCTGCCCCACTGCGGACGTGGAGGTCCGGAACCCGCCTTGGCCAAGTTATGAAGGGCAATGAGCACCAAAAAACCTACAGGTCAGCTTCCTGCCCCTCTCACTGGGCACGGCTGCTGGCTCATAAGGCACATATACTCTTCAAAGTGGTCTCAAACGAGCAAGCATGAGGCAATAAACATGCGGATCCACTGTGTATGAGACTTACCATGCCCACCCCAGGAGCTGCTGCGCCTGCTGCTGGTGGTCGAGGAATAACCACATTCACAAGCGAACCTGTTTGTAACGAGGACAGCGGGTCGGCAAGACACCAAGGCACAGAGGAGAAGTAGCAGAGATGATGAGAGCAGCCAATGAGGGTCGCACACATGTACACACACGCACACATGTACACACACGCACACATGGCACGCGCCATGCGACGTGATGATGTTTATGTGACAAATCTTGTATTTCGTATAAACCTCTCTGGTTAACATGTCTACCAGCAGCAGCACAACAGAGCAACAGTGCCATGACTACATGGATGAGGTGGCTGACCGTATTTAGCGCACTCCTCTCGCATGTCCTCCATGATCTCATCGTAGTCCTCATCGTTGGTCAATGAATACTTTCCAAGTCATGAGTCTATAAGCAGCACAACAGGGAAACAAGTGACTGACCGTATTTAGCGCACTCCTCTCGCATGTCCTCCATGATATCATCGTAGTCCTCATCGTTGGTCAGCTCGTCTGGTGACACCACCTGCCCGCGCAGCAATGGTAGCAATGGCAGGGCAGCAATTGGAGGGCAGCAATGGCAAGGCAAGAGGGTGGTGAGTCAATGGCTTACCATGGCACACCATGTCATCAAGGCACGCTGGCAGCATGACACAGTGAGGCGGGTGCAGCAACATGTACAAAAGAAACAACGCTGGCTTGACCAGAAGTGAGTGAGTGAGTGCGTGAGGAGGCGAACCTGTGAGAGGCAGATGACTTTGGTGGGGATGTCAACAGGAGCACCCGGCAGGGCAGCAGCCGCCCCCAGCCCCACTGTGTTGGCGCCTGTCAGAGCCATGCGCTGGCACCACAAGGAGTGGGTTGGGGTTGGCAGTGAGGTGGAGAGAGAGGAATGAGATTGATGAGAAGGGGAAGAGCGAGTGAGATTGACCAGTGGAAGTGGGGGAAAGGTATAGAATGCAAGGACAGTGTGAGTGGGAGGAGCAGAGGAACGCACCGACAGGGCGATTTGCTGCTGAGCCTGCGCCAACACATTGGCTTGCTCGGGCTTGGCCTGACCACTGCAGCAGAATAAGACATGCCACAGGCAACACAGAAACAGAGGGACAACAAATACAGTAAGCGGCCATTAGTGCGAAGGAACCAGCAGTGCACCCACAATAACGCTGCATGCCACCTGAACCATCTGGAATGGCACGTGCAAGCGCGCAGCAACCACCCGCTGACAATACCCGAGAGTACGTCACATGGCACCTGGGAGCACCTGAGAGTAACAGGAGCACCTGGGAGCACCTGGGAACGCACCTGGCTGTGGCGCGGCGCACGGTGAGCGTCTTGTCGCCCATCTTCATGCCGTTGAGAGCCATGCAGGCGATGTCCGTGACACTGGGGTCCTGGTACACACAGAAGCCGTACCCCTTGCTGTTTCCCGTGTCCCTATCCTTCACCAGGTCAAACGCCCGTAGAGGACTGCCAGGGGAAGAAGGCAGAGGGAAATGTGCAAGGAGATGCACTTGAGCCTTGATGACCCGCATCTGAGGTCGAAGAAGAAAACAAGTATACAGAGGGGAGCACGGGCCTTCGTTTAAGTGGCTTGCTGTATTGCAAGAAAGCAGAGAGCTCTGAAGAGAGGGTGATCTGGAGTGGGAAACGAAGGAGCTAAAGAAGTGACTGACCCAAAGGAGGAGAGCAGCTCGCGGATCTGCTCCTCCGTGAGGTAGTACGGCAGCCCACCCACGAAGATGCGATCTGGACCGTCCGCTCCGCCCGAACCACTGCAGGAGCGAGATATGGAAGAGGAGAGGCCAAGTGGTGTGAGTGAGCGGTGGGTTCCAAAAAAACGAGGGGTAGAAGACTTGAGACAGAAGAAAACATGCGGGAAAGGGCACCACAGTCATGCCATGTGCGTAGTGCATCCAGAGCAGGCATAGAAAGTTGTGAAACACCTTTGGTCTAGGGGTTAGGGTGCCAGAGGAGGCGAGGTGGAAAGGGAAGGCAAACCGGGGGAAAGGGGAGGTGAGGGCGGGTGGGGGGAAGGACGAGGGAATCAGGAAGCATGTGCGGAATCGGGAGTCATCTCAAGAGACAAGGGAACCGAGAGTGGAGGGTGTTGGGCACATGGGAAGGCGTACCCGGCAGTGAGGCCGACGGCAGCGAGGTTGAGGTTGGGGCTGGGCTGCGTGGGGCCGAGCGTGGCCGCCATTGATGGGTTGTAGTCGCTGGGCCGCCGCACCCTCACTGACACTCCCTGGTGGAGCAGAGGGGAGGGGGGCAGAGTGCAACAGAAGATGTGAGGTAAGTCAAGGGTTTAGGGTGAGAGACAACGGGAGGCTGCATGCGGATGTGAGACACTGGCAAGGGTGGGAGCAGCGGATGGTATGCTTCGCACCTCCAGGCCGACTTATGTGACGTCTCAAAAGAGTGGGTGCAGCGGATGGTATGCTTCGCACCTCCAGGCCGACTTATGTGACGTCTCAAAAGAGTGGGTGCAGCGGATTCGACGCACTGGCAATGCATGCAAGGGGTGGGAGCAGTGCAACGCATGGCACGCAGTACGCACCTCGAAGTTGATGCCGTCGAGGGCCATGGCGTTGCTGGCCTCCTCCACTGTGCGCATCTCCACAAAGGCAAACTTCTTCTCCTGGTTGATGTACACGTACACCACACAGTCGCCTGGGCGGATTGTGGTGGGGGGGGGGGGGGGGGAGGGGGGGGTAAGAAAGACAGGCAATCTCGCACTCTTCTTCTCCTGGTTGATGTACACGTATACCACGCAGTCGCCTGTGAGTATGGGCGGGGGGAAGGGTACGTGGTGTGGGGGAAGAGGGGGGGCGGACACCAACTTTTAAGTGAGGCCGTTCACGTCGTTGACACACACATACCACGATTGAGAGCAGCAACGGGAAAACACGAGGAACGGGAGGTGGTGACGAGGAGCCCAGTCCACAGCTCCTGCGCAAGCTTCTTCTCCCCTTTTGCACAATAGCAGATTTTTCCCGATCGCTCGTCACATACCAAATGTGTGTTTCCCTTCCCGCCCCCGATTCCCATTATCTCAGCGGCAACATACCTGGGCCGGCGGTGTTGCCATTGACGAGCGCCATGGCGTTGTTGAAGAACGCCGCCACGCTCTGCACAGCGCACGCGCGCGCACGCACACACACAGGCACGGGGAGGGGGGAAGGGGGGTGATGAGATGAGGTACACACACACACGCAAAGAAACTGCCGACTACGAAACACCAGGACAAAAAACTAGCCCGTACCTGTTCGTTTGCCATGGGCGGGAGGCCACCCACATACACCCGGCGGGCGTGGCGAGTGGCTTGCGTTGGCATGCCTCCCTGATAGGGACAGAGGCAGACAGAGGAGGCAGAGAGAGGGCACAGGAGAAGGGCTTAACGTTGGCTGGAACACTCGAGCTACCGACCAGCATATGGTGGATGAGGAGGGCCGGAGGAGACAGAAAGAGAAGGGCAAGGGATGAAACCGGAGGAAGAGAGGAGAAGGCGTGGAGGTCTGAATGCATGGAGCACAAGGTGCTGCAGCGGGCCATCAGGGGTGATAAAAGGCATCAGAGACTCGTGGCTCTGTCCGCATCAAGTCACAAAGCATCACGTGGCACTGCAGCAGAAGGGCGCACTCCGTCCATGCACAACGAGACAATCAATAGCTCACCACACCGACAAATGCTTAGCTCATTCGCCATAACGACGCAATCTCCTTGATAAACGGCAATGCCCCATATTCAGTGAGGCTGAGGCTTTTCTGGAGTTGAACTGAACTAAACAGCCGCAACTAATAGGTCTAGATGGAACAAGTGCCAGGGGCAGCTAGCGCGGCAGTGGAAGCGTAGCAGGCCATCAGGAGTGAAACTAGTGTCAGAGACTTGTGGCTCTGTCCGCATCAAGTCACAAAGCATCACGCGGCCTACTGGAAACGACTCATCACAGCTAGCGCCCACGCTTCAACCGGCACGTGCAGGCTATAACATTGAGAACCTAGAGGGCCATCAGGGGTGAACGGTTGTCAGAGATAAAGGGCTCTGTCCGCATCAAGTCACAAAGCATCATGTGGCCGACCACCGAAAGTTACACCTCATGTGAAGACAGAAGCAAGCGCTATCCTATCCTGTATCAATGAATGCCATGGAAGACGCAAAACCAACAAACATCCCAAGGAAAGAAGTAAACGACGACATACTGCAGGACTGAGCGGGGCCATCAGGATTGAAAAAGAGTGTCAGAGACTCGTGGCTCTGTCCGCATCAAGTCACAGAGCATCATGTGACCGCCTGGCACCTAGCGTACAGCAGCCCGCTCACCTCATCGCAGCCAGGTTGTGCCTGCATGGCATCACGTGCCTACCCTTGAGCACCACTGCGGTTACAAGCAGCATAGAGCAGCTAAAAAAGAACGTGGTTACCAGTTGTGATGGTTACCTGTGCAGCGGCGGCGGCGAAGGGGAACATGTTTGGGAACATCGATCCAGGCACTGCCTGCATGCCTGGCAGCCTCGCGAACCCCGCTGCCATGGCGCCTGGGCGGGTGACGGGCACGAAACACAGAGCAAGAGAAGACGGGGAATACGGAGTTGTGTTTGCCGGTGCAGATGCAAAGACCTTCAAATGCCCTCCAAACATGGTGTGGTGCCTCGTGCAGCGCCTTCTAGCATGGTGCGTGAAACAAAAAGGCAGTCCAGCACTGGGTCGAGAGCAGAACGAGCACGGCAGGAAGGGAGGAGTGGCAATGGAAGCACGGACCAGAACGAAGATTGAACTCCCCCCACACACCAACACCTCTACCACGCCTGTACTGGACCTGCTTGCCCTGCTGTCTTACCAGCGACGCCCGTGAGAGGCAGCGTTCCCACAGAAGGCGCAGCAGCCGGCGCTGGTGCCGCTGGCGCTGGTGCTGCTGCCGGCGCTGCTCCCCCAGCTCCAGAAAGCAGGCCTGCTCACGGATCCATTACAGCATGCCCCAATAACAGTACAACAATGCAGCAAAAAATCGAGGCTCAAAACCAGAAAATTAACAAAATGCAAACAAATTTATCAAAATGAAAGGGCAATGTACGGAACCAGTTACTCCCCTTCAACATCTCTTAACGAAAAGGCAATAATCCTCCCAATTCCAAGGCCACCAAGTCAAGCAGAGGCATGGGGGATTTACCCTTTCAATCATCGTGCTAATGCGAAGCGAGAAGGAGCGGCGAAGAGAGGAGGGGGAAGAATGAGAGGTGGCGCGGGCCGGCTTGGGATGATCACCGAAGTGAGGCGGTTAGGAGGTGGAGGGGTTAAAAAAGCGGGCCAGAAACACACACACAGCCGAACGAGCAACCAAGAAGCAAGAGCAGGGGGGAGAGGAAAGGAGAAAAGAGACACACACGGCAACAACCACCACAGCAGACAACGACAACCGAGCCACGGAAGTGAGTCCGCGTGAATCACTGAGAGAAACTGACAACTGCCAGAACAGGAGGTAAAGTGGCAGCAGAGGTGAACGATGCGTCGGTGGTTGGGGGGAGGGCGGGCGTACCTGCTAGCCCGGGCACGGATGCAAGAGAAGGACCAGGGCCCATGTCGAACCCGCTGGCGCGCCTGCACGAATGAACACGCGCACACGGAGGCATGATGCACGATGAGGACATGTGCCTTTACGGGGCGAGGATACACGAGAGGCTCATGATGCAAACTCTTTGAACGATGCAATAAAAACGCAGGGTATGGATTGTACGGAGCCTGAACCGAGCGCATGGCGCAAAGTACCTGCGTCTCTCCCTGTCTCGGGAGCGGGAGCGAGAGCGCGACCTCGAATACGAACGGGAACGCGACCGAGAGCGATCGCGACGCCTGCTGCGCCTGCCATAGCCGATTCAGAATCAGATCCACAGAAAACGTCAGAGAAGACTAAGAAGTTGCATATGGCAGCACAAATATACATCATAGAAGGCGCAAAAAAAACACGGTCGACGCGCGCAGCGCAGGAAACGAAACTCGTGCCTGAAAGGAACAAAATCAAACACCTGTCGCGGTCGCGGTCGCGGTCGCGGTGGCGATAGTCTCGGTCTCTGTCCCTGCGATGGCCTCGGTCCCTGTCGCGATACTCGCGGTCGTCGCGATCTCTGTCCCTGTCCCCGCTTCCTCTGCCGCGATCCGAATGCCGCCGCTCGCGGCTCACGCGGTCGCGGTCCCTGGGCCTGTCGCGCTCGACGCCCCTCTCCCCGCCTTCCTCGTCGTCCTCCTCGTCCTCCTCGCTCCCCTCCCCCTCGTCCTTGGGTCCCCCTCTGGCTCTGTCGCGATCTCCTCGCGGGCGTCTGGCGCGCTCTGCCCCCCTGTCGTCGTACGGCGGCTGCGAATGAAAGCGACGGGATGAGACAGTGCGATGTATAACATTATGTTACCAGAACCGCTAAGCAGCATCTAAAGCCGCTGATCAATATAGACAATGCATTGACAGAATTATATGCATTTATATGATCCACAATCCACTGAAACAAAAGCAGTAAAAATATAGGAGGCAAATACTTGTCAATGGATCTCGAAGGACACCCTTCTGGTCCTTCGGGACCCAAAAGGTACCTATTGTGGTCATTCTTCAGACCAGATTAGCACATAAAGGAGTAGATCTGAGAAAGCACGACAGGGACTTGAAAAACAACAGGTGGAAGCGGATACTAATGCATTGAAAGGAAGGATGTCCCTGAGTGCACGCACGAAGATCGACTTGAGATGGTCATCGACCAACGGACCTCATTGTCGCGATATTCCTCGTCGTCACCCTCCTCTTCCTCATCCTCGTCGCGCCGACCACGGAGCTCCCGAGAGCCACGGGGTTCGCGTCCCTCGCGGCTACCCCGCCTGTCGCGGCGATCGTCGTGGCGAACTTCGCGACGGTCGTCGCGTTCGTCTGGCTCATCCTTAGCGTCGCGAGGGCCGCCTTCGTACTCCTCGTCTTCGTCTTCGTACGGTCCTTCGTCCTCGTACCTCTCGGCGTCGTCACCCCTCCCCATGGCGGCTGATCAACACCAAACCCTAGCGAGCTTGTGAAGGAAAATGAAACGGAGAAATCGAGGAAACAGGTTTAGTGGAAGAGAATGTAGAGCAGGCAGAAACATGTTGGGAATCAGGCATCTGTGGGACAACTCCAAGGGCAACGAAGTTCGAGTGCTACGATGCGCTATTGCGAATAGACCAGACCAGACGTAACAAGCAGTACACGAAGGAAAAGCACGTCTAAATTAAAGAAATCCGTACAATCTGCAAGAACAATGCCAAGAACTCTGCATAACCATTGGATGTGATCCATCAAAGAATGCTCACATTGCATGCCCAAAATAATGCCCCTAATCAAATAAGCATGCACGGATTCTCCAAGTGAAGTCAAAACGGCACTTCCTAAAGCTTGGCTTCATCAATCCTCACATAGATTCTCCGCCAAGTCCCAAAAATGTGCAACCTTGCGATCCTCCAAAAACTTCCTGGCAGCAGCGCTTGAGCGACACTGCTCCACTGTAAATTTCTCAAACGCGGCTCGGGCCACCGTACCCTGCCACACCAACTCACACTTGTTCTCCTTCTTCAACCCACCTTCACCCATTCCCTCATCCTCCTCCCCAGCCGCACCAGGAGCCACTGCCTCCGCCCAGTGAATCCTCCTCATCATCAGCTTCAAGTACCTCTTAACCGACTTGCTCACGCCTTCCACCACCACCAACACAAACGAATCAGCCAGTAACGCACACCCAGTGAGCCGATTCTCCTGCGCGTTCACATCCACCTTGAACCGCGTCTGCGGGTGCAGCAGATGCCGCACTTTAAACACCGCCACATGCGTCTCACCCCCGCCACCCACCCCTCCCCCTAACGTCTCCTCAAACAGCTTCCTCTCCTTCTTCTCCCTCCGCTCCGCAGGAGTCAGCTTCCTTGCGAGATTCCGGTCCACATGAGCCTGCTCTCGCTCCGCCGCCGCAGCACGCACCTCCTTCTCCATCCTCGTGGGGTCCTGGGTGGCTTCAGCAGCCATCACGCGCATGAGGTTGCTCATCTTCACCTTGGCTTTCGGAGGTTCCAGCAACCCCTGCCGCACCATCTCCTGCCGCTCCTTCTCCCGCGCCACGCGCCGCTGCGTCCGCAGCTTCTTCTGCTCGCCCTTGGTCAGCCGCAGCGGCTGCGGCGGCGGCGGGGGGGCTTCGGCGGGTGGCTCGATGGGCACGGGGTGTTCGACGTACATGGTGATCTTAGACGCCTTGAGGGCTGCTGGCACGGCAGCGCCCTCCTCAGGGTACTGGTTCGAGGCCAGGATGAGCGCGTCCCTGTGAGGGGAAGGGAGGAGAGGAGGGAAGGCTTCAGCAGATGGCTGGGTGTTCGACGTACATGGTGATCTTGGATGCCTTGAGGGCCGCTGGCACGGCAGCGCTCTCCTCAGGGTACTGGTTAGAGGCCAGGATGAGCGCGTCCCTGTGAGGAGAGGGGACGAGGAGGGGAGGGTAGGGTGATAAGGAAAGGCGAAGGAGTGGCGTGAGAAGGCAGGTTTAGATGGAGACCGGTGCACGGTTTGGAGGCATCGGGAAAGAGCGCCAAGGGAAATATGGCACGAAGGAGAAGGAGGGAAGAGGAGGCAGTGCAAGGGAGCCCGAAGGAGCAGGAGAAGAAGTGGCGCATGGCAGGTGACTGGTGACTCACCACCACTCGACGTCAGGAATGGGCGGCTTGGGCTTCTCCGAGGGGTGCAGGGGGCGCTGCCCCACCTCCACGAGGTTAGAGATTGTGTTTCTATAATAAATCTCACCACCACTCGACGTCGGGAATGGGCGGCTTGGGTTTCTCCGAGGGGTGCAGGGGGCGCTGCCCCACCTCCACGAGGTTGGGGTTGTCCCCCCCCTCCGCCGCCTCCCTCTCCTTGGCCCTCTGCCGCGCTGCCATCTCCATCTGCCTCGCCATGCCAAACTGCGCCTGCAGTGACGCAGGGGAGTGGAAGGAGAGTGGCAGGCATGAGCACGTGCACGAGGCACAGCGAGAGTGCAGATGAGTGTCGTGATAGCAGAGGGAGGGATGGCACAGGTCATGTCTAGAGGACAATTTCATGCACAGCCATGTGTGATGCCCAAAGAGTAAAGGACCCTTAAGGTGACTCTCTTGCGCATTCTCACCCGCATTCGCATCCGCTCTCTCACCCGCATGCCCCTGCTCTCTCACGCGCATGCCCCTGCTCTCTCACGCGCATGCTCGCACTCACCCGCATGCGCATGGTCTCAGCCTGCTTGGCGAAGGTGCCCTCCTCCACGAACTGGAAGGACGCCTTGCGAGGGCGCAGCAGCTTGAGGCGCTCGCTGGCCATGCGCGGGTCGAAGAAGGGGCTGTCTTGGGGGTCCTCCTCCAGCTCTGGGCGCAGGATCTTGAACGCCTCCTTCTTCGCCTTGTTGATGTTCACCTGGTGGGGTGGGGGAGGCGAGGGACGGGAGAGCGGGAAAGGGCGAGCTAGTGAGTGAGATAGCGGAAGTGAGCGAGGGAGCGTGCGCGGGTCCAAGAAGGGACTGTCATACGGGTATTCCCCCAGCTCTGGGCGCAAGATCTCATTCGCCTTGTGGGTGCATCACACAGAACTGTGAGAGTGCAGCACACACACCTTGAGAATGCCGCAGCACCCACCTTGAGAGTGCTGACGGGGGCGATCTTGGGTCGCTCCACCACATTGCCATGCTCGTCTATCTCCCTCCCCATCGCATCCAACCGCAGCACCGGCGCCCGCGTCACCTTGCTGCTGCTCCCCGCTGCCGCTGCTGCCGCAGCTACATCTGGGGTAAGAATGGTTCCTGGGATGGCGGCACCAGGAGGAGCACCAACGCCGGGGACTATGGGCACAATGCCGACGCCAGGGACAGCCACAGGTACCACCACGGGCACAGGTGCTGGTAGCCCCTTTGCTGCTGCTGCTGCGGCCGCTGCTGCTGCTGCGACTGCAGCGGCGGCTGCTGTTGCAGTGGGGACTACGGCGGCTGCGGGTGGCGCTGCCTTGCTCAGCTGCAATGCAAAGTAAGTGGAGTGGGGGAAATAATGGGTTTTGGGGACATGCCTGGTGAAACATGTCGTTGCCAAGCCTAATTCGCACAGGCACAGACTGGTTGACTAGGATTAAAGGGAATTCATAAAGAAGAAAAAAAAAAAAAAGGCCCAACGGCGACGATAAAGCTCTGAACAGCATATACTGATCCACGAAATAGTCATCCGGTGAACCCTGGTACTCTGGACTGAGGACACACCCGAGGAAGCACCTGGAAACCGCACCTGAGAACCCACCTGAGGAAGCTTCTTGAGCTTTTCTTTGAGCTCCTTGTGCATCTGCAGTGCCTTCTTCGCCTTGGCCAACGCATCCAGCGAGACGCTCGGGACCTGAACGAGGGAATGATGGACAGACGGGCGGACAGATGGATGGATGGATGGTTAAAGGCAGGTTGCGAGGTGGTCAACCGCGTTCGACGTGGCGAAATTCGACGTAGAAGGTGCAGCAGCCAATGCAAATGGAAGCGAGCATTGGATCCGCTGGTGTCAGCACGGCCTGTGCGACACAGCGCGAATTGGATAACAAATACGATGGACTCCTTTTGCATCAGTCATGATGAAGAACAAATCATACTACCACATGCTGTCTACCAATCAACGAGTTGATCGAAATCCAGTGACGGTACCGCCAACCCTACCTTCTTTCCGCCAGCAGCGGGAGCGGAAACCCCCGCTCCGCCACCATCCGCGGGTTTCTGTCCGCCGTCGGCGCCGCTCTGCACCCCATCTGCTCCGCTATCCCACCGCCTCCGCTTCCCCGCACGATCTGCATCGTCGCCGTCAGCAGCGCCATTCTCAGCAGTCATGCCGCCTGGCTGGTCCGCTTTCCGCTTACCGACCGGTAGGGTTTCAGTGTCAGCCATGGGACGTCGAAAGAAATATATAGATTGAACGGACAGATGATCTTATCACTATGAAGACTGAAGTCGGAAAGGAAACGCGTATCGACTGTTTTCAGCGATTGACCTAAATTGACTACTGAAGAACATGGGACAGAAGTGGAGGTGGCGATGACGTTAACCGAAGCGAGGATGGGGAGGAGGGTGACGACGGCACAACGGACCAGTACCACAAGCTTCAGAGTGAAACCGCGCTAGTCTGCGCAAAGGGCTTTCTATCTGTAGGATCTGATGGTGCGGTGCCGTTTGGACCAACTTCTGGAGCACTGTTTGCAACTAATGAGGAATTCCTGGGGAATTGCGGATGGGGTACGCTATATGCAGTTTCCGCACGACTTCGCTGGAAAAACTGGTGCACATGAACTGTACAGGTTGCAACGGCTTAGAGTTGAAGTGTTTGGAGAAAATGAATCTACATTATTTGAGTAGTTTTCCCTTGTGTTTAATCAAACATATAGGTACAGGGCCCCTCAATGGCAAGCATCATTGCATATAATATGTGTAATCATATTGATCCAGCGGCACCTGTATCCAGCTACACTAGTACCACATTCTACCATGAATACCATACTAGAATAACCAGCACAGCACTGTATGCTCACTGTCAATACCAAGATATAGATACACAACGGCATGGACTACGGGTAAAAGGTGCTGTACAACATACCACTATTTATTCTTCTTTGCATATCTCTCATAGAAGAAGAAGCCAGCAAGGGCAGCATAGGACACTACCGAGATGCACACTATGTATATATTGATGCCCATGGTTGTGCCAGCATAGGGCGTCACCACCACCAGATTGGCGTTCATAGAAGAGTCAGTGTTCTGCAGTCACAACAGAAACAGCAGATGGGATGGGATCAGGAACAGGATGAGCTCAGGATGAAGGAAAAAAATAACTACCAAATCGGTAAAGAGGTAAGCGGCCAGCTTCAGTTTGAGGCCAGAGGAGTGTTGAGAAAACAACTGACAGAGCAGCTGAGCGTGGTTTTTGCTAATGGGAATTTGTTAACAAAGGCGCGCACAAAGATCACAGGAATGTTATCCGGAACCGCGGCTGACCTGGCCGTAGGCGACGCTGTTGGCGGAGACGGTGGCGGAGGAGTCGGTGGAGTTGAGCACCCATGCGCGCACGAAGTACTGCGCGCCTGGCGTGTCCTGCGACGGCCGCCACACCGTGTTGTTGCCGAACGCATTGTACGGTTGCGCTGCATGGGACAAGGTGTGGGAGGAGGGGGAATAAGGAAACGTTAATAAAGAACACAAAATCTTGCACACGGGGTGGTGTACTGGAACATGGAAAATGGTAATGTTCTTGGGGAAGGAAGAAGCAAAAAGATGAGAAAAACGCGGATTCTTGCAACATGCGGAGACGTGATCTGCTCAGTATATCAACGCTGCACATTTTCAGGGCTTACAGGCGATGGTGTATTTGCAGTTCTTGGAGTGTGAGAGCACGTTGTTGGGTTGGCGCCAGGGGCGGGACGCCTGGCTGGGCGCGCCGAAGCAGAGCTGCAGGACGACCTTCTTGAACGCGGCGTCGGTCCCCCACAGCGACTGGTTCAGGTGCCAGTGAATCGACAGCTCGTCCTGGGCATAGGTCATTCCGCTGCGAGAGGCGGGTGGAGCAGCGGGTAGAGCGAAAAACGGGGAGAAGACGCAGCAGGAGGGAACGCGTGAGAGGATTGCTTGCGATTTGGGATCCTGTGGGTACAAAATTGGGAGAAGATGGCGGAATGGGGTTGAATGGCTGGGTCGCAGTGGCGGGGTTACTCACGTGCCGTTGGTGACGTTGTTGCCGTTGACCGTTGTGGTTACCACGATGGCTTGAGTCAGAGATGAGAACTGCACGCTGCTCGGGTCGCTGACCGCATTCACCGCCGTGCAGCACGCTAACACTAGCGTGAGAAGGATTGTTAGGTTTAGAACACGAGAAGGAGACGCCATCGTGGTTCCTAGTTTGCTGAGTGAAGGCGATTTGTATAAACGATGCCGTTTCACTGTGAGAACGGGGGTTTCGCGATAGGCGTTTAATCACGACTAAAAGCTTCTGACTCTTCGTTGGCAGAATTTTGCAATTTAATCTACATCCTCTCAGAAGGCTTTGATCGTTGTTTGGTCCACGACGACAGAAAGGATTACATCGAGTCGCGGCGCACGTGGATTCGGTACAGTATTCTGATCAGGGGCAGGGTAGGAACGGCATCATCCCAGAGCCGCTGTTACCATTCCTCCTGTCCGCTACCACTCCAACCGCCATGACCTCGTCACTTTCTCTACAGCACGGCCAAGCATTCTCTGAAGTCAGTCACAACCAAGCATTCCACCAATGCACTCCGCGATACTGTAGTAGCTTCGGCCTTGACCTGTCCCCTCGCGGCAGCGATATTCGCTGAGTTGCCCCCATCGCCACCCACCAGCCGCCGCCGTTCTCGTTCCCTCACTGCTTCTCCTGGAACAAGGCGCCTACTGGCATTGCGTTTGACCTTTCAGTTAGAAAAAAACACACGCCAGGATATCGTCGAATCACGATCAGGCTGAAAATGTTTCTTGGTCTGTTTGACAGGTCCCCTCCGGTCAGCACGATAACCAATCAGAGAGGACTTTCAACAGAAAGAACCTTCAAGATGCCCTGGGTGGCGACTTTTAGCTTCTGAAAGCTGCCCAGCTGTGGCAATCGAACAGCATGCAGTCAGGTGACCCTTGGAGAAGTTGGAAACCCAGTTGACAAAGCCCTATAAAACAGTTGATTGGCTGCAATAGTTCACATGATCTTCGATAGTCTCGAAATGCGATATTCCAGCGTTAGCAGCCTCTTTACAGAGAGAGCAGAGCAGTCGTCCATTCCTTCCAGGTCGTTACACCATTTACGATTTAGATTCATCCCATCTTGATTTGTGGTTTTGTGAGATGTCTCTAGAATGTCTGCTGAAATCTTCTTGATTGATATGCAGTACGGTAGCTGGCTTGCTTGTGTTTGCAATATGCTACGCAGCGATGTCCTTGCTTGTTAGGTAAGAAAGACGCCGACATCATAATTGCATTGAATGCAATGTGCTAATCCACCCTGGTGGCAGCAACTGCAGAGTGGACATTTGTGGAACGACGCAGGTGGTTTCAGGTCCCATGCAATGGCAGTGTGCCACAGTAGCCTCTGCGTTTGTGCTGAGAAATGTTGACTGATGTGAAGTGGAGGGTACCATTTTAATCCAATTCACTAAACTAAATACAGAAAACCAGATTACAGCACGTGTATGGTGTGAAATGTCTTCATTGATACTCTACACCCTATGCCTCTCCTCTCTTATGCCGTGGCAGCAACGGGGGCAGCTGAGCGGAAGCATGCGCGCTTGCTGGCTCGCACAATGTCCTCCACCTGCCATGCATGAGCACACGCATATATAAGCAGGGCACATTCAGACCAGTCAGCCGCACCATGTATGCTTATTCATTACTCAAACCCAGGCGACGGCCCTGCTGAGGCGAGACAACTGAGTCGAACACAGAGAGATTCAAGTGGCGAGAGTTTGACTCCAAATCTAGTGTCACAGAGCAAAGGAAAGGCATGCGGAGGGAGGGGCGCATGACGTGGGGAGAGGGGCGCATGATGTGGGGAGAGGGGCACATGACGTGGAGAGAGGGGCGCATGACGTGGGGAGAGGGGCGCAGTAAGGGGAGGAAGGCGCACCTGGGGCAGGGCGAGGCGTTCGAGGTTGGCAGCGTAGGGCATGGGGACGTCAGAGCCGCAGATGCGCTCCACCGGTGCATCCAGGTAATCAAATGATGACTCCACCACCGTGGCGCTGCACACACAAGGGTAGAGGGTGGCACACAGGGAAGAGTTCAGTGGAGAGTGTAGGGGGGAGAGGCAAAGGGAGTTGAATGCGGGGAGCAAAATGGGCAAAAAAGAGCATTCCCCCCATACTGCTTCACCAAACACCCTTTCCCCATCCCACCCCTTCCATCCAACCACACCCCCCAACCCCTCCCCCCATTCCCCTCACCAGATCTCAGCACCGACGCCGGACTGTGGCCAGCCCTCCTCGATGGTGACGAGGCGCGACGTCTTGCGCACCGACGCGTTGATGGCCTCGCGATCCAACGGCCGGATCGTGCGCAGGTTCAGCACCTGGTGGGGGCGGGCGTGGGGGAGTGGGGGGATGGGCAGGGCGGAAGGGGGCGAGGGGTCGATTGGATGGGGTGATGCTTAGAGCGTTGAAGGAGCAGCAATGCAGGGCAGGGAGGCGAAGCAGAGAGCGGAGCAAGCAGACAAGGGCAGATTCCATGCATGGCGGAGGTGCATGGTCGGCATGGGGTGGCATGGAGCAGCATGGGGTGGCATTGAGCGGCATGGCTTGAGGGAGTGTGACTGACCTCAGCGGAGATGCCCTCCTTCGCCAACTCGTCTGCCGCCTGCCATGCCACCAACACGGGAGTGCAATGAGGGGGGGGGAGAATGGCGCAGGACGTCAGATCAGATGGTCGAAAGCAAGCGTTGCGATATGGCAGCAAGGCAGCCATGGCGCATGCGGACCACAGCACTCCCACTCCCCTTTCCCCCCCTCCCATGACTTTGAGTGCACACGGCATCCCCTCCCCGCACCTTGAGCGCCACCCCTCCCCTCCCCACCCCTCACTCACCTTGAGCGCCACCCCGACCATGCGCGAGAAGGCGACGAGGGTGACGTCCTTGCCCTCGCGCTCCACCTTGGCCTTGCCGAGGTGCTCCACGGTGGGATAGAGAAGCACTGGCATTGCGCACATGAACCCAACAAGCCACCGGCCGCACCTCTCCCGCTTCCTCCCTCGATCATGGGTGCACACAGCACCCCCCTCCCCACATCTTGAGCGTATCCAACCCCCTGAATCCCCCTCCCCTTCCTCACCTTGAGCGCCACGCCAACCATGCGCGAGAAGGCGACGAGGGTGACGTCCTTGCCCTCGCGCTCCACCTTGGCCTTGCCGATGGGCACCGTGAAGTTGGGGTCCTGCGCCTGGGGCGACACTGGGAACGCCTCTCCATAGCTGGAGAGGGAAGGGGAGAGGGAAGGGGGAAATAGGGGAGAGATGAGTACAATGGGGGTGCGGCTAAGAGTATAACGCCGATGGGCACCGTGAAGTTGGGGTCCTGCGCCTGGGGCGACACTGGGAACGCCTCTCCATAGCTGGAGAGGGAAGGGGAGAGGGAAGGGGGAAATAGGGGAGAGATGAGTACAATGGGGGTGCGGCTAAGAGTATAACGCCGATGGGCACCGTGAAGTTGGGGTCCTGCGCCTGGGCCGACACTGGGAACGCCTCTCCATAGCTGGAGAGGGAAGGGGAGAGGGAAGGGGGAAATAGGGGAGAGATGAGTACAATGGGGGTGCGGCTAAGAGTATAACGCCGATGGGCACCGTGAAGTTGGGGTCCTGCGCCTGGGCCGACACTGGGAACGCCTCTCCATAGCTGGGGGGGCGGGAGGGGAGGTAAAGTAAGACAATGGACTCCAAGCCGATGGGCACCGTGAAGTTGGGGTCCTGCGCCTGGGCCGACACTGGGAACGCCTCTCCATAGCTGGGGGGGCGGGAGGGGAGGTAAAGTAAGACAATGGACTCCAAGCCGATGGGCACCGTGAAGTTGGGGTCCTGCGCCTGGGGCGACACTGGGAACGCCTCTCCATAGCTGGACGGGGAAGATGGATTGGAGGTAGGAGGGATTGAAAAGAGATGGGTGTGTTTTGTGCCTCTCACGCCGCCCTTCATCCTCCCTCTCGCGTTCTTCCTCTCCCCCCCCTCTCCCCTCTTCTCCTCCCAATCACACAAAAAGCTTCCCTTACCACCCCACACCCATCCCTTTCCCCCTCATCTCCCACCCTGTGCGCGCACAGGATCTCGTGCGCCAACACCACCACCACGGGTGGGAGTGCCTCACGACACCGCACCAGGGTCGGGGTCGCGAATGGCAGACTCATGAGCCCCCCCGCGCGTCCCTCTCCCCGCTCCCTCAATTAAGCTCTTCCCTTACAGCCCCTGCACCCGCCCAACCCCCTCACCCGTCCCTTGCCCCCTCCCCCTGCCATCCTCCCGTCCCATTGGACGTACAGGATCTCGTGCTCGAGCACAACGACGGGGTCGGGGTCGCGGATGGCGGCCTTCATCAGCCCGCGCGCGTCCTCCGCGCTCCACGGCGCCAACACCTTCAGCCCCGGCACGTGCCCGTACCACGACGCGAAGCACTGGGGGGAAGGGGAGGGGGGAGGGAGAGGGATGAGAGGGAGACGTGAATGGGGATGGGGATGGGGATGGGGATGGGGATGGGGATGGGGATGGGGATGGGGATGGGGATGGGGATGGGGATGGGGATGCGGTTGGGGAAGGGATGACAGGGTGGGGAGGCGAGGCACGTTGCCGTAGCGTGACGGTGAGCACTGGCGGGGGAGAGGATCTTGGGAAGGGGATGCGATGCGAGCAGAACCAGAGACCCGCTCATCACAGCAAAAGCAACCAGCAGCAGCACTGGCGGCAGCAGTACCCAGCGGCACCACTCAGCAGCACAGAGCGGCAATGCGCGCACCTGCGAGTGCTGCGCGCCGACGCCAGCGGCGGCGCCGTTGGGGCCGCGGAAGACGATGGGCACGCTGATCTGCCCCGCCGACATGTAGTGCGCCTTCGCCGCGCTGTTCACTATGTGGTCTATCGCCTGGCGGAGCGGAGGGGGTTCGGGGGTGGGCGAGGGGGCACACGGCAAGGGGAAGGAGGCGAGCTGATGGCACGGATGCCATGGCGAGGCATGGCATGGATGGCATGACACGGCATGGCATGGTACACGGCACGGCACAGCATGGCAGGGAGCATACCTGCATGGAGAAGTTGAAGGTCATGAACTCCACGACGGGCTTCAGGCCGTACATGGCCGCTCCCACTCCGATGCCCGCGAACCCCGCCTGCTCGCCCAAGCGCACCGCCGTG